TTAAGTGTATCATATCTAGTTGCACTATATATTATATTAGCTAGTTCCTCTGTGAAAATAAAGTAAGAAACTTCCAGATTTTTATAGGCCCTTCAAAATTGAGAAGAAATTACCTCATGGAATTGTAGTAATATGTTTAAACAATAAAAACATCTACATGTAATATCAATATTTATTAATGATAAGGAAAATACTGTCACATTTTATTGGTTTTTGACATGAAAATTTGTGAACTAAAAGTAATTTTGAGTTTCTGTATAAAATATTTCCTGCTTTTTCTTTCTTTTCAATATATCTTTGGTTTTCAATTCTAGAGTTTATATTTCATCATGATAGATGTATTTTGTCTCATGCCTGGAATTATTATATTTTTATTGTATTTGATCGGCAAACCCGGATTTTCCCTTATCCTCCCCCGGAATTAGATCCGGTATTATAATTGTCTTCATTTCCGGTTTATGGCATCCATTGTTTTTCGATGTTGTTTTTGTCAGTCAGATACGATTTACTCGGATTTACACATAACATGTTGGCGATTTTCGGTATAAAGCTAGCGGTTGAACAAAATGATTATTATCAGAAATCACCAAATTTAAAACGTCCTTGATTTACGTATTGTCGACGAAGTTAAAATTACCGCCAACTGAGACTTCAACTCCGTGTCATATTAGTCACAGCCGTTATACAATATTCCTGCGCTTTGTGCCATTTGGCAACTGTAAACGACTTGTAATTAGAGATTTTCGGCGATGAAATAATTCATGCAATTGTTCTTTGACATCTTGGCCAAAAGCACAGGGGATAATAAACTACATAAGGATTTCTATTGAGCACTACTTCCTATGTGCAACTTCAAAACTTTTGGGTGGTTCGACGATCATTTAAGGTTTTTCTGGTCATATTTTTTGTATTCCAGAATTAAAAGTATGAAAAAAGTGTTCAATTAGTTATAAATAACATAATAGCCAGCCAGATAATAACAATGGCACATATTTCAGCATTTATTGGGTAGAACACAAATCTAGGGTGCTCGCATAAAGCAGCTTAACTGCTTAAAAATGACTTGATATTTAGAAGAAAATAAAAATTTTGCAATTTTTCCATTTCTTAAGGGGCATAACTCTAGAATGGTTAAAGTGACGCCACCAAAATTCAAACTTGATCTGTGTTTTGTGGTAATAAGCATTGTGTATAAGTTTCATAACATTTGGTTGAGGCAAACTAAAGTTAGAGAACGGAAACGAAAAATTCAGCAATATTTCCATTTGTAAAGGGGCATTACTCTAGAACGGTAAAAGTGACGCCACCAAAATTCAAACTTGATCTGTGTTTTGTGGTAATAAGCATTGTGTAAAAGTTTCATAACATTTGGTTGAGGCAAACTAAAGCTAGAGAATGGAAACCAATTTTGGGACGTACGAACGTATAGAAGGACAAGGGTAAAACTTAATGCCCCCTCCGCTACGGTGGGGCATAAAAAGTGTGGAAAACTGATTTGCCGGACAGACAGACAGACAGAAGGAGTGCAAACCTAAAGTCCCATTCAACTTCGGACTTCGTCGTTAGGGGATTAAAAATATAAATATCTGATTTCGCTATCCTCTTTTATATATGAGCACTCGAGTTAATATAGATCAGAATTTTAATCAGATTGTTGCTGTATATCATATTTGTTTTTCGTTCATTGTTTTGTACAGAAATCAGGCCGTTAGTTTTCTCGTTTGAATTGTTTTTCATTTGTCATTTCGGGGCCTTGTATAGCTGACTATGCGGTATGGGTTTTGCTCATTGTTGAAGGCCGTACGGTGACCTATAGTTGTAGATTTTATGTCATTTGGTCTCTGGTTGAGAGTTGTCTCATTGGCAATCATAACAAATCTATTTATTTTTATGGCAGTGGCTTTTTTGCTGACGCCCAAATTGACTAATGAACCATGAAAATGAAGTCAAGGTCAGATGAAACTTGCCAGACAGGCATGTACACCTTACAATCATTCAATGCACCAAATACAGCCTATTGCTTATAATATCTAGGATACAAATTTAACCAGGGAAACTTAATATCGACCAATGAACAATGAACATGAGGTCTAGATCAGAGGATACCTACCAGACAGACATGTACTTTTTACAATCATTCCATGCACCCAATAAAGTTAACCTATTGCTTATAGTATCTAAGGAACAAATTTAACCAGGAAAAATAATTTTGACCAATGAACCATAAAAATGAGGTCAAGGTCAGATGGAGCCATCATTCCATACACCAAATATAGTTGCCATATTGCTGATAGTATCTGAGAAGAGGACCAAACTAACAATACTTAACATTGAACAATGAACCATGAAAATGTGGTCTAGGTCAGTTGATATTTGCAAGACATACATGTAAACCTTACAATTATTCCCTACACCAAATATATTGTTGACTCATTGTTTATAAATAGTTTATAAAAAAACAGCATAAACACAAAATACTAACATTGATCAGTGAACAATGAAAATGAGGAAACCAGAAAATCCTAGTTTGTTTCCCCCTTTTGGTCCCTAATTCCTAAACGGTTAGGGCAATGACCCCCAAAAGCAATCCCAAACTTCCTTTTGAGGTATGGGACCTTGTGGTAAAATTTCATAGAGATCCATACAGTTATGAGGGGTGGACAGGGGGGTACCCTTCTCCCACCTCCCGCCTCCCACTTTTAGAATCTCTTTTTCTTTTGTTATTTTGATAATGCAAGTGTTGATATAAAAATAGCAATACTTTAACATGTAAGTTATGCAAATATTCAAATTCAATGAACCATAACTGAAGGTACAGGGCTAAACAATATTCATGGCAATGAGATGTGCCAATGCTAATACAACTGTATACCAAACACCATTGACTTATCATAAGTTGTTCCCTTTAAACAAACCTAAACACAAACATTAACATTAACTTGTAATCTATTTAAAAGTTTCAAAGTCATTAAACCATGATGAGGGGGTGGGGCTATATAATCTCCATGGAAATAAGACTTGCAAATGCCAATGCATTTGCATACCAAATACATATGTATCACTGACCAAACATTAGTGGTTAATCTTAAACTGATCTAATCACAAACTAATACATGTAAACTAAGCAAAAGTTTCAAAGTCAATAGACCATGACTGAGGGATAAGGACCAAATATTCTTCATGGAAATGAAATGTGCTAATGCTTATACAACTGCATACCAATTATCATTGACCTGCCACTAATGGTTCCCCTTAAGCTGACCTAATCACAAACTAATACATTGTTGACGCCGACGGCAACTCCGTCAAGGTGAGACAAAAAATGCTCGTTTTTGGCCCCTAACTCCTAAACAGCTTGGACAATTACCCCTAATATCAATCCCAACCTTCCTTTTGTGGTATGGAACCTTGTGCTACAATTTCATAGAGATCCATACACTTATACTCAAGTTATTGTTTGGAAACCAAATGTTTAGGACGACGATGACAACGCTATACATTATACGCTCTCAAAATGTTTGCGGTTGTTTAATACAAAGCTTTATACAAATAGTTTACGCTGCCACAAGATAATAATCACTAGGTCTTACATTCAGCAACTTTTGTTGCAGGCAAGACAAAAATGACATTGAGGGTTTCTCACAACAAGAAGTCAATTTCTAATATATATGACAAGACCATGAACTGAATTGGGAAAGAAATATAAAGATCTTTTTATTTGAACAATTTATTGAAACAAATAATTCCTGAGCATACAAAATATATCACAGTTGTTCGATGTTGAAGTGCAATTAGTATAATAATTGCACTTATCATATTCAATATAGAGGTTACTGAAGTAAGTAAGATATAAGGCTAAACATAGCATTGCAAATTATCAACCCAGACACAACAAACTATGTGCATGACCATTTTGAATATCTTTTTAAAATTGGAGAATGTGAAAATCTTTTTATCATTTCCCATTTTAAAACTTAGCTACTTTCATTAAAAAACAGTTTTTGTAAGAGGATATTTCAAACCTGGTAAAATTTACCCCTTTTTTTAAGTATTACACTAGATAAAGCTTACCTTTCCAGTACAACTGATTTCATCTTCTGTTGTTGGTGGGTTTCCTGTAGCTTTATATTGAGTTTTTTTGTGCAATATTAGGCGGACTACTGTTGATCTTTCTGGTATTTTTTTTTACACTTTGCACTTCTGATAGTCCCTTGGTATGTTCTTAATTTTTATACAAGGTATCCCTTAACAAACAGTTTTATTGGGGCCCAACTTTTATCCAATTGAGAGCATGCAGGTTTCTGTAGTCCTTATTTGCATATGAGATCTTCAATAATGATTAAAAAATCTTCATAGTTATCATTTATATCACAAAGCCATTACCTTTAAAATATAAGTCTATGAAAAACCACATGGTAGTAATAACAGTACCAATTTTACTGCCCCAGATGCACAAATGACTTCAAACTGTCAAAATTTGAAATTTGTCACTGTATCAGAGTATGAAAGTGGAACTTCAATTACACCTGACAAAACAGTCTTAACTTTTAAAAAAAGGTCAAATTTTGAAAATATTTAATTTTCAAGGAAATTATAATACTTTGTATATTTAATTCATTGATGTTATAGTATATACAATGTAATAAAGTATATTTTGTTATAACACTTAATAAATCAGTGCATTTTAGAGATTGATTGTAGACAACTTTATTTCATTGTAAATTGTAACTATATATGTAATACTTTAAAAATAAATTGCTTCGCCGAGCGCAGCTAGATACGACCACAGAGGTCCAACCCTGAACAGTTTGGGCAAAAATGGACACAATATTCGAGCTTGATACAGGGATTGTAATTAAATATTCGACACATAATAGGTTTCTAACACAGAATAACTGTAGTCAAAGAACTTAGAATTGGTTATATGATATGAATTTATGTTCAATTTTTTGCTTTTTTGAAATACACTATGTTGTTGTGAATTGCCCCCCCCCCCCCCCTCCCAAAAAAAAAAATTAAATTTTTACACCCCCTTTTTTTTTTGCAAAAAAAAAAAAAATATTTGAAGAAATTTTCTTTTTAATTTCTGAAATCTGAATTGAGAAAAAATTGTCCCCCCCCCCTCACAATTTCTTTTTTACCCCCCTTTTTCCAAAAAAAAATTCTTTCCCTCAAGATATGGTCATAACCTCAATTCAAATTTCCAATGGAGTTTGCAACCATAATTACCCATTTAAATACATCATAAAAGTCTTAAAATAGAAAATGACATACATAATCATGGCTAAAATTAATATTCCTTACTAGTAACTTCTAAAAATAAATTGACAGCTAATCATCTCAAGACAATACAACATTTCTTTATACATAATTTAAAAGCAGTGTAAGGGAGGTAATCAAAACGTTCTGTTTGGATTACCTCCCTTACACTGCTTTTAAATTGTCTTAAGTAATTGTCCATTAACCAGGAAACCCTTGTTTTTTCCCCTTTTTCGCCCCTAATTCCTAAACAGTTTGAGCCATAAACCCCAAATTTCAATCCCAACCATCCTTTTGTGGTTATAAACCTTGTGTTTAAATTTCATAGATTTCTATTTAATTATACTAAAGTTATTGTCAGGAAACCAACTGTGTCTTCCGACGAAGACGACGTGATACATATATACGACCAAAAAATTTTTTGCGGTCGTATAAAAATCCTATAACAAAATTAAATAAATGGGGAATGTGTCCATGGGAAACAGATGATGCCCCCACTTGCATATTACGTTATACAGGGACATAACTCAAGAAAAGTAAAAGTGACACTACCCAAATTTGTACTTGATCTGAGTTTTGTGGTTATAAGCATTATGTTTAAGTTTCATAACATTTGGTTGAGGTAAACTTAAGTTAGAGAACAGAAACGAAAAATTCAGCAATTTTTTCCATTTGTAAAGGGGCATAACTCTAGAACGGTAAAAGTGACGGCAACAAAATTCAAATTTGATCTCTGTTTTGTGGTAATAAGCATTGTGTAAAAGTTTCATAACATTTGGTTGAGGCTAACTAAAGTTAGAGAACGGAAACCAATTTTGGGATGTACAGACGGACAAGGGTAAAACTTAATGCCCCCTCCGCAATGGCGGGACATAAAAAGTATTTGAAGGAAACCTTTGAAACGTTTTAGTTAAAAATAATAAATGGATAAAATCTTTATATCTAAATATCTGTATGTGTTTAAGAAATTTTTAATAAAATAAATCAATTTTCTGTTACCTTGTTCATACAGTTTCTCAAACACAAAAACCTGTCTTAATATTATATATCTAGATAAATTATCCTGTAACTTTATGGTAGCATTATTTGAAAGAGTTTGTTCCATTTATCTTCCTGTATACTGATGCTGTTGGAAATCAACAATCAGTCAAGCTACTCTGTTATCATCTTTTGCAATAAGAACATACTATGTGTCATGGATGGATATACCCCATATCCTTTGTTTTTCTATTACAAGTGTTTCTAAAAAAATATTGAATGATTGAATTGCACCAAATTACACCTACACTGTATGAATTACAAATTAATTAATAACTTAGTTTTTTGTAACTTTATAAACTATTCCAAATAAAGAATATGTTTCTATAGGTTTCACAAATAGAATTAAGAGCAAGTAAGTCAATAAATTCACAACACAAAATCCCAACTAACACTTGATGAACCCAAAAGAACAGGAACAGCACTTTTATCTATGCTCAATTGATACATGTTGAGTAACATTATTTTTTTGGAAAGCATTAGCAGATATTTCGATTGTTATGCCTTATATTCAAGACTCATAAATTCAAAGATTCAAACGAAGTAATCTTAATTGTTAAATATAAACATTTATACAAATTGGTGAAAACCAGAAATTTCAGTACAAATTGAAGAACAGCAATAAAAGCACTGTTTCATCAAACCTATATATCAGTATCACATAGCATAATTATCTTAGGTATATCTATCTTATATTCCTTCTTCTCAAGCTTTTCCCCAGTCTGCAAATCATAAAAGGAGTAATTGAACACTGATACATTCTTTTTAACTTACATTTTTACAATTCATAACCATAATATATGTATATATATATCATATAATTAGTAACAGGTAAATTTTTTTAAAAGGAAATCTGGGTTTACAATTGAGCTTCATAGATTCTCCAAAATACTGACTAAAATTTGGTCCACTTTGTATATAATTTTTATAGAGTTTGATTACAAAAATTCCTTGGATATGTTAGTTAAAAACAAATAAGGTCACTATCTCCACACTTTTGATATACAAATAAACAAACATTTGGTAAGACAACTTCAACTGCTTTGACTTTACCCTTACTGTTCTTGCTTTTATAATTTGGAAATATGTCCAATCATTTTGGTTCTCTTAGAAACCCACTCCCTTTCTTCGTCCATGTCATGTTTCTCATAGAATTTCAATAATGTGTTATATCTTGTAAGAATATCAAAGCCAACTAACTTTTGAAGTTTGTGTAGATCAACAGGACAAAGATGCATTGGCTGACGAAAATCTTCTGACAGATGACCCGACCCATTCATGCAACAGTCATAAAAAATACAATGGTCAATGCCTAAAAGATGATTAATTTCATGAACCAAAAGTTTACAACTTCTTTGAAACATAATCTTACGAATGTTTTCTTGTGTCTGCTTTTTATCCATGGTAACATCAAACCAATCAGCTTGTGAAAATGAAAGGGTTGGATTGTAACGATAAAAGCTAAAAATAGCAACACGATGATTTCCAGCAGCCATTCCTGCCACAAAGAGATCAGTATCATCACAAAATAAATCACTCATAGTTAATCCAATAAAACAAAGTGCATCATCGGGAATTTTGAGACGAAGCATTTTAAGTAAATCTTTCACACCTAACTGATATTGAGTGCCTTTAAATCTACTTTCTAATGTGTGTTGTTTTGTTCTTGAACTACTTCTCCTAGTATCGCTTTTCAACTGACTTGTCTCTGATGGATGTTCTACCCAAAATGCTTTTGTATCTTTACTTTTCACTTCAAGATCTACACCAGGTAGTGTAGATACAGGAATTCCTAAATAGATCTCAGCAAACTTGGCAAGTTCATCAAAATAGAAGTAATGATGGCCATCAAATTCTCCCACAGGTACAATATAAATTTTACCATCTGGATATTTCTCCAGTATGTTAGACCCTTCAGGAACAAACCTCTGTTTTACACTCTTTCTCTTTCTAGATGATATCCAAGGACAATCCTGTAGAAACTGTTTGTATGTTTGTCCATCCTCATTGTACTGTGCTAACCAGTCATCTATATTTGTAGGTTTCGGAACTGGCTTGAAGAATTCAAAATTATCATGTGGCAATGCATGGTATTCTTGTGGGACACTTCTATCAAAGCCAATAGCCTTGAGTTGTCTATCTTTGTTCGGAGGTCTAAATCCTGATGCATATGGTACATATTTACTGTTCTCCTTTGTTTTTCTAATTCTAGGCATCTTTAGTTGCTGCAATTGAAATAGAAGAAATAGCTTATGTTTCGATCATCTTTTACAGAAATATGGAATTCCAAAAACATACATGTATACATTATATGAACTTATACTTGCCACTTACATGTATATCCCATTGCCATCTAGTTTGTCATGACAATTTTCTGAAGTTAACCTTTTCGGTGCTACTATAAATCAAATTGGATTGATTATAAGTAGATATTTTTATAACATAAAATATTAAAAGGAAAAAAATCCGGAAACATTTAGAGGTTTCATGAAGGCTGTTATTACAATCAAAATCAGTCAGCTATAGACTTGAGTTATCTCCTATTTAATGTTGTAATAACACTTTTTGTAAACAATTCTTTTACCTTACTTTAATCAGCTTTCAGTCTTTGTAAAAATAAATGCGGAATGTGTCCATGGGACACAAATGATGTACCCCGCATGCATATAACGTTATAAAGGGACATAACACAAGAGCTGTAAAAGTGATGCTACCCGATATTTGTAATTGGGTCAATGTTCGCAATTGTTTCTCCATAGGCGGTAATGGTAACGTTTTCTTCTGTTACTCAGTCCATATCTTTAACTTGGATATGTATGATGGCTCGTTTCGAAGCTTAGACATTTTCACATATGTGGTTAAATTTTCGGGGTAGGAAGTGAGATTACTTTTCCCGTAAATTAGCAAACCCCGAAAAATCCTTTCTTGATGTGGCTCCTCGTGGTAAAAAATCCCTTTTTTAACACAATAAGTTCTTTGAAAATTTAATACTTTGAATACATTTAATAGCTCCATAGTTTTTACACATTTATTCTATGTTCCCCTACTTTCTAAATCAACACAAATGGTTAAGCTCAGTCACTGGTTTATCATAGAAACGTGTCAAATATCACTACACAGAGATTTTTTGTTTACACACAACTTTTGAGTTCCTCATTTTGATGCGCATTAGGGATATTGACCCAATTGATCTGAGTTTTCTGGTAATAAGCATTGTTTATAGTTTCATAATATTTGGTTGAGGCAAACTTAAGTTAGAGAACGGAAACGAAAAATTCAGCAATTTTTCCATTTTTCCATTTGTAAAGGGGCATAACTCTAGATCTAGAACGGTGAAAGTGACGCCACCAAAATTCAAACTTGAACTGTGTTTTGTGGTAATTAGCATTGTGCATAAGTTTCATAACATTTGGTTGAGGCAAACTAAAGTTCGAGAACAGAAACGAATATTTCAGCAATTTTTCCATTTGTAAAGGGCATAACTCTAGAAGAGCAAAAGTGACACCATCAAAATTCAAACTAGATCTGTGTTTTGTGGTAATAGGAAGTGTGTATAAGATTCATAACATTTGGTTGAGGTAAACTAAAGTTAGAGAACAGAAACAAAAATTTAGCAATTTTTCCATTTGTAAAGGAGCATAACTCTAGAAAGGTAAAAGCGACACCACCCAAATTCATACTTGATCTGTGTTTTATGCTAATAAGCATTGTGTATATAAGATTCATAACATTCGGTTGAGGCAAACTAAAGTTACAGAATGGAAACCAATAATTGGATGTCGAACAATTTTTGCTGAGAAAAAGATAACTTGTACAACTCACTATCTTTGAGTTATTTTTGTTTCTTCCTTCTGTTTTATAAAAATAAGAAGATGTGATATGATTGCAAATGAGACAACTCTCCACAAGAGACCAAATGACACAGAAATTAACAACTATAGGTCACCATATGGCCTTCAACAATGAGCAAAGCCCATACCGCATAGTCACTAATAAAAGGCCACGAAATGACAATTGTAAAACTATGCAAACGGGAAAACTAACGGCCTGATTTATGTACAAAATAATGAAAGAAAAACAAATATGATATGCAGCAACAAACGACAATCACTGAATTACAGGCTCTTGTTTTTTTTAAATGTTTTATTCAAAAACTCCTCTCTTGGGGTTTGTTATTTTTTTTTTTTTAATTTGGCTTCCTTTACATTACTAATAGTCTCTCTGTATCTTTCACATGTGAATACTGAATTATTAGATTTATTGTCATCCCACAATTTAATTATCTCATCATGAAATTTCTTTCTACACTGTTTTCCATCTTTACAGTTCAATTATGCCTACTAAACTGAACAGTTTTGCTCACATATTTGTTAAATAAAAAGTACTCACATGTTAAAAACTTATACCTTTAGGCCAAGTTATAAATTGTTTGTTTAAAGGGAAAAGATTTGTTGTGAACATCAAATAGGCCAAGGTAGAATAATGATTTGTACAAGTTATTATCTTTTTCTCAATAAAAGTTTTACAAGTAATTACTTGTACAATTGAATTTGTACAAGTAATAACTTGTATGATGGCATCATACAAGTAAATACTGGTACAAAATGTTTGTACAAATAAAAGCTTGTACAAAATAATAACATGTACAGGACATATATAACAGATACTAACAAAGATCTGCCATGATCAGGACAATCTAAGGTATAACAGAAGACAACTAAGGACAGGCACAGTAATATTGATTCCAACCCTTTCTATTACTTACAGTGTCATTTCAAATGCTATATCCATCACACAACAGATCATACAGTACACTGTTTTTGCTCTCAGAATACAAGAGTGTCCAATTTATTTTAATCTTATTATTATAAATAAAATACACTTATCAAATACAAAAAATGTCAATGAAAGTGATAGTAATATAGAATAGAACTGTCAAGATTTTAAATTATTTCTACTGGTGCATTTTTTATAAAGTCAATACGTCTGGAAATCCATTCAGCCTCATCTTTCATACCATGATGCTGATAAAATTTGAGAAGATTTTCATATCTTGTTATGACATTAAAGCCCACAAGTGTTTGAAGTTTATGTAAATCCACTGGACAAAGATGCATAGGCTGGCGAAAATCTTCAGCTAAATGTCCCGAACCATTCATACAACACTCAAAGAATATGCAATGTCCTATACCCAATAAGTGCCCTATCTCATGTACAAGTAATTTACAACTTCTATGGAATGTCAACTTCTGAATATGCTCCTGAGACATGCGCTGATTTCTACGAATATTGTACCAATCTGCATTGGAAAAAGATAATGATGGATCATAACGGAAGAAACTAAATACTGCAACATGATCTCCACCAGCAGCCCACCCTGCAACAAATAAGTCTGATTGTTCTCTGTATAAATCACTCATTGTTAATCCTATCAATGACAAGGCATCTTTTGGAATGTTTTGACGAAGCATATATAACAAACTGGCTATTCCTATCTGGTATCTGTGATGTTTGCCATAGAATCTACTTTCCAACGCTGTTTTGTTAGGGAGCTTTGAACTCTCACCATAGGATGAGGTTTCCAAAACACTATTTGTCCAATAAACTTTTTTATCTGTGAAATTCACATCAATTTCAATGCCATTTAAGATAACAACAGGTATTCCTAAATATATTTCGGCAAACTTTGCAAGTTCATTGAAGTGGACAAAGCCTTTGGCACTAAATTTCCCAATGGGTAGAAGATAGATTTTTCCTTCAGGATATTTCTCACATAGATTTCTACCAGTTGGAACAAACTTCTGATTTATACCCCTGACCTGACTTGGTGACAACCATGAGCATGTAGATAAATAATCCGCAAAGCTCTGACCTGGATCAACATATTGGGCTAACCAATCATCAATACTTGTTGGCGTGGGGATTGGCTTGAAAAATTTAAAATCTTTATCAGGCTGACAATTATATTCAGGTGGTACAAAACAATCATACCCTACAGCTTCAATTTGTTCTTCATTGGTAGGAGGAACATATCCAGAAGCATAAGGTATATACTTCACAGTCCTCTTTGTCCTTACTTTTGGCATATCTATTGACTTAAGAAAGCCATGTATCAGACACTACAAACATAATTAGTCAAATTAAGAATCAGACCATAACAATATTACTCTATGGTTGAAATAAACTTTAAATACACAAGAGGCTCATAAGAGCCTGAATCACTCACCTGGTAACAAATATGCCACTTTCATATTTATTTTTTTCCTTTATGGCAATCAGTTATGTTTGTTTATTTGTAGATCTTATTTAGTGGTATTTTTGTAGGTCTTGTATTGATGATCATTTTTACTGTTTACTGTTTACAGTTTATACTCATCTGTTTAAGATTTTGAGATAAAAAACGTTATTCAATGGCAATAAATCCAATAACTAGTGTGATAAGTTGTAGATCTTATTTTGCTGATCTTTTTTGGCTTTTTAAAGTTTCTCTCTAACTCCTATAGTTTTGACAAAAAAGCAAAAAATGGATAAAAATCATTCTAGGGGAAATAACTTCTATACGGAGTCAGTTGACAATTTCAGCCTTGATGACTGATTTGTAAATATCATTTTTGCTTGTTTACTGTTTCTCTCTTTTTATTATAGTTTTGTGTGAAAAAACTGCAAAAAAAGAAAAGAAAATCATCTTTCAAAGGCAATAACTCCTCTTAGGGGTCAATTGACAATTTCAACCATGTTGACTTCTTTGTAGATCTTTTTTGGCTGAACATTTTTGCTCCCTAACTATCTTTGTTTCTGCAAAAATCCATAAAATGGATAAAAATGGTCATTCAGGGACAGTAACTACAAGCACTTGTCTCTGAAAAAATACCTACAGTGTATATGCCTTAATATAACAAGAGGTACCCAACTGAGTGTTCAACTCGCTTTTTGGAGAAATGCCACTCGTTCACCAACTTCCTTAACATTTAGATTTTATTCCACTGAGTCTTGTTATGTCTTAAATCTACATTAAATTATCTACAAAATGGTGTATATCCTATTTCTGTTAGAATCATTTATTGCAGGCCTTCAAAGTTTCTGCAAAAATGGCTAAAAGTCAACTTCCTAGGGCAATAACTCTTACTTGTTGACTTACTTGTAGGTCTTATTTTGCTGAAAATTTTTGATTGCTCAAATTCTCTTTTTCTATAATAGTTTCTGTAAAAAAATGGGTATAAAATGACTTTCAACTGCAATAACTCCTATAATATTGACAATTTCGTCTGTGTTGACTTATTTGTAGATCAAAAAGTGCTTAAAGGCTTGACAACTGAATCAATCTTTATCACTATTTTGTGTATTTTTCCTTTGATCTCTTTTTTAAGATAATTTTTCATAGCATGCTACTCACTTGAGATGTAAAATCATTGCTAGAAACTTAGGGCGCACATGCTGTTGTCAATCTAAACGTCAATGATGTCGTAGGAAAACTAGCAATAAACAGATTATCAATGGTCTTTCAAACTCTAGGATGTTTCTCTGCCACATCTTATCTCAGAGCTGTTGCCCTTTGATGAGATTGTAGATTACTAAATAGTCAGTCGTTTGAAAAACTATCGATAATCTATAATTTTATTGACAATAGTTTCTGCAAAAATGAAAAGTGTAAATATAATTCAAAGGCAATAACTCTATACATGCTATAAGAGCTCAATTGATGATTTCCGCCAAGATACCTTTTTTGTAGATCTTATTGTTCTGGTCAGTTTTATTTTTTAAAATTTCTCTCTATCTGCTATAGGTTTCAAGATAAAAACAAAATCAACTCTACAGACCAAAAAAATCTGAATAGCTGAAATTTTTGTAAAATTAGGATTGGGGCCTGTGGATTTCAAAATTTATACTAAACCCAGTATCTATTGGTACCAACTAGTTGGCATTAAAAGGGGATTTTTTTTACCAATTATCAAGTTTTTACTTCTCATATCCAAAGTTATAAAATAGATACAAGTAGATAGAAGATACAGTATAAACAGGGATACTAAGTAATATTTTTGATAGCTGCAGGGTGATTCAGGTTAATTCATAAAGTCATATGAGCTGTCAATTTTTCCTCTGTTTTTTTAAATGATTTCAGTGTAACAATCTTTTCTCAATTAAAATAAAATGCTCCACTGGGTGCAGCTTGATACAACTGCAGAGGTCGAACCCTGAACAGTTGGGGCAAGTATGGACACTACATTCAACCTTAATACAACTCTGGATTTGGTTTGTGATTAAATATTTGAGACAGCATAGGTTTCTGACACAGAATGAATGTGGTCAAAGAACTGAAACTTTTGAATTGGACTTTTACCTATCATGGTCCAAAATCCAAATACACGCTTAGATTCAGCATAATATACATGTAGAATGCCAAAAATTCAATTTTTTGTAAAATCAAACAAAGTTTAATTTTGAACCCTTTGGACATCAATGTGGATCAATTTGATAAAGGGGCCCAAAATCCAAAAACTAAGTTAGATTCAGCATACCAAAGAACCTCATATATTCAACTTATGTTGAAATCAAACAAAGTTTACTATTGAATCCCGATTTAGACCAACTTGAAAACTTGGCCCAATATCAAAAATCTAAATACATGCTTAGATTCAGTATATCAAAGAACCCCTTAAATTCATAAAAATGAATTTAATTTTGAACTACATTTGTATATGGACCAATTTGAAAACCGGTCCCAAAATCAAAAAATTAAATACACAGCATGGTTAGATTCAGCATGTCAAAGAACCCCAAGAATTGAATTTCCTTTTAAATCAAATAAAGTTTAATTTTGGACCCTTTGGGCCTTAATGTGGACCAATTTGAAAGAGTTTCATAACATTTGGTTGAGGCAAACTAAAGTTGGAGAACGGAAACGAAAAATTCAACAATTTTTCCATTTGTAAAGGAGCAAAACTCTAGAACAGTAAAATAAAACGCCACCAAAATTCAAACTTGATCTGTGTTTTGTGGTAATAAGCATTGTGTATAAGTTTCATAACGTTTGGTTGAGGCAGACTTAAGTTAGATTACAGCAATGCAATGGAAAATTCAGCAATTTTTCCATTTGTACAGGGGCATAACTCTAGAATGATAAAAGTGACGCCACCAAAATTCAAAATTGATCGGTGTTTTGTGGTAATAAGCATTGTGTATAAGTTTCATAATGTTTGGTTGAGGCAAACTAAAGTTAGAGAGCGCAAACCCAATTTTGGGATGTTCGTATGTACGGACGTAGTCCAAATAATGCCGTTTATGTACGGATTTTTGATAAAAAAATTTTGGACGCCTTCCTTCAACGTCGTAGGAAGGCGTAACAGCAAAATAAAATAAATGTGGATAGTGTCCACATGTGGACACAGATGATGCCCCCGCTTGCATATCATATAGTTATAAAGGGACATAACTGAAGAACGGTAAAAGTGACACTACCCAAATTTGAACTTGATCTGAGTTTTGTGGTAATAAGCATTGTGTGTAATCTCATAACATTTGGTTGAGGCTAACTTAAGAAGAGAACAGAAACTAAAAATTCAGCAATTTTTCTATTTGTAAACACACATAACTCTAGAACAGTTGTGTATAAGTTTTATAACATTTGGTTGAGACAAAATTAAAACTTCAGCAATTTTTATGTTTATAAAGGGACATAACTCAAAAATGGTAAAAGTGTCGCCACCTAATTTCGTACTTAATCTGTATTATGTAGTAATAAGCATTGTGTATAAGTTTCATAACATTTGGTTGAGGCAAACTAAAGTTAGAAAACGGAAACAAAAAATTTGTACTTGATCTTAGTTTTGTGGAAATGAATATTGTATATAGGTTTCATAATGTTTGGCTGGGGCAAACTTAAGTTACAGAATGGAAACCCAAAATTTTGCAATCTTTCGATTTATAAAGGGGCATAACTCAATAATGGTTAAAGTGACACTACCCAAATTCAACTTGATCTGTGTTTTATCAGTGGAAGTCAAAATTAAACATTGCATTTTATAAAGCATTGATTGTTGTTGATTCAACTATAATCATGGACAAAGGAAGATAACTCCAATTTTAAAAATAACTTGATATTCAGAAGAAAATAAAAATTTTGCAATTTTTCCGTTTATAAAGGGACATAACTCTAGAACAGTTAAAGTGACGTGACCAAAATTAAAACTTGATCTGTGTTTTGTGGTAATAAGCATTGTGTATAAGTTTCATAACATTTGGTTGAGGAAAACTTATGTAAGAGAACGGAAACTAAAAATTTTGCAATTTTTCCTTTTATAAAGAGGCATAACTCTAGATCCGTTTAAGTGACGCCACCAAAATTCACACTTGATCTGTGTTTTGTGGTAATAAGCATTGTGTATAAGTTTCATAACATTTGGTTGAGGCAAACTTAAGTTAGAGAACGGAAACTAAAAATTTTGCAATTTTTCCTTTTATAAAGGGGCATAACTCTAGAACGGTTAAAGTGACGCCACCAAAATTCACACTTGATCTGTGTTTTGTGGTAATAAGCATTGTGTATAAGTTTCATAACATTTGGTTGAGGCAAACTTAAGTTAGAGAACGGAAACTAAAAATTTTGCAATTTTTCCATTTATAAAGGGGCATAACTCTAGAACGGTTAAAGTGACGCCACCATATTTCAAACTTGATCTGTGTTTTGTGGTAATAAGCATTGTGTATAAGTTTCATAACATTTGGTTGAGGCAAACTCAAGTTAGAGAACGGAAACCAATTTCGGGACGTACGTACGTACGTACAGACGGACAAGGGTAAAACTTAATGCCCCCACCGCTACGGCGGGGGCATAAAAATAGCCTTTCTAGAAGGCATAATTATTTGGACTTGTCCGCTACGGCAGGGGCATAAAAATCAGTATCAGTCAGGTTTAATCTACCATTTTCTACTTATTAAAGGAAATGTCTGTACCAAATCAGGAATATTACAGTTGTTTTCCATTCGTTTGATGTGTTTGGGCTTTTTATTTTGCCATTTTATAAAAGGACTTTTCGTTTTGAATTTCCCTTGGAGTTCGGTATTTATGTTATTTTACTTTTTACCAAGGTAAACAAACGACCCAATATCATAAATGTCACAAGAAGAGTTACTTTTTAAGTTAAATATAAGTAAATTTGGAAACAATCTTACATTAAATTGGTTATAAACTGTGGTTCTTTCATAATCAAGCTGTCAGTGTTTCAATATTGTGCAATCAGTAGGCTGGTCCTCTTCCTTGCAACATACGGGTATCTGAGACAAACAAATAGAGGACAAGAAACCAGTCTATGCATTCAGTTTCATCTGTGAAGATAGAAATAGTGTTAGAACTGGTACTATATTTCGTTTTTCTACTACCACTTGACTCTAAACAGCAATTTTAAATTTGAATACCAGGCCACCTAATACGGCGGGAAAGTAGTTTTTTTTTCAGGTTCGCATTATCAGTGATTTTTTTTACACTCTAGCCATACATTTACTTGAATTTGAATATGTAAACAGTTAACCGGAGAGGTCGGTTATTTGATGAAGTATTAAGTATTGAACATAGACTAGGAAAAGAAAGGGATGAGAAAACGTTATAGGATTCAAAACGAGTGGGAAATTATATTCTTCTAGTCCAAATAATTATGACGTCTTGAAAGGCTATGATATTTTTTTGCTTTGACGCCTTACAGCGAAAAATATCATAGCCTTTCAAGACGTCATAATTATTTGGACTTATATTCTTCTTGTTCGTAAGATTGTTGTATAATTTTTGTGTGTATGCCCCTTGAGGGTCCAAGATTGGATAATGAAATCTTGAATCTTTAATCTTGTAACTCTTTCCAAATTAAGCAGTTCTCATGAGGCCAGAATCCAAATTTGCTCCCGACACAGAATTCCATTGTAGTTAAAATCTAGTGATTTGCTCCTAATCCATTTGTTTAAAAAATAACTCATTTGGTGACAAATTTCAGGGTTAGTGAGTTGCATAATATTTTCGCTGGGTATCTGAAAGTTTGCACATCATTGAATTTATTTACAATACTGTCTAGTGTTTTGTGTTGCTGTGTTTGTGTATAAAACATTGTTTGTTCCAATTCCAGGAGCAGTCCTACATTTTCAGACTGTCTCTGGTGTTTCCCATGAAAATGATCTATATACATGTAGCAACACCTGGTAAATCTGATCTAAATTTTTAAAGGATGGTTAAGTGTTGTCATGAGCTGTTTACGATACTAACAGATTATTACGAATTATTTATGGTAAAATCAATCCGTGGACAATCGTTTAAAGATTTTTATACGACCGCAAAAAAATTTTGCGGTCGTATATTGGTATGACATTGGCGTTGTCGTCGTCATCCGAAGACACATTGGTTTTCGCACTCTAACTTTAGTTTAAGTGAATGGATCTTTATGAAATTTTACCATAAGGTTCAATACCACAAAAGGAAGGTGGGGATTGATTTTGGGGTTATGGTACAAACTGTTAAGGAAATAGGGGCCAAAAATAAGCATTTTTTTAACTTCCAGACATAACTTGTGTATTAGTGTATGGATCTCTCTGACATTGTACCACAAGGTTCCATATCACAAAGGGAATGCTGGGATTGATTTTGGGGGTAATTGTCTCCAAATTTTAGGAATTAGGGGCCAAAAAGGGGCAAAAAATAAGCATTTTTCTAGTTTCATGACAATAACTTGTGTGTAAGTGTATGGATCTCTCTGACATTGTACCACAGGGTTCCATATCACAAAGGGAATGCTGGGATTGAGTTTGGGGGTAATTGCCTCCAAATTTTAGGAAAAAGGGGCCAAAAAGGGGCAAAAAACAAGCAGTTTTCTAGTTTCATGACAATAACTTGTGTGTAAGTGTATGGATCTTTATGAAATTGTACTACAAGGTTCCATATCACAAAGGGAAAGCTGGAATTGAGTTTGGGAGTAATTGCCCAAAACGTTTAGGAATAAGGGGCTAAAAAGGGGCCAAAAATAAGCATTTTTCTACTTTCCAGTTCAAGTGTATGGATCTCTCTGAAATTGTACTGCAAGGTACCATACCACAAAAAGAAGGCTGGGATTGATTTTGGGGGTAATTGCCTCAAAATTTTAGGAATTAGGGGCCATAAAGGGGCAAAAAAACAAGGATTTTTTTGTTTCAGGACAATAACTTGTGTGTTAGTGTATGGATCTTTATGAAATTGTACTACAAGGTTCCATATCACAAAGGGAAAGCTTGGTTTGAGTTTGGGGGTAATTGCCCTAAACGTTTAGGAATTTGGGGCCAAAAAGGAGCCAAAAAACAAGCATTTTTCTAGTTTCCAGACAATAACTTGTGTTCAAGTGTATGGACTCTCTGAAATTGTTCTGCAAGGTACCATATCACAAAGGGAAGGCTGGGATTGAGTTTGGGGGTGATGAATCATAAGGGGTTCAAAAAATTTTGGGGGGTGGGATTTTTTTTTCATTTTTTTTCTTTAAAATTTTCCATTTTAAATTGGTTATTTCTGATTTATATATAAAAGCAAATAATAATGATATGGTTTGAATAGGTAAATTAAAAAATTTTAAGTTTTTAGACCACATTCATTCTGTGTCAGAAACCTATGCTGTGTCAAATATTTAATTACAATCCAAATTCAGTGCTGTATCAAGCTTGAATGTTGTGTCCATACTTGCCCCAACTGTTCAGGGTTCGACCTCTGCGGTCGTATCAAGCTGCACCCCAGCGGAGCATTTTATTGACACATGAATAAATTTGCCTCTCCTTTTCACTGATTGTTAAAGAGTGTGTGTGAATTGAAACGAGTTATGTACGGATACCAGAGAGTTATTTACAGATGTAAGGACTCTTATGAAAAATCCATAAACGGGGCATTACTTTAAATGACTATTAAAGTGGGTAAATTATTTAATAGACTACCTATCAGATTAATTTCCTCTTTCTTGTGCCACAATATCAAGAAATCACTGTGTCATCATAACTTTTGAGAACTTTCTTATTCATTCTGATGATTCACTTTATCATGTTTATTTCATCATCTTTGGATAACCTTGCTTTCTTATGAACCTTAAGGAAATAATTTACCCTCAGTCTCTATGTTCTGATGAACTTATCATTTAAGAATTTATTGCGAAAGAAATGAAACCTTTCCACAGAATCACTTTTCTCTTTGTCAAGGTATTTAAACTTCTGTTAGTTCACTTGTTCCATTGAATAAATACAATAGCTACATGTATTGTTCTCTGTGTAGTGTATTCACTGGGACTTTTAAATTTCTTCTAAGAGAAATCCATCACTCATTGATTAATTTACCTCAAGAAAAAAAAAGTATCTTCTAAGTAGATGAAAATACATGTATCAACTCACAAAACTGCATGAGATGCTGTATTTATTTAATATCAATAATATTTTTTCAATTTGTTCAATATAAACACTGATTCAAACATTAAAAGTTGATGTCTGACGAAAATTTTCAACATTGTTCCTAATGAAAAACTTGAAAATGACAATGTTTAAATTAAGGCCTGCTTAAAAGTATTCTATAACAAAACAAACACAAAAAAAATGCAAATCTCAGAAGGAACAAAGAATTTTGCCAGAAATCCACTTTTTATGATTAAATCAGTGTTTATGTTGAACAGATTGCAAATATATTATTCCCCCCGCGTAATGCGTTTGCAGGGACATGGAAATACCGGGCATCCTTCCGTCCGGTCTTGTTTGCGCGCTCATGTGTACAATTCTTGCCAGATTTTAATGAAACTTATATCATAGGTTTATATCAGCAATGTCTTGGGCAAGTTTGAAAATCAGTGCCGATCAATTATTTTTAAAAGAGCTATGCCCCTTGGAAATATAAATTATATGGAGAATTGCGTTGTTAGCGCTCTCATATGTACAATTCTTGCCAGAATTTTATGAAACTTAAATCATAGGTTTATATTAGCAATGTCTTGAACGAATTTGAAAATCAGAGCCGAATAACAATTTTTAAAAGAGTTATGCGCCTTGGAAATATTAACTATATGGAAAATTGCCTTATGAGCGCTCTAATGTGTACAATTCTTGCCAGTTTTTATGAAATTTATATTATAGGTTTATACCATCAATGTTCTTGAAGAGTTCAAAAATCAGTGCCAATCAATTATTTTTAAAAGAGTTATGCCTCTTGAAAATATTGATTATATGGAAAATTATCGTTCTCATGTGTTTAATTCTTGCCAGAATTTTCTGAAACTTATATCATAGGTTTATATCAGCAATGTCTTTGACACTTTCAAAATAAGTTCTGATCAAATATTTTTAGCAAGTTATGCCCCTTGGAAATATAAATTATAATGGAAATCACATTGCATTTGCTCTGAAGCCTTCATTTCTCTTAAGATATTAATAAAAAAATTTAAAGAACAAAAAAAAATTGCTTTTTTTAGTTATTGCCCTTGTACCTTGGATAGATAAAATATGTGCAATGTGGGGGACATTGGAACTCTGTTCTATTATTGATATTGAATAAATACATGATTATAGACATAGATACATGATACGTGATTGTTTGCGGTATTTTGTGAAAAAAAAACTTTTTCATCTAGTAGAAGTTGAAAATGCTTGTAAATGATTCTAGAACACTTCACTAGTCAGTCCAAAGACATTTGTCATCCAAAGACATTTTGGTTCAGACAATAACTTGAGTATAAGTGTATGGATCTCTATGAAATTTTAGCACAAGGTTCCATATCACAATAAGAGGGTTGGGATTGATTATGGGGGTTGTAGTCATAGCTGTTTAGTAATTAGGGGCCAAAAAGGGGCAAAAACATGCATTTTTCTGGTTCCTATGAAATTTTAGCACAAGGTTTCATAGCACAATAGGAAGGTTGGAATTGATTTTGTGGGTTATTGTCCAGCTGTTTAGTAATTAGGGGCCAAAAACAAGCATTTTTCTTGTTTCAGGACAATAACTTGTATTTAAGTGTATGGATCTGTATTAAATTTTACCACAGGGTTCTATACATCAAAAGGAAGGTTGGAATTGATTTTTGGGGTCATGGTCTAAATCGTCTTGAAATTAAGGGCAGAAAAGGGGCCAAAAAACAAGGATCTGCTGGTGTCTTGACAATAACTTGAGTATAAGTCTATGGATTTCTATGAAATTGTACCACAAGGTTCCATACCCTAAAGGGATGGTTGGGATTGATTTTGGGGGTAATGACCCTAACCGTTTCGGAAAAAGGGCCCAAAAGCAATACTTTTGTAATGCTTTGTATGAATTGCTTATTTCTTGGCCAATTTCAATGGAGTTTACTTGAAAGTCTTGAATTTTTGGGGTTCTTTAATATTTTGAATCCAACCGTGTATTTAGAATTTGGATATTGGGCCCTGTTTTTGAATTGGTATATATTATGGTCTAAAGGGTCCAAATTAAACTTGGTTTGATTTCATCAAAAATTGATTTACTGGTGTTCTTTGATATCTAACCAAGTATTTGATTTTTAGTTTTGGGGTCTGTCTTCAAATTGGTCCACATTAAGGTCCTAAGGGTCCAAAATTAAACTTTGTTTGATATAAAATAGAAATAAATTCTTGGGGTTCTTTGATATGCTGAATCTAACAGAGTATTCAGATTTTTGATTTAGGGACCAGTTTTCAAATTGTTCTACATGATATAGTCCAAAGGGTTCAAAATTAAACTTGTTTGATTTGAACAAAAATTGAATTCAAGGTTTTTTTTTGATATGCTGAATCTAAACATGTATTAAGATTTTTTATTTTGGGCCCAGTTTTCAAGATGGTCCAAAACTGGGGTCCTAAAATTAGATTTTGTTTGATTTCAACAAAAATTGATTATGTGAGATTCTTTGATATGCTGAATCTAACCATTTATATATTTTTGATTTGGGCCCAACTTTCAAGTTGTCAAAAACAAGGACCAAAATTAAACTTGGCTTGATTTCAACAAAAATTGGAAATATTGAGATCTTTGATATGCTGAATCTAAATTTGTATTTAGATTTTTGATTTTGGGCCTTGTTATCAAATTGGTCCACATACAGGTCCAAAGTGTCCAAAATTAAACTTTGTTTGATTTCATCAAAAAATAAATACTTGTGGTTCTTTGATATGCTGATTCTAACCATGTAAAAACTATTTAGATTTTGGATATTGGAACATAATAGCTAAATGTCTAATTTCAAATTTTTAAGTTCCTAGACCACATTCATTCTGTGTCAGAAACTGCTATGTCAAATGGGTCAATATGCATAATTGATTTCCCATAAGCGGTTATGGTAACATTTTCTTCTGTAGCTCAGTCCATATAGTAAACTTGGATATGTATGATGGCTTGTTACGAAGCTGAGTATGTGGTTAAATTTTCTGGGTACGAAGTGAGATTCATTTTTCCTTAAATTAGCATACCCTGAAATCCTTTCGTGATGCGGCTCCTTGTGGTAAAAAATCCCTTTTTTCACACAATAAGTTGTTTGAAAATTTAATACTTTGAATACATTTAATAGCTCCATAGTTTTTACACATTTATTCTGTGGTACTCTATATATCTAGCTACTTTCCAAATCAACACAAATGATTAAGCTCAGTCACTTGTAAAAAAAAAAACATGTCCAATATCACTACACAGAGATTTTTTGTTTATGCACAACTTTTGAGTTCCTCAATTTGAGGCGCATTAGGGATATTGACCCAAATATATAATCACAATTTAAATTCTAAGCTGTATTGCACAATAAATAGAAATTTTATAAGTAGAGTCATAGATATAACATCAAATCATGTATAAATACAGTTTGAAATTTACTCTTCATTATTAAATATTTTAAATTTGATTAACAGTAACTTTTATATATTTAAAAGATTAAATCTAAACCCTTCAAAATGAAAGTTTCATATCTTTTCTCAATTACAAAATGGTTAAGTAGAGCTGTAAATCTGTCATCACATGCTGATAAAGGGACAGATAGTATCACTGAACAAACAGATGTTTAAAACAAAAAACTGAGTTTGCAGAGATGATTGTGTCCAGTTTCTGGTATTACCACTCCAGGACAGGAACAATGGAAGTTAATTTAAATTTTGTTTATTTTAATATTTTTATAACTAATCATGAAGATTAGACATTGAAATGAATGAAGGAAAGTTTGTGATGTATTAATCCCCTACACACTAGCTAATGTGTGTATTTGTTTGATTATTTTGTAATTCTTTGTTATATTTGAATGTATTTCATGATTAGTTTTACAGCTAACTGTGTAACCCTCTTTGATTAAAGATTTATTATTACATGTATTATATTATTATTATTATTATTATTATTTTAAAAGAAATGAAATTTTTTTTTTCTTCCTTTAAAAACTACACACAATTTGTATTACATATTTACATTTGTATTTAACTAAGTACAGTCAAACCTGGGTAAACCGGACCCTGAATAAACTGGTTTCCTGTCCATTCCAGACGAAAATTGAAGTCCCATTTTTTCCCCTGCAAAGTCTTTGTAAATATACCCCCTGTAAACCAGACCCTGTGTATTCTGAATTCCGTTGTAATTATGCAGTCCATATACTCTTAATTATATTAATCATGTTAATTATTACTTGTCAAAACCAGCTTTGTTTAATTAATTTAACATGATAACAGTATTGATTGATGTGCAATTAAAACATAACTGCATGTTTATACAAGATGGATTTTCAGGATAATCAGTTAGCAAGTTGTTAAACAGTGAACTTACAGTAGTGAACTATATTATTGAAACACTATTAAGTTTTAACTTAAATAAGCTAAAAGACACGCCAAACATATCTTGGATAGAACTTAGGTTGTAACTTTGATAAATTTTTTCCAATCGTGGAGTAAGAAATTTACATATTGTTTTTGAAATGCTGGGTTCCCTGTTGACTACCCTGAAAGCAATGACCCTGATAATGAAGAACACCTGGATGACGACATTCCATTGTCGAGTTTATGGGTAGCTTACATTGTATGACGATGTTCCGCTCATGATGAAATTTTGTTTGATAAAATTCTTGCTTTCAACAGATTTTACCATCGTAATAAATGAATGATGGAAGTAAAACAAAACTCTCGTTGAACAAATCAAACAACATGAGGATTCTGATGCAAATGAAAACAATGAAAAAGTGAAAATGAAACTGGCGAGTCGGAGACTGATGCTATTTGACATACGAGGATATGTTAAAAAAGTTCAATTATTATTTTTTTGAATTTGGGGGACAACCAATTTCTGAAATTTCTTAAGCCAATGAATACGAAGACTCAAAACAACGATCTTGCCATAGCCAGTCAGTTTATACAGGTTTTACTGTCCAAAGGGTCCAAAATTAAACTTTGTTTGATTTCATCAAAAAATAAATTTTTGGGGTTCTATGATTTGTTGAATATAACCGTGTATTTAGATTTTGGATATTGGACCGTAATAGGTAAAATACCAATTTTTAAAAAAATTTCAGTTCTTCGACCACATTTATTCTGTGTCAGAAACCTATGATGTGTCAAATATTTAATCAAAATCCAAATTCAGAGCTGTATCAAATTTGAATGTAGTGTCCATACTTGCCCCAACTGTTCAGGGTTTGACCTCTGCAGTCGTATCAAGCTGCGTATCACTGAGCATTTTATTTATTTACTGGTACAGGTAAAATATTTTGGAGGCAGAGTTATATCCCTTAGACATTCAGACTTTGTTTTACTTATGCAAGTAAAAAAGTCTTATCTTCTTCTACTCTCGAACTTCTCTTGACTACATTGCTCTAATAGAATGTTTAATTGTTTGTCATTAATAGTTGTCTTTACTATTCATAATAGACTAGTATAATTCATGGACAATGAAAACCTCATTTGTCTGTTATCTTCAAAATATTGCTCATTTACAAGCCTCCAGGGAGCAATTTTTGAAGGCCTTGTGCAGTTACTTTACATCTTTGCAAAGTGACTTAACGTTTTTGCGCAGTTACTTAACATCTTTGCGCAATGGATTTCTTTGCTTAGTTTTGAGAAATAAGGTTGAATTCTAATAAAAAATTAATTAGCAAACCACTAAAATTCTGTTTAGGCATGTTTTGACCTCCCAAAACATGAGAATTTAAGGGTTGTAAAAAAAAAAAAAAATTACTTGCATAAGTAAATTTTTGGAGAAGATTAAGGGGAGATACTGGTAATTCAAACCTTTAAAATAAGATAGAAATATTACTTACATCTTCAAGTACATAAAAATGACTTGTATAAGTGTTACCCCTTACTGCTAGTGTTAAATTATGCCAGAATCACAAAAAACGGATTAGGAAAGTTGTGTTTGTCAATTTAACCAGAAATAAGAAAAGAATGTGTAAATCTCAAACAATACAGTGAGAGTGGGCAGAAAATGTGTACTTGGTAAATATTTCAAAAGAATACAACTTTTGCTTGGTGTGGCCCTACTAAATATGCACATTCATCATGTACATGTGTATGGTTCATGCAAGAGTATATCTCTATAATTGGGACTTGGTGATTATATAGTTTGAATCCCCATATCAACTGAAAGGATATTTCTTGTGTTAATACTTGTTGTTTATGTTTATTTTCAGGTACATGTATAAATGAGAATTCATCATGTCCAGAGAAGATATAAATTTTGTTGTAGAGATATTTAAAACGTAGGTAGAACTTTTTATGCCCCACCTAGGGGTATTATGTTTTTCGGTCTGTCCGTCCGTCTGTCCCGCTTCAGGTTAAAGTTTTTGGTCAAGGTAGTTTTTGATGAAGTTGAAGTCCAATCAACTTGATACTTAGTACACATGTTTCCTATGATATGATCTTCCCTCTAATTTCACGGTCCACTGAACATAGAAAATGATAGTGTGAGTGGGGCATCTGTGTACTATGGACACATTCTTGTTTTATCTTGACTTAATACCATGATTTAAAAATTATTGCAAAGAAGTTTTATAAAAGTCAGATAATACCTCCAATTTACTTTACTAACCGGGGCATTAGGAGTCGCATGTGGTTAATTTTGAAAACCTGATTTACAAAAGTGTCTTGCACAATTGAGGTTCTAATTATTGCTGATACATTGTGTCAGTGACAAATATATGTTTTAAACAGTTTTCCAGCTTTGTACAATTATAGGGTCATAGCATGAATATTGGTATTTATTTTGTCTCGTAGAATATATACTAAAAAATAATTAGCAACATATATTTAAATTGATATGAACTTTAGAATTTAAAATGCAGAAATAATTTAACATTCAATATATTTAAGTAAAAAGTACACCTGATTTATGTTGAGCCTGCAACTTCTGTCGCAGAAAGCGAGATATAGGGATAGTGAGCCAGCAGCAGCGATTGCATGTAATGATTGTAAGGTGTATATGTCTGTCTGGCAGGGTTCATCTGACCTTTCATGGTTATTTGATAAATGTTAAGTTTTCCTGGTTAAGTATTTTTATGCCCCCGCCGTAGCCGAGGGGGCATTAAGTTTTACCCTTGTCCGTCCATCCGTACATCCGTATGTCCCAAAGTTGGTTTCCGTTCTCTAACTTTAGTTTGCCTCAACCAAATGTTATGAAACTTATACACAATGCTTATTACCACAAAACACAGATCAAGTTTGAAATTGAGTGGCGTCACTTTTACCGTTCTTTAGTTATGCCCTTTATAAACATAAAAATTGTTGAATATTTTGTTTCCATTCTTTAACTTTAGTTTGCCTCAAACAAATGTTATGAAACTTATACACAATGCTTATTACCACATAATACAGATCAAGTTTGAAATTGGGTGGCGTCACTTCTACCATTCTTGAGTTATGCCCCTTTATAAACAAAGATTGCTGAATTTTTCGTTTCCGTTCTCTAACTTTAGTTTGCCTCAACCAAATGTTATGAAACTTGTACACAATGCTTATTACCACATAATACAGATCAAGTTCAAAATTTGGGTGGTGTCACTTTTACCGTTCTTGAGTTAAGGCCCTTTATAAACATAAAAATTGCTGAATTTTTCGTTTCCGTTCTCTAACTTTAGTTTGCCTCAACCAAATGTTATGAAACTTAAACACAATGCTTATTACCACAAAACTCAGATCAAGTACAAATTTGGGTAGCGTCACTTTTACTGTTCTTCAGTTATGTCCCTTTATATCTTTATATGATATGCAAGTGGGGTTATCATCTGTGTCCCATGGACACATTCCACATTTATTTTAAAAGAGTTATGCCCCTTGGAAATATTAAATTTATGGAAAATGGCCTTGTTAATGCTACAAAAAAAAAAGTTTTTTGTTTAGTTATTGCCCTTGTAACTTTGATACATAAAATATGTGCAACCAGGGGGACATTGGATCTCTGTTCTTTTATTTTATTTTGATAACAAAGGAGAAAATTTTTTGTATCAAATTAAAGTTTGAAACAAATTCATAAAATGTTTATATGGTTATATTTTTATTTCATGAACATGTGTGAACTTTAAACTGTTTAGTACTTAGATATAAGATTGAACCAAATAAGGACAGAATGCCAAAATTTATTTTAAAGGGTATATGGAGAGATCTTAGAATTGAGCAGACTATTACCATGCTCACACTATGAAATCTGCTCTGGGTCGAAACCCGATAGTTAACCTGAATTCATTTCCCCAGTTCACACTTGTTAAAATTTAACCCACTTTGGGTGGGATTTTCCCTCCCAACAAAAATAGATATGTATGCACCAAAGTTGTCACTTAAATTCATCAGCTGGAGTTTTTTTATGCCCCCACTGTATTGGAGGGGGTATTAAGTTTTACCCTTGTCCGTTCGTACGTCTATACGTCCCGAAATTGGTTTCCGTTCTCTAACTTAAGTTTGCCTCTACCAAATATTATGAAACTTATACAAAATGCTTATTACCACAAAAGACAGATCAAGTTTTAATTTTGGTGGCGTCACTTTTACCTTTCTAAAGTTATGCCCTTTACAAATGGAAATATTGCTGAATTTTTCGTTTCGGTTCTCAAACTTAAGTTTGCCTTAACCAAATGTTATGAAACTTATACAAAATGCTTATTACCACAAAATGCAGATGAAGTATGAATTTGAGTGGCGTCACTTTTACTGTTCTTGAGTTATGTCCCTTTATAACGTTATATGCAAGCGGGGGTATCATCTGTGTCCAATGGACACATTCCCCATTTATTTATTAGATACTATGTGCAATAGGTCAACAATATTTAAAGTATAGAATGATTGGAAGGTGTACATGTCTGTTTGGCAGGGTTTCATCTGACCTTGACTTCATTTTCATGGTTCTTTGCTCAATATAAAGTTTTCATAGTTTGGTCTGTTTCTTGTATACTATAAGCAATAGGTCAACTATATTTGTGTATGGAATGATATTAAGGTGTACATGTACATGTATTTCTGGCTAGGTTTATATCAATATGACCTCATTTTCTTTGATCATGTTAAGTTTATGTGATACTTATAGTAAAACTTTATCTTTATGACTATCAACATAAAATCAATGGTCAGTAAAGCAGGCGAGACATTTCAGCGTGTGCACTCTTGTTTATTTTAATTGTTGCAATAGTTTTTTTGTTGTTGTTTACAAGCATGTATAAATTATTTTTGAAATATAAAATTAGGCATATTTGTTGCTGAACTTTTTACTCAGTATAAATTGCACTCTCAAACTCATGCAATATAAAACTAGTACTGACAATATTATTATACAGAAATGTTCAGATTCCTTAAAGAAGGAACACTTTTTAAAGGTGACTGGTATTTGCTGATTTTAGGACACTGTATGACACACTACATCTAAGAATTGTAAGCATGTGGCTAAGATTTTTATTTTGTTTTAGTTTCCATAAATTTACATCGTATGAATGCAGGGAAAAGATATACATTTTATGGGAGACATTCTTCACAAACACAGAAAAAGGTATTGTTTTGTATATTATCGATTGATTTGTTGTCAGTTATTTTACTTCAAGCAACAAATATTGCATGTATTTTGAGCATATGAAATAGCTATAACAATATATCATCTATTCATTATTTGACAGTTTTAAGCTTTTCCTGGCCTACATTGTAACATGGGAATCTCCATATGCATGAGAACCAAATGATAGAAATTTTATCTACAAAATAATAATGTTAAATAAGGTGATTCATTCAAACATTGTAATGTTGGTTTACTAGATATTGAATGGGAAAAATAAATATAATGAATTAGTCCTGAACTTTATCAGCAAGACTGTTTGTACTGCAAATGGATAAAACTTGTTTTATTGAATAAAATTTGTTGTTAGGTTTTTTCATTTGTCTAGTGACCTTGTGTCATAAATTCTGTCATAAATTGATACACAATGTCCTTTCTTTTCTATTCAAACAACTGCTTTGAATAAAGAAACAACTTAATTTAATCATTCAAATGTATGGATGTTCAATTCAAAAGGGCTGCCTGACAGCACTAACAGTGCTTTGATTATGTTATGGTGATCATTCTGAAATATACAGTAAAGCTATTACAATTATGTCTTATAATTTAAAAAAAAATTAAATGACCAAGCCATTATTTTCACATTAAAAATCTGTAAACCAACTATAAACCCTAGCTTTACTGAAAGATAGACATGATAGATGAAATATCTTTTGGGTAAGGCCTCGGCTCAAAAATAATTTTATCAAAAACTGTGTATAAAATGACATTATAGTGACATCCTATCTGACATTTCTGAACTGAAGTTTTAAGAATACATCAACCCATTCTTTCATCAGTAAAAGTAACATAACTTTTGAAAGAATCAAAGAATTTTCCTATCTTTGAAATTTCAGGAGCCAAAAAAAGGCTCTTATCATCTGTCCTCCTCAGCATTTTGAAAAATACATGCTTGTCAGCCAATTGGTAACACATTTTGTGTATGTATATTCTTGGTTTTAGTTGCACAGTCTCTGAAAGAAAACCAGGATAAGAGTGAGTGTTGTACAATCCTTCAATGGTTTCTAATTCTAACAAAAAATAAGAGTGAGATATTCCTTGCAACACCTCAGCATCAAGGAGATGAAACACCAGTTTTATCACAAGTCAGGACTGATTCAGAGGAAGAAAAAATATCATTTGGTAAGTACTGTTTTAAAATATTTTATAAGATAAATTTAAGATGTTAAAAAGTTTTGCTTCAAAACAGTAAAGATCAGTTACACATGATGACTTTGATAAAAAGTATGTTGAAGTGGCACTCATTGAAAAATTAATGTGATGGAAACTTATTCTATGATAAAAGTAAAAGACAGTAGAGGAAATCAATAATACAGCAACCCAACACCAGAATCAATAAACACACCAAGAGGTCATCATACAATTTTCAATGAATTGAACAGACAGGTTGTGATTAAAGACAATGTGGAAAATCTACTGTCACAAACTTAAAACTTAAAAAACTTAAATGGACAAATGGATAATACACCACTGTCTTGGATAAGGCGGAGGGTTGGGCAAACATTCTTTACACTGCCACATTCTGTATGTGCTTGTCCCATGTCGGGATCCTGTAAATCAAAGGTTGTAGTTATTTGCTGTATATCAAATTTGTATTTTGATTTTGTACTTAAATCAGGCCGTTGGTTTTCTCAGTTGAATTGTTTAACATTTGTAATTTTGGGGCATTTTATAGCTTGTTATGCGGGATGGGTTTTGCTTATTGTTGAAGGCCCTACAGTGACCTACAGTTGCCAACATCGACTTCATTTGGTCCTGGTTGATAGTTGTCTCATTGGCAATCATACCACATCTTCATATTTTTATAAAGAACATTGAAAACAAAAACAGCCACCGATGAGGTTCATGAATTGGGACAGGCACATTAAACATTAACATTTGAACTGGTTAATCCTCTTGTTTGGACTACCAGTCATGTCTCTGTTTTGTCACATGATAAACATAGGATACAAAAAACTCTTGTCTAAAAAAGCACTTTAGTCAAAAGTATGACCATTACAAAAAAACAGCAAAAAAAAAGAAAAATACTTTACACAAATTCTGACATTTTCTGAAAACTATCGCACTGTTAACAGTCCATTTAGTAAAGGTATAGGTTAATTTAACAAACTGCTTGCCTGATCATTACAAGAGGGATTATTTGTATGTTCGTGATTTTCCTATTTTTCCTATTTTAGAGTTTTCCAAATGGTTTATGCGTACATTGATTGGATTCCTGAGTGAAGTAGAATTTGAGGCTACTTATCAGAACTTATGTATTGACATAGTTAAACAGCTGTTCCTTATTTTGAAATGGAGAAATGGTTACTATTACTGCACCATGTTAACAGAAATTGTACACATCATTGCAGGTAGAAATTGTACACATAATTTCAGGTAGAAATCTTCTTAGGTTCAGTATAAAAAAGAAAGCTTTTATTTTACTCTGTTTTAGTGTTACTGATATCAAAATATTGGGAATTAGAATTATTTGTTGTTACTAAAATAGAAAATTTTAACATTTATAGAAGCAGATTGATTTATATAAAACACTGCTTATTTTATTTCACAAATAATAATAAAAATTACGGAAAAGACTTGTGTATATTGTAGAAAGATATGACTTTATATTTTAGATTTAGTGAAAGCTAACGATAGACTGTACGAGAGTAACAACCATTACAGTGTGGACTTGAAAAGATTTGTTGTTGACTTGTGTACAGTAAACTTGAGTCTTGTACCACCTGACAAGGTAACGTATTTATATTTAAAATTGAATCATGTAATGAGGTGTTTTCAAAAGTAGTCATGGGCTCCAGATTTATACGGTCTGTGGAATTCCCAAAATCAGCTGTATCAAAAGACAACTGATACAACTCTCAAATTTGATCATCATTGGATGAAAAGTTTATTAGGCTTTATTTCCCTAAGGCTTTTGGGATAGAAATATATGTTAGCATGGTTAGTGTATAGCAACGTAAATTTTCTCACAGAATGTATTTTGAAATTTAGCCTCCAATATTCTATTTTATTAAATGTGTGATCAAATAAGCCCTAATATGGATAAACCAGCATGTGCAATACTAATGACGTTGCCCTGTTGATATTAATACAGCTTTTTGGCTAATACAGGATATTCACTATCAGTTGCAAATTGTTTACACTTCACAAAATTTTTGACATATTTTGATGCAAAAGATGCATTTTTATGCAACTGAAATTTGGGGGGCATATTGTTTTACCACTGTCCGTCCTTCCTTTTCACTTTGCTGGCTGTTTGTACATATATTGAAGGTGTGCATGTGGTCAGGGTTTTGATTTTTATTTATAATATTTGCTCTTTTGGGAGATAGTTGAACTTTGTCATTTTTGGAGTATATACTTGCATGAGAGGTGCATAGTGTTTCCGGATAACTCCCCCTACAGTGAACCATAGATCTATGTGCTCCCATGCTCAAGTTTGTGTATTTGAAAGTAACACTTTGATTTGAAGGGGCATGATTTGTGTCTCCCAGACACAATAATATCTCAAAGAAAGTCCTACATTGATTTTGTTATAATACAGTTACTGCAGAGTGGAGTAGTGCGGGAGCATCACATTGTCTAGTTTTACATATTTTGTAACTAGAAATAAGATAATAAATTTTTTATTTTGATCCACTTCAATTTAAAAAGGAAATATTCCACAGCCATTATGAGTAGAACTATCAATTAATATCACTGTTTTATTTGCGTTGATCAATCACAAGAATGCAGACAATATCAAAGAATGATTAAATTTCTGATTTATTCTTCCCAGCTACTTTATATGTGGCAGATAAAATATATTGCATTAGCATAGCTTAAGTACGAGAATGAGAAATCAGAAATCCTGTCTATATTGACTGGGAAAAGATCAAATTTTCTGTACCAGCTTCACTGAAAGTCAAGTTTCTAAGTTTAATGGAAGAATGACAATCATTTAATAAAATTTTTATGAACTGGCTGTTTCTGTACTGGCACTGGTGTAGATTCTTAATCAGTTGTATTGGATATCAACTCTTCAAGTCTTGGGACCTATACAGCTAAAGCTTGAACCTATACCAGGACTTATTCAGAAACAGCCATTTAATACCATTATTATATATTGCCCTTATGCAAATAAAGCTTTAAGTTATAGACATCATTAGTGACAAAAGTTCGTTTGAAACAGTTTTTCAAGCTTTGCTATTCAATAAAAAGGTTTTTGATTGTTTTCATACATCAAAATTCGATAATTCTTTTTTTTAGCTAGCTAGAAAACAGCAATGAATTAAAAGACCAAAACCAAAACAAATATAAACACCAATAAGCAATTAGTCAGTAGCCTTTAATTCAGTGGTTGTCGTTGGTTCATGTCTGTCAAATTGTTTTTTTGTAAATTGAATTGTAATGAATTAGGCTGCTAGTTTTCTCTTTTGAATTGTTTCACAATTTTCATGTCGAGGCCTTTTATAGCTGACTATACGGTATGGGTCTTTTTCATTGTTTTAATTGCAATGAGCCCAATAACTGTTGTATATTTTTCAGAGAGAAGAGGGTATTCCACAAACTGTTAAAAGCCAGGTGACATTAACAATTAATAGTATTAAAATTTGTGAATGTCTTCAGCTAAATGCAGTGTGAGTATTAAAAACTTTTGATTGTTATATTATTGGTACAGTTCAAATTTAGAATGGATGATGGCAGATAGCATATGAAATCTGTGTTTTAGGATCTTTGTGACAAATATTGATGTTAAAAGAATTTACCAATTTTATGTCAAATTTATCAACTACTCATAAATATTTCTTTTCAGAAAGAGACAAATATATATGTAACAACTGTGAGAACTGTTTAAGGTGATACTAAGGAATTTTTGGTCTTGCTGTATGTATGAACTCTTTAGTTATTAGGGCCCCGCCTAGTGGCGGGTCGCCCTATAGTGATCAGTCCATCTGTCCGAAACAATTGTGTCCGCTCTATATCTAGAGAACCGTTATAATTATACTTTATACTTGACATGTATATTAATCAACACCAGAGGGTGTGTCATTATGTTTGTACAACTTCCTAGGTGAAAGTTCAAGGTCAGCAGGGTCCACAGAGATGGCTACCATCTTAATGATGTCTAGTTTTCCTAGTTTTAAAATATAAAAATTTGGCATCATTTGCTACTGATCCATAATCTGTCTTTTCAATTTTATCAGGTCATCCATGGAAATACCAAGTGTAATTTGCAGGTGTTGAGTAAGACTTTAATTTGCTTGATTTAATTTTTAAATGTCTACTTTCATTGTAGGAGGATTTTACAGTTAGCATCAGATGATATTACCCACATGATAGCTAAGAGTACATGTCATGTAGCATGGGGCTCAATGTGTTGTCATGTGGAAATGGGAGATCTTGTCATGAAAAAGGTAATTACAATCTTAAATTTCAAGTTGTAGAAGTCAAACATAGGTTTGGTTTTTTGTATTTGTGGCTTATGAATTGTTGAAGTTTGTAATAAGGTTATACAGCCAGGGGAGACATTTCTCTGTGTTAACAGTTTTTACAAACCTTTTTTAGAAAAATTAAATGGCAGATATGCTAAATTTAGATTTCAGATTTGTTTCAACTGAAAATTTTAGTATATTGTACAAGAGAAAGCAGAGAATTGCCAAAGAATGTTTGTTATTTTCATTATGTGTCAAAGTAATATAGAGGGAATTTTATTATGGAATTTCTTTTGCTTTTGAAACAAATAATGCATAAATTTCCATTATAATCTTGGTCTAGAAAAAAAAATAAAAAGTTCCTACTCCTCAGCATACTTGTTTAACCAAAGTTTTGTGTGTGTATTTTAGGAATCATTGATTGTATTGGAACGTCTATTGATACATTCTGGATTACCTACCCTTGATATAACAAAATATTTCCTGTCATGTGTCCTAGCACTGATAGAACTTTTATGTTCAGGATGTGAAGGTGGAAACAAATGGTAAAGTATTTATTTTATTATACGCATGTCTAGTATATATATTATCTTCTTCATATCTGTCAAACGCTGGAAATGCAAATATACCGTAGAAACTCGCCTAATAGTCGATCCTACTATAAGTCGGGTGCCCTTTTCAACTCCAAATTCTAAGGATTTAGTCTTGACCCTCGTATAAGTCGGACAAAATTTGGGCATTTTTTTTTCCAGCTGACAGTAACTGAACGCCGGTATAACCAATGCAAATCCAGGAATAATATTCATTTCTGCATTAATGTTTGTTTGGTTTGAATTTAGTTGATGCTCATCAAGATAATTTATATTGCTGTTAATAATAAAGATGTTTTCATTTCTTTTGTATTGTTCACTGTTCAAATGTTTGATTAGCCATGTGTTGTTTACGTAATGCATCAATGATTTTGTAGAGTATGACTAACAACCTATTGTTTGAGAAAAGCGAATATAAACCAATATGAACCTGAAAAATTTAAAGTCAATCAATACTTGATGAAAATATTTTTCACAGCATACATACCTCGGTGTTAAATGAGCATGTATACACTTCATAATTCTTATTATATTGTGATGATTAAAGGATTAAAAAAATTAAGTGAAGCTAATCAATATATTAAAATAACTAACTCGAACTCATGTGTGAGATCTGTTTACCTATCACTGATAGTTTTCACACCTTTAGTAAATACAACTCTTTGTCTCTTAATTGGGGTTATCAATGGATTATATTGGCTTGTCAATCAATTTTGTAATTTTTGTTTACCTGAGACACTTTAATGAATAATATTTTGATTTTGGGAATGAATCTTAAAATTATTTCTTGATTATTATATGATTTATAAGCATTGAATTGATATCATGATATCACAATAATGACACAATAACTCCGCTGAAAACATCCTTTCACATATTTGGTACATTGTTATCTCCTTTTCATTTTTGGTTCTTGGCTCTTCTTTTGGGTTTATAGGAAAACCATGTGACCATGAAAATCAATACACAAACCGGAAACAGTAGAATTTCAACACGAATTTGCAGAAAATGGTTACCAAAGAACAAATAAAACACAAAGACAGTATTGTAGTCATTTATTTTCAACAAAAACCTTTTATTTATTGATTTATGTAGGTTTGGCAATCAAAAACGTAGTTTTGACCAGGAAATTCACTCCTGACCACTTTTCTCAAGCTTGGTTTTTTCCTCTGGTCGCTAGATCTCGTCTATTAGTCGGTCCCCCTCTCTGGATTATGAATTTTACTCCCAATTTTCCGACTAATAAGCGAGTAGGAACGGTAGGTCATGACCTGCATTAAGTGAAAAATATCTAGCGATAATGTAACATGTACTATTTATACACTCAAGGCTAAGCATGAAACGAACATCCTATGTAGGCTTGCTATTTCATCGTTCAAGTGATTCCGAAAAATCAACCATTTTGACTTGACCTTGTGCCTTAAACAGCCACATTTTTCCTGTCATTAAACATGTTAAAGTGACAGTACTCTGTAAACAAGCCCTACTATAATCCCCTCTCATTACTATCAAAGTTAATTAAGTGTCTAACAGGTGATATTTACCTGTGATCACCTGTGTCAGGTAAACTATTTGTGCTGGACATCGATCGATCTTTTTGGAAGTTATTTTTATTATTCAAATTAAAAACATTCCTGGTCTAAATCTAACTAATTTTTAACAAAACAGATTGAAACTATCAGAAAAACGTATTTAAAACGATAAGATCATAATTTATACGCAACAGGTAAACTATTTTGTACTGGACATTGATCAGTCTATTTATTTAAAATGTTTTTGTTTTTTTAAATTAGCGTTTTGCATCTAATCAATTTAGTAAAAAAAGATTTAGATTATCAGAAATACGTATATGAACATGATTTGATGTAAAAATAGAAAAGGTAGTAATAGAAGTTGTAAGAGAAAAATTGTCAGAACCACATTGTTTGAACTAGTACACGTGTGAGTTTTAATTATGCATCGGAATTTTTCAAAAATGCTAAAATTATCATTGATACCTTTATCTAACGTTAATTTCGAGTATTTTCCTGAAGAAATAACGTGGAAAGAGCTACTTAAACTCAATCATGCTTTGTAAACGTACACAGATTTTACGTATCTGTCTCTGGTCCATGTTTTACCATCGTCAAGTCAACATCAAGTATTAGAAAAATGTGTTTTTTTAAATCGAAAGCGAAGTTTTTGACAGCATAATTTTCCACAAATAAAGAGTCTAAGGCAGATATTAGTAAGCTGATATTGCACGCTTCGAACGATGCACCGTCAATTGATCAGTTTACGTCAGAACATCGAATTTATATCAAAAGTCAAGTTTAAAATCGTTTTTGTGTCAATCATTGTTTATATGATGCACAACTGATTAAAATGCTTGCCTTTTGTTACTAAGTCTTAAGGGAGTGAAATCGGGACAAGACAAAAAATATCCGGCTGGCTCATATTTTTTGGAAGCCCTGTATACACTATGTTGTAAAGTTATATTGAGTACATTTAAATTTTTAGATAGCCTTTATCGTTTTGATCATTAAAAAATTTCATTTTCCAATTCATTTAATATATTTTGTAGTGAGATATTAGACCTGGAGGAGATGACAAGTCAGGTTATAGACAACATAATTAAAGCTGACCAGAAAGAACTGAACCAAAACCACATGTCAATATCACAGATACAACAAACATTACAGCAGATGACTGTTGTCGTAGTAACACACCAGATGAAAAAACTAGCTACAAACAATATGAAAAATTCTGTGATGAAGTTGATTGTTCACTGTATCAATAGGTTAAATAGTGCACAGCTTCAAGGAACAGTTTTGAAACCAGTAATGGAGTCCTTGACAACTGCTTTGATAAAAATTTTAGGAACTTCAGATAATTGTCAGGTTGTAAAAATTTGCTTTTATCATTCTAAATAGTCTTTTTTTCAAGTAATGTCTGACAAAGTGGAAATCAACCAACCAGGTTATAGTTTAATGAAAATTAAACAAAGGGGTGAAACACCAATATTGACTTTTTTGGCCCATACTCTCCCTATTTACACCTCAAAATTTGTTGAAGTGTATATTTTATACTTATTGACTGAGTATGAGTGGAATAGTAAGTTTATTGTCCCCCGAGGTGCAACTATTGCCCTGAGGCATAGCCGAGGGCAATAGTTGTATCCAAGGGTACAATAAACTTACTGTTCCACGAATATCCAGTCAGTAAGTGTTTTATTATACCGAAAGAGACAACAGACACAAAGTTATGCCAAGGACTGATCGACATAGCTGACCAAAATTTATTTTTACATTGGTAAGAGACAACAGACACATAGTGATGACAATTATTCGATTGTAAATATGCATTCCAATAATAAGCAGGCAATTTGTAAGTTTAAAGCTTCATTTTTTAGGCAGTTAAGCTACCTTATGCGAGCACCCTAGATTTGTGTTCTACCCAATAAATGCTGAAATACGTGCCATTGTTATTATCTAGATGGCTATTATGTTATTTATAACCAATTGGACATTTTTTAATACTTTTATTTCTGGAATACAAAAAATATGACCAGAGAAACCTTAAATGATTGTCGAACTACCCAAAACTTTTGAAGTTGCACATAGGAAGTAGTGCTCAATAGAAATCCGTACGTAGTTTATTATCCCCTGTGCTTTTGGCTACGATGTCAAAGAACAATCGTATGAAATATTTCATAGCCGAAAATCCGTAATTACAAGTCGTTTATATTTCCCAAATGGCAAAATGCGCAGGAATATTGTTCATGTACAACAAATCTCTATGTTAGAGGAAATAAAGTTATATAAGTGGGCGGTAATTTTTAACTTATCTTGCCAAATAAGGTTGTTGTTATTTTATGAATGAACAGATGCGGAAATCGACGTTGATGGGATGTTTTAAGTAATGTGGACAACTCGTCCCCGAGACAAGTCGGACTGAATCCACTCAAACCGTATAAGAAGACAACTTTGACCGTTTGTCAGATTTACTTAGGGCTTCATAAAATATTAGACTAACATGTCTAGCGGAGCCTTTAATCTTTTGTTTGTGCATTGGGGTCTATTTAGGGGTATTTGGAGGGGCCTGAAGAAGGGAGGGGTTTACTATAGAACCCTATGGGATTTTATTTTTTTTTAATTTTCAAATGACTATTTCTCGAAAACAGTAAGTGATAGACACATGCAGTCTTCAGTAATGAGAACAGGACAATAAAAAAAATCAATCAAAATATAGGGTGAGTCCCTAGGGGTCATCCCAACCCCCTTCAATTTGCAAATGTACTTTTATCTTGTAAACCATCGCGATCCCCACCCCTAAACAATATATATACTTGTATGGACAATAAAAGAAATCAAATGAAAATAATTTGGGGGAATCCCCGGTGTCGTCCCACCCCCTCCTGTTTGAGAACTTGGAAATGGTTGAGATCCCCACCCCTAGACCATATACATTCATGTATGGGACAATAAAACAAATCAAATGAAATATAGGGGGAGTCCCTGGGGATACCCCACCCCCTCCTGTTTGAGAACTAGTAAACAGTCAAGATCCCCACTTCTAAACCATATACATTCATGTATGGGACATTATAACAAATCAAATGAAATATATGGGGATTTCCTCGGGTCACCCCACCCCCTCCTGTTTGAGAACTTGGAAATGGTCGAGATCCCCACCCCTAAACCATATATATTCATGTATGGGACAATTAAACAAATGAAATATAGGGGGAGTCCATGGGGACACCCCACCCTCTCTTGTTTGAGAACTTGTGAACAGTCAAAATCCCCACCCCTAAACCATATATATTCATGTATGGGACAATATAACAAATCAAATGAAATATTTGGGGAATCCCTGGGGTCACCCCACCCCTTCCTGTTTGAGAACTTTGAAATGGTCGAGATCCCTACCCCTAAACCATATGTATTCATGTATGGGACAATATAACAAATCAAATGAAATATAGGGGGAGTCCCTTGGGTCACCCCACCCCCTCCTGTTTGAGAACTTGTAAACGGTCGAGATACCCACACCTAAACCATATTTATTCCTGTTCATCATTTCAAAAAGATTTGAATGACATACAGGGTCAATCTCCTAGGTGTCACATATGCATATCACTTTACTAGACCAAACCAATATGAACTGGACTTTGTCCATTGTCAGGAGACCATGGAAATGACGAATTATGGGGGCTTTGTTATGGCAGACTTCGTAAAGGCATCCTGTTACAATTATTTCTTGTTTATTATAAAATTTTATTGATGCAAAAAATGAGTCTAGGTTAATTGAATTTACTTTAATTATTTATTAAATTATTTCTGGGCCTATAATAATTTCCATTTATGGCTCATTTTAAAGAAAACATATAAATCTTTCAAGCAGTGTAAAGCCCGAGAATGTTTGACCAACTGTTTTATAATCACCTGTCATTTTATTCCAAACTTGGTATGGAGTAACATCATTCACTTGGGGGTGAAGATGGGGGTCATTTACATTGATATATGAGTTGCTTTTGAAAACCTTGATGAAATATTAATTAATTTGCCTTAATAATCAATTCATTTAATGAACATAAATGTACAATATACGAATGTTTAATGTTTGTTCTTTCAAATCTTAAAAAAAAATTGAAGCAACACTGCCACAGTTTTCATAACTACGTTTGCCTTGGTTTTTGGTTAACTGCCTACAGCGCTTACAGTGCTTTGATTTTCAATTATGTGTGTATTTTTGAACAACTCTGGAATCAACGTTAATAATAGAGATGAATTCAGATAGTCCTAAAATGTATTGTTAAATACCGTTAGCCAATCCCGTAGCTGCAGTTGAAATTCCACGAAATATAATGATGCTTGGGGTCAAATAGTTCCATCGAGGGCAAATAGTTGGAAACTATTGACCGGTCAAATAGTTCAATGCTTGCCGTTTGAAAAATAGTGAAAATATTGTGTACTTATTTTATATAGAAAATGACAACTGAGGTATAATAACATTATATAAAACTAAATAATTCCTAAAAGTTCTTCAAAACAGAAGTAAAGCAGAGCTGTGTCAAATCCTTGAAATCAAAGGTTTTACACAGGATGTGTATTTCAGTCAGAACCCCTCTTGCAATCAAGTGGTAACAGATTGCATAAATAAACATTTCAAGTTTAAATGTTTGTTGTTGTAAATATATTTTCTGATCATTTAGAGAAGTAATAATGTAAATGACATATTATACTTTGCAGTATCTTGTTGCTCCACTAGTTAAGTTAGTTCTTATTGAGATGGGGACAGTCAGTATTAAAATAGAATCTACTCCAGAACAGGAAACCAGTGCTACACAGGGTTCCAGTAAACTAGCTTTATCTCAGTTCAAAAGAAAAAGGTGAGCTGAGCTAATGAAATTATTTTTATTTTGAACTTAAATGACCAGCTGAAAATTTTTGCATAGTAAAAGTAAAAGTAAAGAAAAGATACAAAAACGAAAATTTCTACAATGCACATTTCATATTTCACCACTGCTGTCATCTTGTACACTTGTTCAGCAATGATTGGATCACTATGACCTACATTAATTTGGTTAATTTTTAGAAATCCATTTTAATATAGCCATGATATTTCAATGTAGTTCTTGTATTGTACATTGTTGTTCAGCAAAAATTGGGCCACTGGCACCTTTATTTTATGCTAGAATGAATTTGGAAAAGTCTTGTGTTGGTGCATATTTCTTAGAAATTAGATGTTGTACATCAATCCTCATTCAACCCTCAAGCTCTCATATACAGTACAACCAAGTTAACAGTATTCAGACCATTCTCACAGAATTTAACAAAATCAAGATAGGGCATCTATGACTTACAGACTTATAATTCTTCTTGTTTCGATACAATTGATTAATTTATGGTTTGTAAAAAAACATGTTTTTATAAAAAGGAAATTAGACATGGATGAAAAGCCAAAAAGGAGGAAAGTGACCAAAACACTGAAGTTACTATGTCAAAAGATACAGATTCAAATTGATCAACTTGATAAACATCTTAATCAGGTAGTATTATCTTCAGAAATGTTACCTTTATAAAATAAGATGTGGTATGAATACCAATAAAACAACTATCCACCAGAGTCCAAAAGACGTGGATCTAACATGTATGTTTTCACATGTGTAGAAATTATTTTTCTCCTACGATAATTAATTTGATTCAACAATTTCATGAGTTGAGGTAAAAAAATGTTTTTTGTTTTTAGTGGTTTTCAAATGAAACTGACAATATTTCTTTAATTGGATAAAAAGTCAGCACTGTAGTTGTTTTTAAGTACATTTGTAACAAGTTCTTGTTTATGACTTTACCATGGTATAGGAATTCACATTGATATTCTTCATGTATAGGCAATTGATGATTGCTTATTTTCTGTTGTATAGGAGTTAGCAATACCATTACTAGAAGGAATACAAGTTGGATTGGAGACTGTTTTGACATGTTATTATTTGTGTGTATGTCAAGATAAAACAAAGACAGATTTCAGGTATATCATTTTGTATTGTTATTATAAGTCACTTTTAACAAATTTTATGTTTATGGCTGACCGTGATATGCATTCTTTTATTAGATCGTTATTTAGAGATCAAGTTTGAATTCAACCATTTGGGCAATAATTTTGAGTAAATAAAATGTTTACTTGATGACATAATATATGCTAAAGAAATAAGCATTTATTGCTTGCACTGTCCTCCATAACAAAATAATGTGTAATGATTAATTTTTAGTTACCAAGTAACAGAGGACATGCAGTCAGTTGATTGGTGGATACAACCTAAAATGCTTCAACAATTAAATGAGGGATGTATACAGTCCATAGTAGTCAGATGTAACCAATGGCAACAGTCAGCAGTTACTTCCTGTTTGCTCAACATACTTGCTATTTGTTCAGATTTTCTGAGACTTAAAGGTTTGATAATTTTATTTTTTTTAAGATTTACATGCATTTATATCATAAAAAAGGTTAATATCTGCTTCAACCTTTAGGTATCATGTTAAACCTTCAGAGTAGGAAAAAATTATTATGGCTCTTTAACCCTTTCACTGATAGCCGGCCTGACAGAAGCTACTCTGAGACGATGGCTTGCCTGGCTATTATGACACAAGTGGGAGATCTATATATTAGATATCAATAAAAACTTGTCTGTAATTATTTATGTCTTTATATTATTCACTTACACCATGGACACAGTTTTGTTAATGTTTTGATCATTTTTTCTTCATAAAAAATCAAAATTTGCAAATTTTCGGCATTAGAGAGATGAAATTCTCGAAATTCGACTTTTTGACCCAAAATCGTAATTTTTTAACCCAAAACGGCAAAAGTTTGAAAAATTCAACAAGGTTGTACAAATTTCTTACACTGAACGATGTCCATTCCAAGTGTTTTTGTACATAAAACAGCATTTTATGTCAAAAAAGTATACTAGTCTGGCTTCAATTCCTCCATATTCTTTCAAAAAAAATGTTTCCTTATTTCAAATTCTAGTAAAATCCGTAAATTTCATCTGATTTTGACATGGTTTTCAACAAACGGAAGCGCCATGTTTACACTTTCATCCGGGTATTCAACAAAGAAAGATAACTTGTGTTTCCAATGTTTTTAGCGGGAAATGTAAAAAAGGTATTCCGATCCCGGTAAACCAGGACTCATCGTCAGCTGTCTGAAGCGTGAATCCCGGTAAACTGGGATTTGTCGGCGAAAGGGTTAACAGTAGTAAAATTATTCTTTGGTAATAAGCAATGGTTAATATATTAAAACAGTTGTATACATTAAAAAGAAATACAGATACAAGGAAGGCACTAACAATCATAAATCTTAACTAAGAAAGGCTTTTTGATCATGAAAGAGTGCCACTTCTTAAATTCAAAACATTACAAAGAACTTGATGATTTCTAAAGAAGTATTATTATGAGAAATAAGATTTAGTGATTAATAGAACTTAACATTATAGCATTCTGTTTCAGACACATGTGACCTTGTTGTAGAAATGTTACAGAATTTTCTGTGGATCCTATCCTTGCCTTGGTTACCTGTAAGTTTAAAAACTTTGTCCAGTTCCATTGTAGAAATTAATCACATCGGAACATTTTCTTGATCTGAAAAAGAAAATGGTAAAAATATTTGTTTTAAAGTTGAAAGTTTCTTATTAATTGTTTGGCAACTTAAAAACTTATTCTAATTATAAAATGATTTTTAGTGGACATATCTAGGATAGTAACACAAGTATCTTGACCAACATTCAAACATGTATGATTTAGGTTTTAGTTTGTATTAAGTTCTATGCATTTGAAAGTTGATTGAGAAATGAAATTTAGCCAAATTAGAGTGCTTGCCAAACTAAGTGGTTCACTAAACATGGTATTGTCATATAACAAGCTGGGCATGCTGTCCTATGTAAATTATTGATTCAAGATTCAGATCTAAGAACAAGTCTGAGATAAGTGTAAATTTGTTTGTGGACACACTTAAGATAGTAAAGACAAAAATGGCAAAAATTGGGTTTCGTTTAACTCATTTTTGTGAACCTTTTAGTAATAACATTTACCTGCAATTATTGTATTCAGAAACTATCATGAGATGCAATTTTTGTAAATTTGGAAAATATTTGTTTCAGAATGATCCCTCTTGGTATGACTTGAAACCAGACCATGTTAAGGAAATAGCTAATGTAGCAAGGAACTTGTCAGACAAAATAGGTATGAAAGTGTTGAGGAAAGTTTGTACACTAGTACTAGTAATGCCATGAAGGGAAAAAGAAAATCTAAATATTAAAGAATATTGACATTAGTAAAAATGACATCAATTTATGACTGCATTTAAGGAAAAAGAATATTTTTCCAAAGATTCTAATGAAGAAAACTGTTGGCTGATTGTTTGGCTATTGCATCTAAATGTTTAGCATAATACTGATAAAAAATCATCGATTGTTGTTTACAGTGCAATAGGACAAAAATTTATAGTCACAATGTAAAAAAATTGAGTTATAACTGAGTCTGGTTCCGGTATGATACATACTTCTTTACTGGAACTGCCACCATTTGCAATTTATCAATTAACAAAGTTACAATGTTTAATAGGTTTCTGATCAGTTTTATTCTGCATTTTGATGAAATAAACTAGTGGTTACTAAAAAAGAGAAAAAAGTACAAAACACAACAGGGTCTCTGATGATTGGGTTTGTAAACCCTAGACCCATTACATTGTTTGGGCCTTAGTATAAGCACCAGTTGACCCATTTTCTACATTTAGCTCCAGTTTTCAACAGCATGTCAATACATATACATTTTTATTTCTATAGAAATGACAGTGAAATGCAGATTGCTTGAGGGATTGGCATTGTTTCCCAAAGACATGTCACCTAAATGGAGGGTTCATATCTTCAAACAGGCATTTGTAAGTTTGTTAGTTTCAAAGTCTTTACTAATGAACACCGTTTTAATGGTGTACAAATTAGCAAATGTGTTGGTTAATATGCTAACTGTTCAATCCCTGGATAGGTCATGACAGTTTTAAAAATGAAATATTGTCATTTTTATTTATATAATCATTAAATAATTTCAGAATGTGATAGATATTTATTTAGTATGAAAAATATTCAAAACGAGAGATACATTTGATGAATCTAAATACATTTAAGCCATTATTTTTACATGAGTATTTTCCACGGTACAGTTTTAGAATATTACGAAATAACTAACTATAATACAGTTGCATAACTATTAAACTGTAAAATGGTAGAAAATGTGGACCATAAATGCTGAAATGGTTTACAAAATCTAATTATATGAATATTTTGAAACTCTAAATTTGGATTTTGGATTTTGATTGAATAAATACTCTAAAGATCCATATCTATTTGGAAAAACAGCCAGTTTGGGAAAAATCTTTCTAGGTTCTTCTAGTGGAAACTGCCCTATTTCTGCTGATAATTTAAAATGCAAACAAAATACAAAATAGAATTCTTTAAAGTGTTAAGAAAAATAAAGAAATTTCATATTTAACAACACTCTTTAAACAAATTTTATAAATCCTTTATACATTGGTGATGTTATTTAATTCAAAAACTTTCTTGAAAAAAGATGAACTTGTGTATAGAATAAAATATTGTTATCTAAATCTTTAGTCTGACACAGATTGGCAGATTAGAAATACAGCCATGACATCTTTCCCTACCTTACTTCTACATTTAGGACCTAATGCCAACCATCTTGTTCATGATCTTATCAGGTATGGTATACATTAAGTTAAAGAAGTTTCCAGTTAACAGAGGTTTTAGTTTTATTTTTAGAAAACTTCAATGAATTTGTGAAGTGTTTGCCCATGTTGACATTATATATAAATAAAATCATAGAACATTTTAGTTATTTCATGTCAAACATAAAAAATATTATGATATCTTTTATATTTTATTTTGATATTTGTTATATTTACAAAACATAATTGAAATTTGTTTATATGTCATCAAATTAATAAAACATGCAATTTATTTATTTCAGTCCTGTTATAGATGATAAAAGTAAGGAAGTTCAGTTATCATTGGCCAATAATGTTGGGATTTTAGCCTGTGTTGTTTGCAGGAAGGCTGTTCTTAGGTAATCAACTTTTATTGTACATACATTGCTACCACACATTTAAGATTACTTTTGTGTCGTTTGGAATATAAGATGTTTTTGGTTTCCATTTAATTAGAAAGAGAAAAAAAAAAAGATAAATTCTTCATCTGACAGAAGGATTTATCTATGACATAAGTGAAACAAAACTGCCAGATACTGTAAACCAATTAAATTATCCTGAGCGATCTATTTTGGTGATTTTGGCGACTAGAAAATGATCATGAATATAGATCATTGTCAAGTTCATGTTAAACTTTGACCCTCAGTTATATAAATACATCAAGAAAATCTTGAAAATAATTGATGCAAAAGAAAGAGCTAATCAGGAGTAAAATATAAGCAAAAATAAGTTGATTTCCAGTTGCATCATTACAGTAATTGTAAAAATATAAGTGAACCAACACCTGAAGTGGTGATCGTGCGGTAGGGTAAAAACAAGTGGATACCGCTAGGTATTCACAGTCATCTTGAAAAAAATGAGTTGGTGTCCATTTTGGAAATTAAACCGAACATTTTATCATCAAACGATACCACTAGGAACCTCCAATAAGACTATATACTATACCATAAGACTACAAGGAAGAACTAACTCTTACAAACTTTTATTAATTTATTTATACAACATTTACTTTTCTTTCTATTTATATTCTCTATGTCTTTTCACTTTCACTTTCATTTTCTATTTATATAACGTCACCATAACTACCGTAATTATACTTACACTTTTGGTCAACCGCAAGAAATGCACCTCACTGTAAATTTTATATGTAGCATTGTCCTGATGACGCCTATTTATAGGTGAAACATGTCGACCTAATAAACAGATACTTTGCGGTAAAAATTGAGTGTTGTTGTCTTTATTGTCGACATTACAGTAATTGTGTAAAGTTTGAATTGCAAGTAATAATGACAAGGCTTTTACACTGAAAGAATAAGTTGTTGTGATGTTCAAAGATGATACAAAGTATTACTTTTTTTCCCAGTTTCAAGAGATTTCATGAGATTATTTTCTGGGCATGAATTCTTGTGAAAAATGATTATCTGTTACAAATGATTTCTGTTTCAGGTTCAAATCTGATGAGCTGAAAAATCCTTTTTATGAGTCATTTGAGATACAGTGTTTGTCATGTGATAACTTGAAAGGTATTAAAAACTGCATAAATTGTCAAATTTTCCAAGTTAAAAGTTTTGGTTAAAGGTAATTCACCATAAAGTCTTGGTCACATCAAATTGAAATTTTGGTGTTATGTTTCTAAAATGTATTCCAAATTAGGGTTTTTGACCTAGATCTCACAGTTCACTGAACATTGAAATGTGATTGTAGATGGGGCGTGGTGTCATATGGACTTGTACTGTTGTTTTCTGGATTTCAAATGTACTGGACTGTATCATAGAATGTCTGCAAGAAAATGATTCATTTTCATCAGTTAGAAAAGGAAAATGAAAGGTCATAAACGAACATGATAAAAAATGACTTTTCTGGAAGAACAAAATAGAAGTGAAAATTATATGTTTGGGGTAGCTACACTTTACCTTGATATTGTGGTATCTTAAACCTGTTTCACATAAGATTGAAGTTTAAGTGATGAAAATTGATTAACATTCATTTTTGATTCAGCCATGCTGGATCTATGCGATCACTCTGTTTTTGGAGATGGTGCAGAATACTAAGTTGAAGACATGTCATGAAACTAATTATGTGTTTTTATGACTTGCAGAAACTTTCTACACCATTTTAATCATCAACTGCCAACTTTTGACATGTTATTTGCCCTTAAATTAAGAAAAGATTGGTTGAACAACCTTTTTATTTTAGATATACACTTGCATATAGTTCCTTTCTAAATCAAAATTTATAATGATTTACTATTTATGAATTAATTTGAAAAAGTATTTTTACATCAATTGAATCAGTTGATAACAATTTTGAAAGTATTATATTATTATCTTATGCTTGTGTAAGTTTTTGTTCTATGAAATTTAGGTCAACATGTGTGTTAATATATCTAAGTTGATTCCCACACTTTTTTAAAATGGTATTACTCCAATTCTTTCCATAGGCAAGTAAGAGTCAGTATGATTATAAACCAGGGCTTCCAAAACGGTTATATATTCCGGACTTGACCGAAACTTTCATAAAAAGTCCGGCTGCTCTCAGCCTCAAACGGTCAAATAGAATTGGTTTGCCACTTTTTTGTTATTCAAGGCATTTTCATAAAACGGTCATTTCAATTTTTACCAACTATCGATCGATAAAAATGTCCGTTTGGCGCTTTGGGCATGTCCATTTGAGCATTTTAGTTTATAATTGTGGCAATCTATTTCACAAAGATATTTCGGTCATAATTGGGTTTAATAAAACAGATGCAGCATATTTCAGATACTTTGAAGTGTCTCAGTTAGTCTAATCCTTTGGGTACATAAATGTACCGCTTGGTCTTTAGCTTGTGTACATCAATAAAAAGTAGATAAAACACGTTTTCTTTTTTTAAATAACAACAAGCTGTCAAACAATTATCCCTTCAATAAGTTTTATTGAAGCCATAAATCATTCACTGATTACAGGTTTGTAACCTTTGATGAGGTGTCCTTAGCTTGTCTTTATCAATAGAATTAATGATGCATAACACTGTACATAAAGGTGATCAGGTAAACGAGGTCAAACATGTAAGCGTGTATGGAATTACGCTTTATAGATATTATTTTAAATGAGCATTCAGTTTAAAAAAGTATCCTGATATTTAAAAGTTATTCTTCAAATAAGGATATTTATAAATGAATAAGTATGATATATATTATTTTATTTAACACTGTACATCGTGTTAAATACTGGGGTACTCTGAAGGGGAAAATTTATTGAAATATATAGGAAAAACACAGAGAATAGCTGAGTTGTCCAATAAATCTAAATTACATCAAGAGAACAATGCCTGCTCCGAATTTATTCAGACAATTTCCGATATTATAGAGAAATAGGTGATGTCCGACGTAAAGTTAAGTCCCGCCGTGGGAATTATGATCGACAAGTCAACTGATCTGGCTACGCAAAAACATTTAATTTTGTACTTATCATACCTCAAAGCTGGTGAACTGAAAATTAGTTTTTAAAAATTATTTATCAACTGAGTATGTTTTTATTTATTCTTCTTATTTTCTAAACCAGATTGGGAAATTGTACAAAGAAAAATGTTATTACTGTTCAGTAGATTTTACACGGTTTAAAACAATATCCTTCATTGGGCCTCCTCAATGTTATCTATAAATACCGCATCAGTTGTAAAAGTCACGTGGTCAGGTAATCAATACACAAAAAGAAAAAAGTATCACGTGTATTGATGATCAAGTTGTACTGCAATTAAAGCCAGTTTCAAATAAGATACCCTTAATTTACAAAGTGTTAAGTACTCACAGAGAGAAGATAGATTATATAAACAGAAACAAAAACATGAGAACAGTCAGGTACTGAAGCTGATTGATGCAATGATGGTTACTGTATTACGATACACAGAAAAATGACACAATACCGAGGATAATATTTTATTTATTTTTAGAATGAAGAAAACAAAACAGTTATTAATAATTTTATTGCATATAACACTACTAATTATTTAGACACATATATCAATTTATGCATCCTCTCAGTTACATTTAAGTATCCAGCTGATCATTGACCGTCAAAAATATTTCTTTGAAAAATGTCCGGCTGTCGTCAGGAAATTTTGGAAGCCCTGTTATAAACTGTCATGATTTTCAAATAATTACACTCAAAGGTGTTAGTATTAATTGGAAACAACCCCAGTCTTAATTCACCACATTTAATATCTCCTGACCTGTTACATAATTAAATAGGCACAATTTATTACACACCAAACTGAATACACACATTCTTGACCTCAATAGTAAACCTACAAATGTATTATTTATTTTGATCTACACTACATTAAAATATTCTGTTATTTTGCTAGCTAGCTGAATGATTAATCAGGCGTGGTTTTTTTTCAAAGAAAAGACAAAAAATGTTAAAATATGTATAAAATATGTAAAAAATGCAAGCAAATTTTATTTCACTTGTAAAATCAGTGTCATTATCATATGACATAAGTCAATAATCAAGATCTAATTAATTAGTTACAATTATCAGACAGTTGGTTGAAACAATAAACAAAATTGCATAAATCTTACCTGAGCATTTTCTGCAATAAAATTTATTTGTTTGTTCTGCATTTATATCCCATTATATTGCTATTTAATAGTAATTGGAAATATCTCAGCATTAGGTATTTGTACATTTAAATTTGAATACAGGAAATGTATTTTTTCTTAATGAATAGATATAAGAAGATGTGGTATGAGTTCCAAGAGACAACTCTCCATCCAAGTCAAAATTTATAAAAGTAAACCATTATAGGTCAAAGTACGGTCTTCTCCACGGAGCCTGAGCTCACACTGAACAGCAAGCTATAAATGGCCCCAAAAATTACTGGTGTAAAACCATTCAAGCGGGAAAACCAACGGTCTAATCTATATAAAAAACGAGAAACACTTATGAACCACATCAACAAATGACAACTACTGAACATCAGATTCCTGACTTAGGACAGGTGCAAACAATGAACATCAATTTAGATAAAAATTAGTTATTATTTTTTTTATTTTTGTTTTGAGAAAGTGCATTTCCAAGGCCTCTTTCTGGAAATTATTAAGCCAGTTATTATTAATGGCATATAAAAAAATATATTACTTGTTTGACGATTTCCCTTTCCATTCATGTCAATACCATCAAATTACAAATATTTATAAAAAAAAAAAAATCTGACAGAGTCTAAAATTGAAATATCAATATATATATCATTATTTGCATCAATATTGCGAAATTCCCTACCTGTGGGCAATAACATGGAAATTTAACAGTAAGATTGGAAATGAAAAGAGAAAAAAATATTGAAAAAGTATGGTCAGAAAGAATATCAGACTAGCTATGAATATGGCTGGCTCACAACATCCACAATGCTTTGATTAAGATAAAGAGGAGAATTATGTATCCTGCTATTGATTTTCAGATGAGCAGTCGAACAATGCCTCTAAGAGCAGACCAAACCTTGTGGATCCAAATATGTTTGTGCCTTATCTCTCATTACTGTCATCTGATGATACAACAATCAAGAAAAGTGAGAGAATTAACATCCTATTATCCAATTTTGGCTCAATTTTCAAGATTTTGATGAATATAAAATTTACTGGTAAAATTACAGCCTAAAACAATACATGAATGTTTTCATCTATCATAAAAAAATCTTTTGATTTAGCTGTGTGACTTGAAATTTATATTTTTCAGCTATTTTTACTACAGTTTGTAAATAATGGTGTGATGAATGAACGCATTTCAGATCTGTTAGACACCTAGTGCTTGTTTCCAATACCTAATATAACGACAAAAACTGCAATTTCTTGTTTTTATTCATAAATCTTAGTTTTATATGTACTATTTAGATTGTTGCTTTGTTTTTGTTTTGACGATCAAAACATTATGTTATAGGTATCATAGAGAGTTTAAAGAGAATGTTTGGCCATATAGGAGTGAGAGCCAAAAGTTCTACAATAGTCAGTATGTTAGATACAGCTCTAGAAGTTCTAGTTGATCCTGATTATAATATCAGAGTTAGCTTTAGGTAAGTTTGATTATCTTTAATCCTATAGAAGCTATTTAAGATAATCTTCATTATTTTGTAATGCCAATGATTGATTTGTTGTTTGAGTTTTGAAAAATTTACATTGTAAGTGGGACTAATCAATAGGTAGTTGATTGCATATTCTGAAATGCATCTTGTTGGATTATTTTCAGCAAAGTTGTGCCTTACCTAGTAGGTGAAAATTGTAATGAGACAAATCAACGAATTGTGACCAAACTGAAGGAAGCTTACTATGCAGCATGTATGGAACAGAATATCAGACTTCAGGAAACCATTGTTCTAACACTGGCTCAGTTTGGAAGGTAAGCCTTAACATTTTATTGTGTCATTTTATGAAATGAAAGATATGAAAAGGTGCGAGACAGTATCCTACACATTTAGTATACAAAGTTAAAAGATTACTGGAATTTATTGTTTGATCTTCTAGTATGAGAGAACATAGATCACAGCCAGAAAAAAACATTCTAAAAATGTCCTGATTCTATAGATATAAGTAAGGCCTATATCAGACCATTGCACTAAACTAAAGAATATATTCTTTTGGTTAATGTGTACTTAAGTTGTTTTATCATTAACATGTACTGCACATCTTGATTAATTGATATAGAAAGTCAAATGAAAAATGTAAAAGTTGCCATAAAAAAACAGGAGCAAATTAAAAACAATTTGTTTGGATCATCTTTTATAACATTGATTATTTTTGCCATTTCTGTCCATATTAATGAAGTTTGTGTCATGTATTGAAATTATATATGTGAATTGTAGGATAGCAGAAAATGAGCAGTTATTGGTAGTGATACTGAATCTACTGGAGAGTATGATATCACCTATACCACTGATTGCTGCTGTGGCTTATGAACAGGTGATTAATGATGAAAAAATTATTGAGCTTAACCTTAAATTTAAGAACAGCCTCCTGAAATTTGGTATCAAGCTTTATTTGATCATGCTATATCCTCAAATTTCTGTGTACGGAATACCTTTATTTTCTTACACATAATGTCCATGTATTAAAATTCATCACATTTTTCTCAGCTTCCTGAAATTAGTTATCAAGCTTTATGTGATCATCCTGTACCAACTGATGTATTTTCAGATTCGTTGTTCATCATATTCCAGGTAACCAAATACTTGTATTCTTACACATAACATTGTGTATGAAATTTTCATTGCATTTTCTCAGGAACTATGTTTCACAGTCTTAAAATTTGGTATCAAGCTTCATGTGAGCATGATTTACTGTGTGATGTGTTTTCACATACAATGCTTATCAACTTCCTATCAATCAAATACTTAGGGCTATTCCATTAAAAAGAATGTACCAGGATTGGACGGCAATTATAAAAAATCCCGTTGGTTGTTGATCTGTTGAAGCGTTCATGGCCAGTGGCACTTGGTGTTTAGGGAAACTAAGTATTGTTGGTTGTTGGTCTTCTTTGACAGTCAGTTTTCATGACTGTCGGTTTCATTGTGTTATTTTTCGTTATTAATTAATATTTGTTTGTGCAAGGACTTATATAACCGATTGTTTTTGTCTCCTGCTCTTATCGTGATATTTTGGAAAACAAAACTGTTCCCGCGACTAACGCAGCGGCAGGCGCAACGTTGTATTCTACCTATGGTACCAGTTCCGGAAGTGCAAGAGTTAAATCCCTTTAATGACAAGCACATGGAGAAAGATGTCAAATTCTATTGAAAATAATATTCGGAGGTTCAAATTAGCTGTGGTCCGAGGTCTGCGACCTTCCACTATTGCAATCAGACTTTCGTTTTGGTTACTAACTAGGCCAGACGGACCTTCGACTTGAAAGAAAATAAAAATTAACTTTGCCGACTTTTTTAACCATCAGTATGGTCATTTTAAAGCCATATTACTATTGAGATCGTATACCCCTCCAGGGATTTTTCTAGCATTCCACAGGGTCCAAATACAGGACCCATTCCTATTGGCAATGGCAAATACCCTACAGTTTTACCAATTTCCAAACGATCTCAAAAATTATTTTTATCTTTATTATTCATGACAGCGATGCTCATTTTGTTCAACCGCTAGCTTTATACTGAAAATCGCCAACAAGTAATGTGTAAATACGAGTAAAATCGTATCTGACTGACAAAAACAACATTGAAAAAAAAACGGAAATGAAGACGATTACAATACCGGATCAGATTCCGGGGTCGGATAAGGGTAATTCCGGTTTGCCGATCAAATACAATAAAAAATAATAATTCCAGGCAGGTGACAAAATACATCTATGATGATGAAATATAAACACTAGAATTGAAAACCAAAAGATATATGGAAAAGAAAGAAAAAGCTTGAAATAATTTATACAGAAACTCAAAATATCTTTTAGTTCACAAATTTTCATGTCAAAATCCAATGAAATGTGACAGTAATTTTCTTTATCATTAATAAATGTTGATATTGCATGTAGATGTTTTTATAGAGTATACATATATCTACAATTCCAAGAGGTAATTTCTTCTCAATTTTGAAGGGCCAGTAAAAATCTGGAAGTTTCTTACTTTATTTTTACAGAGGAACTAATATAATAGTGCAACTAGATATGATACATTTAAACAGCTTTGAATTTGAACTGTTATGAATTGAACAATATAAAGAAAAGAGATACAAATAGCCCTTTATATCATCATTGTAGATCCTTGAGTGAGCACTTCTCTTCCAAATCTCACCACTTCTACCCATCAGTTTCAAAAAGAGAAATCACTTCAAAAACTTCCTGTTTACTGAACACTTACATCATTTTAAAAATAACTATTTAAATATTCCAAATGCATATTTGGGTGGGGGTATCATCAGTGAGCAGTAGCTCGCAGTTTCACTTGTTGATTCTTCGTATCCTTTGTCTGCGTCATCGTAAACTTTTTTCAAACATCTCTGAGCCAAAAAAGCCAATTGGAAGCAAATGGCCAACATATATTAAGTTAACAAAACAATCCATTTGCAGTTCTATAGACCACAGTTCTAATTTTCATCAGTGATTTTTATAAGATTTGAAATGTTTCAAACCCCGGTGACCAAATTATATTTTTCATATTTAAGATTTAAAATACAATGAAGTTTGATCTCATTTCTTCCCTCCAACTCCCAGTTCCCTCCCCCTCATTCCCAGGTTCCCTTAACCCTATCCAACCCCTCTAAATTGTCCAGCAACTATAATGTTTAAATAACAATTCCTTTGGTTGTGGTAAATTAGAATAAAATAAGTTAGATATATTCCAGTTGGTTCTTGTATTATTATGAAACAACTTCCTGTTGGTTGGTGTTAAGATACATGGTACATTCCTCTTGGTCATGGGGGTACTTAAAAATTGCCTTCCGACCCTAGTACCTCCTTTTTAATGGAATAGCCCTTACTGCAGTAGTTATAATAAAATCATTGAAGTTATTTAAAACCACAGATTTTAATACATGTATGCTAGAAACATTTTTTTTTTTCAGTTGAAGTATATTGCCCAGTACAAGAAAATGAAGACACAAGACCTTTTCATGAGATCCAGGCTACCTATCTGTAAAGTAAGGTTAAAGTTCGCTTGATTTGACCTAGACCTTGTAGACATGTAACTAAAGCTAGAAGCAGTGAAATAGTCTACCAAATTATCATTGTAGATACCATCTTGTATAGATATTAATTTAGCTCATATTTGTAGTTGATATTTTCTGAACACAAATGTCTTCTAAAAAGGCATTTTAAATTTTGGTTGAAAATATAATGCTAGCTTCATTTATAAGGGGGGGCTTGGTGGCCGAGCGGTCTAAGTAGTCGAACTAATGTATCACTAGCCAGTCAACACTGAAGTTGTTAGTTCAAATCCCGCATGGGGCAGGTGCACTCAACTCCAATCTTAGTTGACTAGGATTGTCAGTTTTCCTACCGAAGGTTGGTGGTTCTCTCCAGGCACTCCGGCTTCCTCCACCAATAAAAACTTACCACCACTAAATAGCACAATTGTGTTGAAAGTGGCATTACCAATCAATCAATCAATCATTTATAAGGCATTATATAAGTTTTCATGTCTGTTTTATTCAAAAGTTCTTGCATAGTTAGTTAGTAAATGAACAAATTAATGCACATATAGTAATAATTGAAAATATTTTAACGGGCAAATGAGTCTTTTACTGCACACACTCCTTTGTTCTTGGAATATATACAAACAAACAACTTAGTTAAAATGAAAGGTTTTTATAGGAATTTTTCATCATACAATTTCACAACACTTTGTATGTTTTTCATGCTAGCAATATTAATAGAGAGGAAAGGAGTATTATAGGCTATTAAATTACTATTTGGCCTGAAACTAATTATATCATACTGTTTTCAAATGAAATTTTAACTTTAACCATGGATTACAGTTCTTGGCAGAAGCTATGCACCAGAAAATGTTATCCTGTAATGATGTTGACGCTTCTACAGATATCCTGAGAGATGTTACTAAGGTTTTAGATTTCCCTGATGATAAGAGATTTTTACAGGTAAGTAGAATGTGATATCATGGTTTTATTGTAGGTAATTCTTTATTATGGTAGTATATAAAAATAGGAAGATGTATGATTGCCAATGTGACAACTATTCACCAGTGACCAAATAATGTTGACATAAGCAACTAGAGTTCACTATACAGCCTTTGACAATGAGCACAACGAATGCTGTATTATTACAATTATGTTATTGAAATGTAAGAATAGAATTAACTTTTATGATCAGGGTACCTTAAAGTCAATGTAGGCTTCGAATTTGGAGATTGATATGGATTTTGATTACAGAATATTATGAGCAAAATTCATATTAAACCCCATTCCTAAGTGGGGGCTATATTGCATTCATCTTGTCCCTCAGTTTGTCCATCTGTTTGTCCAACAATTATTTCTCCATTAAATTTTCAGCACACTTTTCTAGAAAAGTACTGAAAAGAATGATAGTCAGCAGCTTGGCAGTGATGAGTTGTAAGTGCTTTTCAGATCTGTCTGATACCTACTTCCTGTTTTCCAATATCTTGAATAACAAGTGGGGGTAAGCTAAGCATGAAAACCTATGCAATTTGTATTCAATTTTAATAATAAATAATTTAGCTATAAATATTTTTCTTTTTTCAGTCAGCCAACAAATTTATAGTACCACACTTAGTGAGTATAGCAACACCAGAGGCATCTAATTTATTGAAGAAGATATCAATGATAGTTGATCTTCCAGTAAGTGCTATGACTAAATCTTTGACACAAATGTTGGAATATAAGTATCTTTGTTGTTGTTCTGTAATTTTGAAAGACAATGGACTCTCTCAAAGCAACAAAAACCTTTTTTGGTTTGCTGAGAATGGGTTTCATAATAAAAATAAAGGATATGGAGTATCCATCCATGACACAAAATCAGTATATGCACAGCAAAAAACACCAAAATCAAAATTGCTGTTTTTCATCTCAAAGTAACAGTTAACCTTCAACATAGAACAAAACTCTCACCTCTCTGCAAGTTTAAGACAGCCCCTAGAACTAATTTGAGCGGAATTATGTCTTTTATTGTAAAGTGCATATGATACAGAAAAGATCCCTCATTGATTTTTCCTTAAGATTTTGACACAAAGTAAATTTTGATATGCACTATCGAAATATGCAAAGCATTATATACCATCATACTACTCTTTGAGATATTTCAGTTTGAAACTTGCATGTTTTATGTAAAAACACAAAATTTCATTTTTCAATACTAGCTTTCAAACGGAATGAAACATTTTCACCTGGTTTTTAGCAAGTGTTCTTTAATTTATTGGATTTTCAGGCAGTTCCTAAAATGAAGGTTTTTTATGAAATCATACAGTTATTTGTAATAAAAATCCGTAGACGATTTTCTTGCTTATACAAATGCATTTAGAAAAAATTCTTTTATTGATCTTTTCTTGCAATTTCGATATAACGTTCTTGAAGTAGTGCATAGTCTTGCAACTTTTCCTGCCTTACATCAAAACGCAGTACAAATTACTGTCATACATACAAATTTATTAATGATTGAAAAGTAAACAGTATTCATTTGCCTCAAATTTTATGCCCCCACAGTAGATTTTGCCTGCTTAAATATACATAATGTTTTTTTTACCCATTGAAAATACTTGGTATGGTTAAAATTAGCTACATTGTGAAAACGTGTTAAATTTGGATGCATTATTATCCACACTTGCTACTGTACTGTATGCCCTTAAGTACAACATAAATGATTAGATTTGCTATTTTATTGAGGAAATTGTTTATTTTATTTCACAAAATGTGAAAAAGTTCATTTGACTTAAGGGATCAGGATAGCTTTTGTCATTTCTTTGCATCGTCATTTTCATCATCTTTATATTATTTGATTGATCTACTTACAGAACAGGAAGAAGATAATGATGGAGAATATAAAGTATATATTTCCTTATATAGCTATCTACTTCCAAGAGGCAGAACAAGGAAAAGCTATGAAGTTTTTACAGGTAAAAATCTTTTTATTATTAGATTTGGTATATACAGAGAAAAGAAATAATGATGTAATTCCAAAATTGTTGAAATCCTGTTTAAATTAGAAATTATGTTCAAAGATAATATCTACCAGTACCTTTACTTTATAACTTTTCAAACCTTTTAAACATATTTTTGAATAACTTTTTTATCATATTTTTGAATAATCATGATGGTATTAAGATGAACCTTCGCATAAAAGGTTTTCATGCAAGGTAATCTTTTTTATTTCAGAAAGAGACGGCATTTGACATGGAACAGTTACTAAGATGTCAGTTTCAGACAACACACAATGAGTTACTCCTACATCTTGGTACACATTATCAAAAGGTTATTATCAATGATCTCAATATGCTCTTAAATTAACAATTCAGTCTTGGAACAAATCATTTTAAGTAATTATAAAAGAGAGAAAGATTCTTTAATTGAATAATAAGTTGCCAAATAGAAGTTGACAATGTTGTATGAACAAACTTTTTATCGAATGGTTAATGGAATAGATATGTAACCAGGATAGATTTAACCTTCATTGATATCATTGTCATGAACATGGAGAAATAAACCATACATTGCTATTGTGTAAGGGTCTTTGAATTTGTAGTCAGATGTGAGTTATTAGCCTGTGTTAAAGGCCTCATTATGACTTTGAAACAAAGAACACCAATACAAGAGCTGTTCCTTTGCGTCTGGATTTATTCAGTGTTCAGTAATTTTGTTGTGAATTAGTTCACCACATCTCTTCTTTTCAATATAAGTGATTAATTTTAAGATATAACCCTGATGTTTGTATTTCAGCAGTTTGATGTCACTTTTATGATTTGAGTGTTTTATAATGTTAAAAGAAAGATAATAGTTTGAGATTGTATTATTTGCTTTATACCAACTGAAATGAATATTTTAAAGTACAAATGTAATTTTTGTTTTGCTGATGCTAAAGAAAAACAGTATTTAATGATAGGTAATGAATCTCTTTTGTGCAGGTGTTTAGTGGACTGACTGTGCTATCTAAATGTGTAAAGACTCAGGGATATGAAGAACCACAGACAATGACATCTGCAGAAATGGTAAATACAATCAGAATATAAGAAGCACTTAACAATGCAGGCAGAAGGCTTACAAAATTATGCAGCTAAGACTGCTACACAGTTGGTATGACAAGACTTTAAAAAATCCTGCTGATAGACACATTCAAGAAAGAAAGAAAAAAACAAAAACTGTATTGATCATGTTGATATAAACTATACATTCTGAAATATTCAGGTAGGGGACTTCAGTAAGTTTGTTGATCAACATCTACCTTACAATAAACTTCATTATATTTTATCCTGAATAAGGGCAAAAATGACAAGGTACAGTGGATCTGCTAATTAGGGGTAGCAGTTGTAATTGGTATAACGTGGATGCACCAGTTTATGTGAATGTTTTAAAAGAAGCTGTCAAACCCAACATATAAACACTCGCGCTACTTTATTTGTGGTACTTGTTAAGCATATACCAGGGCTTCCAAAACGGTCATATATTCCGGACTTGACCGAAACTTTCATAAAAAGACCGGCTGCTCTCAGCCTCAAACGGTCAAATAGAATTGGTGTGCCACATTTTGTTATTCAAGGCATTTTCATGAAACGGTCATTTCAATTTTTACCAACTATCGATCGATAAAAATGTCCGTTTGGGGCTTTGGGCATGTCCGTTTGGGCATTTTAGTTTATAATTGTGGCAATCTATTTCACAAAGATATTTCGGTCATAATTGGGTTTAATAAAACAGAAGCAGCATATTTCAGATACTTTGAAGTGTCTCAGTTAGTCTAATCCTCTGGGTACATAAATGTACGGCTTGGTCTTTAGCTTGTGTACATCAATAAAAAGTAGAAAAAACACGTTTTCTTTTATTTAAATAACAACAAGCTGTCAAACAATTATCCCTTCAATAAGTTATATTGAAGCCATAAATCATTCACTGATTACAGGTTTGTTACCTTTGATGAGATGTCCTTAGCTTATCTTTATCAATAGAATTAATGATGCATAACAATGTACATAAAGGTAATCCGGTAAACGAGGTCAAACATGTAAGCGTGTATGGAACAACATCCTATTTAATTACGCTTTATAGATATTATTTTAAATGAGCATTCAGTTTTAAAAGTATCCTGATATTTAAAAGTTATTCTTCAAATAAGGATATTTATAAATGAATAAGTATGATATATATTATTTTATTTAACACTGTACATCGTGTTAAATACTGGGGTACTCTCAAGGGGAAAATTTACTAAAATATATAGGAAAAACCAATGGACAAATTTCAGTCAATAAATGATTTAACTAAGTTAAATGGTGCCGTGATCACTTCTAAATTATATCAAGAGAACAATGCCTGCTCCGAATTTATTCAGACAATTTCCGATGTTATAGAGAAAGAGGTGATGTCCGACGTAAAGTTAAGTCCCGCCGTGGGAATTATGATCGACTAAGGTGTAGTCTAGGTATTGACGCTTTAGATCAACTTATGAGGATAAGCTTAGTAGGTGTAGATGTTAAAGACTTTGACCCTGTTCCTGCTATCCGCAAATGGCAATCCGTTCGTAACCGCCATGTTTATCAGAACAATGCATTTAGCAAGCTCATGAATGTAAAATCTTTAATTAGACTAAATGAACTCTAATCTTGTGCTGTGATCTGTGCTTCTTTTCAATGTGCTCATTGTAATATTTATTGCGTGTGTTTGTCAGCATTGTGCTCTTCTGACATTTTATTGTTGTTATATGCTTACATAAAATATCATGTTGTTATTCATTAAATTATTTATCAACTGAGTATGTTTTTATTTATTCCTTATTTTCTAAATCAGGTTGGGAAATTGTACAAAGAAAAATGTTATCACTGTTCAGTAGATTTTACACGGTTTAAAACAATATCCTTCATCGGGCCTCCTCAATGTTATCTATAAATACCGCATCAGTTGTAAAAGTCACGTGGTCAGGTAATCAATACACAAAAAGAAAAGTATCACGTGTATTGATGATCAAGTTGTACTGCAATTAAAGCCAACATCAACAGTTTCAAATAAGATGGCCTTAATTTACAAAGTGTTAAGTACTCACAGAGAGAAGATAGATTATATAAACAGAAACAAAAACATGAGAACAGTCAGGTACTGAAGCTGATTGATGCAATGATGGTTACTGTATTACGATACACAGAAAAATGACACAATACCGAGGATAATATTTTATTTATTTTTAGAATGAAGAAAACAAAACAGTTATAAATAATTTTATTGCATATAACACTACTAATTATTTAGACACATATATCAATTTATGCATCCTCTCAGTTACATTTAAGTATCCAGCTGATCATTGACCGTCAAAAATATTTCTTTGAAAAATGTCCGGCTGTCGTCAGGAAATTTTGGAAGCCCTGGCATATACTAGTGTGAAAGAGGCCATGCAAGAAATAAATTCTTTTCCAATTGAATATTGACTATCATTAAGATTAACCACCTTTTATTTTCAGGCAGACTATTTACAACCTAAACTACTTGGAGTGATTGGATTCTTTGATTTACAGCTTTTGAATAACAACATTCCTCTTGAAGATAAGAAATTGGTAAATCAATACATTTAATTTTATGTTACATAATCATTTTTACTTGGAAACAACTACTGGTATGTGATATCAATGATATGTGGTATTATTGTTGCTGGCCACCAGAAGGTGTTTTGTAGATAATGTTGGAATGTCTGTCTGCAATGTCAAGGGCACTTACTTAGTTCAACCAAACATCCCCATATTTGAATATACAAATGTCATGTCTGCCTCTAAACTTTTGAATGTCTTTCAAGGATATTAATGATTCTTGATGCTGACCACCAGAGGGTATGTCACATATAAGGTTGGAATGTCTTGTATTCAAGAATGACTTCAGTATACTTTATACAGTAAGATATACACAGGGCCTTGGGGTTTATCATTTTGTGAGCTTTGTTCTTAGTAATTCTATCTATAAACAGGGGTTTAAATTAGTGGTGGTCTGAGGTCCGTGACCTTCCATTTACCGGTTTTGACCTTCCCATCGGTAGTTAGTTACACCCGACGGACTTTCGTATTTTTGCAGTTTAAAAAATTACCAAAGCATTTTGAATAAAAATATAATAATCTAGTATAAAAATAATCTTAAAATATGCAACCATACTGAAAGGAAAAGTATGTGATTGCTTAAATTCTTCACAATTGATTTGATGTGCATTCACGTGACCGGTCGTCGTACAAGATACCAGGAAACTTGAGAATATAAAATTAGAGCATAACATATCTTCTTATTTATAATAACTGGTAAACAATATGAGTCTGTTTGGTTTTGGGGTGACCTCTTCTGAAAGAAACCCTGATGAAACGGGTGTGATTGACAGCTTAACGCAGCCCAAAGACAGGATCTGACTAAAGACCAAATATATGACAGGGAAAAGGGAGTACGTAGATTTTTCCCACTCACAGTGAAAGAGAAACTGCCCTGGTTCCATAGACAAAATTTGAAAACTTTACCCCATAAAAAATCATGATGAAAAATTTCCTCCCAGCATCTATATATCTTGCCAAAATATGTGGTTAAAAGGAACTGACCCAAAGCTAAAAAACGAAACTCAGTGTTATCTGACTCAAAGTTAGGCCAGTGTGTCCATGGTGTTCTAAAGCAGCAATTAAAACCAAAACAATTTAAAAGGTACAAAGTGTTATTTAACACAGAGTATAGTGTTAAGGAAAAAGGGCAGCCTTTTTATGACTGAATTTATTAAAGAAATTCAGAAAAAAATGAGGTTAATGTAGTAAGATATTATGAGTGCTTTGGAATGGTTAGCATTTTTCGATTTTTTATAAATTGAATTTTCAATAAAAATTGGACCTTCAAAGAATAACGGAGGACCTTTAAATATTTTTGGTCAAAGGTCCTGGACCTTTCATTGCCTAAAGTAAATTTGAACCCCTGCCTATAAATGACGGTTTGTTTTTAAGAAAAAGTAGTCCGAAATAAATTAAAAACCAATTGTTCTGAAGGTCTTTCCACAAAAAAACATGTATTTTAATATGAAAATAGTAAAATTCGTTTTAAAATGTCATTTCCAGCTTCAGAAATGATAGCTTATTGTACGCTGATTCCAAAAATATGTGGTTTCTATACAATATTTTTTAAATAAGGGAGATAATTTGTTACTTCCGGTTTGAAAAAGGTTACTTCCGGTATTATTTAACTGTTTAATTGACACTGATTCCAAAGATATGGTTCTATATACTTTTACATTCAAAAAGTACAAAAAAATAGCTACTTCCGGTTTACACAGGGTCACTTCCGGTTCCTTTTTCTAGGTCATATGGCTTGCAACTAAATGCAAAAAGTCCGATGGCTTTTTCATGTATACATATGAGGTAAAAGAAAAGGTCAAAATCTAGAACTTCAATTTAACCTATGACCTTGTGCTCAATTTCAAGGTCATCAACCAAGGACCTAAAATCAAAAGACCCTAGGACTTAATTAAATTTGGTTCATGAGTTATATCACCATATGCATATTTTTAAATAAAAGAGGGGAGAAAACTGTAATTTGATGTAAGCGCACCCTTTAAACCAATATGTATGTGTTACGACATGCTGCAACTAACAATTAAATAAATATATGTTGTCGATATCTTATATCATGTTTGAAAAGTGGTGAAAATAAGCCAAAATCCAAATTTAGAAATGACCTTGACCTTTGACCTTGACCCTATTTTCTTTTTTTTGGACCAAGGACCTCAAATCAAAAGACCATAGGTCCTTATCACTTATGGTTTACCAATTATAATTACATTTTACTTATTTTAAATACAGAAGGGGAAATAACTCTCATATGGAGTTTCTGGACCGCTTCGGTCAAAATTATTCTTAAGATCCTGAGGATATAACGAACAAATTGGAGACATAAATTTGTCATAATCTTTTACTGTTGCGAAGGAGATGCGTTCACAAGAAAAACAGTGTATGGGGAGATAACTCTTACAATAAAAAGTATTCGGCTAAACAGGGTCACTTTCAAAATCGCAATAACTGTTCGATATCATACACAAAAAATCTAAGCGACATCTTGCGAAGAAAAAAAGCACCGTCAGAAAAATTGAAGGTCTTTCCACATCAATTTTCTAAATAATTGATAGGAAGCTACTTCTGGTTTACTCAAAGTTATTAATAGCGTCAAAGTATAGATTTCTTCATACTGATTCAATAAATAAATGGTTTCTATATACTTTTGTCTGAAATAAGGGAGATAATTGCCAACTTCCGGTTTAGAAAATGTCACTTCCGGTCTCATATGATAGCTTTATTCACACTGATTCAAAAAATATATAGTTTGTATATACTTATGCCTGTTATAAGGAAGATAATATGCTACTTCCGGTATATAAAATTTCACTTTCGGTCTCAAATGATAGGTTAACCTATGATCATTCAAAAAATATATGGTTTCTAGGTACTTTTCCATGAAATAAGTGCAAAAAATACTACTTCCGGTTCACTCAAGGTCACTTCCGGTTTACTTTTTTCAAGGTCATATGTCAACCAACAGTTTGCAAAAGACCCTATGGCTTTATCATGTACCAAGTTGGAGTAATAATCAATTAACCTTAAATTGAATCATTTCAGGGACAATAACTCCTATAAGATATCATTGGATTGTTTCAGACCAAATGTATCATATCTTAATTACAATTAAGCAAACATTTTGCACTAGTTCTTTAATTTGTAATTTTAAAAGTGACAGAGGAGATCAAATAACAAGGAAAAGTCAAAATTTAGAATATGACCTTGACCTTTGACCTTGGCCTCAATTTCATTTAAATGAACCAATGAACTCAAATCAATATACCTTAGGTCTTTATCACTTACCATTCATGCAATACATTTATATATCCCTTATGTCAAATGCAGAAGGGGAAATAACTCTCATATGGAGTTTACGTATCGCTTCGGTCAAAATTGGACAAAACATCCTGAGGATATAACAAGCAATTTGGTAAAATAAATTTGTCGCTTTCTTTTACGGTTACGGAGGAGATTTAGCACAAGGAAAACAGTGTTCGGGGAGATAACTCCTACAAAGAAAAGTATTCGGTTAAGCAGGGTCAATTTCAAAGGCGCATAAACTGTTCGATATCATATACGAAACATCTAAGCGACATCTTGCGAAACAAAAATTTATCGCAAGAACAAAATTTGGCGGAAGAAAAAAAAAAAAAAAAAAATAATCAGAAGAAAACCAATAGGTCTTTCCACAGAAAAGTGGAAAGACCTAATTAACCTTGATCATAAAAAAAGATCATTTATCCTTCTTTATGTTTTATTCCTTAGACATTAGAAAGTTTGACAGCCATTATTAGGTTGATGGGTAGAAAACACATTGGAATGATTAGATACAAGATTGTCAATACACTGAGGATAGGATTACAAATCACAGATAGAGATATCCAGGAAATATCCTGTAAAGCTTGGGATTGTTTTGTTAAAAGGTAAGGTTATAGGTAATAAGCATGGCCAAACTTAAATTTAAACTGGTTAGAATTAGAATAAAAACTTACAGATAAAATGGTTAAAATTAGGTAAAAAACTTACAGATAAAATGGTTAAAATTAGGTAAAAAAACTTATCTTGAAATAAGAACTTTGACCATGGATTTTATATTTGAATATATAGTACTGTGTGAAAAGAGATTGGTTTAATAATAATCTAATTTGTTGCTTGAAATGTATGTTTAATAGAGTTCCAAAGAATTTTCATTCAAGTTTTTCAATAGAAGAGAGCAGTTTTAAGGATTAATTAAGCCAAAATAAATAATTTTGTAATTCCTATTTCACCTACCAAAAAAATAGGTAGGGTAGGTAGGTAAAACATTTTATTTTATGAAAACATTTTTTAAAATTTTTTTCTATTGTTGACAGCAGAAAAAAAAAGATTCCAAATCAAATTGTTGGTGTGCCACCCTTTGCCTGATTCTTTAATATCTAGAATAGTACTTAGATCTGCAGCATTTTTATTTTTCTGTTTTAGTTCTGTGTCAGAAATATGAAAATAAACTTTAATGCAAATTTTATGCATTTCATTGGTCAAAATGGGGAATATTTTTTCCTTTTCTTGTATACATTGTTATGGGACCAGCCAGAGAAAATTAAAAAATAGAATAAAAGTTGACATGGTGCCTGGGCAGATTTATTTATAAATGAACATGAATCATACACCATGTCTGCCTACAGGGGAACGCTTCTTTTTTCTCTTTCTCGTTATACATTGTCTGCCCCCCACCCCGCGGCTCTCATTAACTAAACTTCTCAAAAGCATTGACAGCCTTTTATGCTGCTTCTTGAGCACGATTCTGTACAACATTAGCTTGATTGATTTTAGCAGTAAATTGAACACGTTACACACTAAATCTGTTTGTCAATTCACTTCACTCTAATGGTCTTTATTATGTTTTCTGATTTGTGCGGATGGTTATCAAATTGTCAAAAAATATCATAAGGACCTACAAGCTTTGGTTCCGCAGCTACGACAAGCCATGCTTTTTTTTCTAAATCTTGGTTCTTGATATGCTTTATTTATGCTTATTAGTCGTAATTATCAATCGCTTTGTAGATCAGTAGTATTCTAAACGAATAATCAGATCTGGAAAATGTTTAGGGTCGGCGTCAGAAACGGAGGCAAGGTCAGGAAACCGAAAACACATAATTTATTTATTTTTGCCTTAGTTTATGCCTATGTAAGCAGTTGAATTTTTTTCTAAAATATTCATAAAAATAGTTAAATTCATTTAGTATGCATTTATATGATGGTAGGGATATTTAATTTAAAAATAGTTTAGTGTTGACTGTAAAATTTCTCTTTCAGTTTAGAAACTCCCTTTCTTGGACAGATGATGTCACAGATTATTGCCACACTTCTCCCTTTGTTGAATTCATTACCAAAACAGGTCTCAGAACTTTTCAATTTCATGATAGTAGAAAACAGGTGAGATCGAAATGTTACATTTAATTCCAGAATTCAATGAAGATTATTTTTAGTGCAGGCAATAATAAGTTGGAGTTGTCAATCTGCAATGTCAAGGGTACAAATGTTGCTCAGCTTTCTGAAACATTTTATATGACAAACCCTAATGTACAAAGTTGTTTCTGGTTTAAACCTTTCGAATGCCTTGAAAACATATTAATGATACATCATATGGTTGTTGATGACTACAAATGGGCTATTCTTATTTAGGGTAGAGTGTTTTTTGGGAGTTGAAAATTGTAATATTCTTTTTGATTGTATTTATACACCAAGATAAATGCAAAGGTGAAAGGGGTATTATCTTATGAAGTTTGATTCCAGTAACTGTAGTTTACTCTACTATAATAACAACAATGACAACAATTTTCAACCAGCAAAGGTATTCTTATTAAAAAAAATCAGAACCACAAACTTAAAGTATCTGTGTATGTACTGTTTTTATAAAGAAGATGATCACTTTAGGGAGACATTATCAGTTCACTTCCATGAGGTCTACTTCCTGCCTGATATACCAGAGTTGGCTGTTGCTAATGATATACTGAAACAGTACACAGAGGGATCTTCTAGGTAGGTACTGGGTTTTTTTTGTAATCAATCTCAACAAGTTTATCAAAGGGACTTAAGGAATTTCTTAGTGACAACATGAAAACCACACAGCAAATATTTGCAAGATTAATCAAAACAACAGTACCAGAAGTTGCATTAATGGTACCTCCTTGTAGTTTATATAAAATATTTACATAAAAATAATACTGAAGAAGAATTTACATACAAATTTTACTGAAGAAGAATCAGGTCAGAAGAACTTTGTTTCCTAAGGAATGATGTTAAAATATCATAGTATTACCATTTATACTAATTATACCCCAATATAATGTTTTTGACCCGTCCGTCCGTCTGTCCGTCCGTCTGTCCGTCACACAACAGAATTTCATGAAACTGTGTAGATAATAAGGACATACTATGTAGATGTGCATATTGACAGGAAATTATGATTCAATTTTTTTTTCTGATACAAATTTTTTTTCGTACACTTATTTTATTTCTCCAATGACAATGTGGGAACGTGGGGTATGTGAGTGCGCTCACTAAGGTTCTTTTATTTTATCCTGCTTTTCTACCATAGATTCAGAGAATCTATTTATTTTTGAATTCATTAGAAAAACATTCTGTGATATATTATTTTTTGTTTCAGTCAATCAGATTTGAGGACCAGACTGGATCATTCAATGAAGGGAATAACACATGAAAGCTTGGATGTTAGACTTCATGCTCTGTCCAAATTGAAGAACCTGCTTCGTGATGAAAAAGTAAGAAAACATATTATTTTTCAACGTTTTACTTGTAACGAAAAAGATGTATAAATTAATTTCAAAGGAAATATCTGTGAAATTTGACTATAATCATTATAAATTATATATAATGGAATGAGAAGGTAAGCATGAATGAAACAGCAAACCAACGATACAAGTTAAGCTTTTAATGATGGGCAAGTTTCCAAACCATAAAGCTAGCATTAAATTACGACAAATACAAAATTTTGAAGAAATTTCAGAGCCGTACCATGAACTGCATACATGTGTAGATGAGTACACTATACCATTGTTACCTATTTATCTCTTTCAATCAATGTCAATTATCCAGCAATATTTGTTAGGAGAAAAGTAATGGAAATTGTAGCTGTTGCCATTAAATAAAGAGTCTTTGGTTTAATTTTTAGTTAATTTTATTAAAGGAATTGTCGTACAATATTTTCCTTTAGTCATAGGTCTATAATCTATTTGTTATAAGTCTTATTTAATGTTATAGAAACATTTTTTTTAAAGTACATGTATAACAATTTCATTGAACATATTTTATCTATAACAGGAAGCACTATACCAGTTTGTGATAGGTAATGAGACTGCTGATCCTATTGTATCAAAGATTGTTTCTGTGGTAAGTTCAGTAGCAATTTTCTAATGGCCAATTACAAGCTCAATATTTGAAAATGACAGTTAGTTTGATGAAGTTTTTCTAGAATTCTGTCTCATCAATTTTGTTTTCCACAGCTAATTATTTTTTAAAAGCACATGTAGCAAAAGCAATGAAAAGACCACTTACAAGAAAAGAAGTAAATAACTCAATGATTTATGGTGTAAATATTATTTAGAATGACTGTAATGTTATTTTTTAGCTGTTGAGTGGTTCTAGAGATTCTGATAGCAGAGCACAAATACTATATGCTGAGTGTATTGGAGAACTTGGTGCCATAGATCCTGGAAGGTACTTTTACTGTTAAGTTTGTTCTATTAAATTCAAACTGACATTGTTTAAAAGAGAAATAATTGTGTTAACTCATGTCAATGGTTTTAAAGGACAACAATTGCATGTACAAAGATATAAAATAAAAAATTACAGGTTTTGTAGTAATAGAAAAATTGTGTGTGGGAAAGATGTTAGAGAAAAACTTTCATTGTCATGACAACTTAATTGTTTTCAGGTTAGAGCTGACTACAAATGATCCCAAAGCAGACAATGCTAAATTCCACCATAACATTTGTGAAGATAATTTTGCTTTTGACCTGATAAATCAAGTTGTCAAAGGATTCCTTGCAGCAACCGAAACAAGAATTCAGGTTTGTGAAACTTCTAACTTTTTTAGATCACTAGGATGAATACTTTGTGACTGTGACCTCTATGGCAATCCTTTGGCCTCTGTTTTCAATCTTTCTGTCTGGCATAGACACTTTGAACTTTTTCTCTGGAAAGGGACAAACAAATGTGACTCGACTATGCAAATATTTGTAATGATTTTATGAAGAAAAAAAGTTTCTTACTTCGGTTTCTTTTGAATTAAAATGTTAACTAACACTGATTCTATCAAGGGACTTGCATAAGATATTTCTTCTTTTATGGTAAATATATAGATTAATGATCAGCTTTAGAACCTTACATTCAGTCATAGTACTTTAAACCAACTTATTTTCCCACATATTTTTTTCGTGTTGAGTTATTTCTAACCAACATCCTTACCATTGACCGTCCCTATTTCCGTCTGTCTTTCCGTCCCATATTCTGTTTCTTTACTCTTAACTTAAGTTTGCCTCTTGCAGCAAGTTTTATGAAATTCATACACAATGCTAAGAATCAAAACTTGCAGACATAGTTCGAATTTGGGCTGTGAGTCCCTTACAGTTCTAGAGTAATGCCCCTTTATAACTTGGAAAATTGCAAATGTTTTCTTTCGTTTCCACACTCTTACTTAAGTTTTACTAATCCAAATTTTCTGAAACTCATACACAATGCTAAGAACCAAAACTTGCAGACTGAGTTCTAATTTGGGTAGTGAGTCACTTACTGTTCTAGAGTTGTGCCCCTTTATAACTTGGAAAATTGCAAATTTTTTTGTTTCCGCACTCTTACTTAAGTTTGTCTAATCCAAATTTTATGAAACTAATATACAATGCTAAGAACTACAACACACAGACAGAGTTTGGATTTCGGTTGTGAATTATTTACCGTACTAGAGTTATGCCCCTTTTTAACTTGGAAAATTGCAAAGCTTGAGTGGGGGCATTCTTGTCCTCAGACACATTCTTCTTTTATTTATATATTCATACAAGGGAAGATCCAAGTTTCACATATTCACAGCAATTTAAATTGCGTTATTTTTCTATTCACGAAAGTCACGAAAATAACTCGCTCGGGGAAAATTAGATGGCTTACAGTATGTAATTTCTTACTTGGTACAATGTTGTCACTGAAGTGGCGATTGGCAACAGAAATTATGCCTAATTTGGCTACTTAGTTAAACTGAAGTACCTTAACTGAGTGCTGTTTCTTGGTGCCAATAAAAAGGTAAAGGAAAAAAAAAATTTCTTGACTTTTCAGGATGGCACTGCACTAGCATTACAGGAATTGTTAAAGATCTTCAAGATAACAGAGACGTCTAAACTATGGAAAAGATTTGCTGATCATGTCAAGGAAATACTTCTTCCATTATTTACTACAAAGTTAGATATATTCTTCTTGTTTCTTTTAATCTTTATGAAATATGAATTATTTTGTGTAAAATAAATGAAATGGGAAAAAAATGGAAAAAAATGTGCAGACAATTCCAATTGAGACATTAAAGCTTTGGTGTGTGTTCGATATGATGATTGGTTATACATGTAGACCTTAACACTTGCTGACCCTGGGATTTAAAATAGGGGGATGGCCACCAAGGCATTTTTTGGAGTTGAACTTGTAAAAAGTCTGCATTAACCATATATGTAGCTCTATAAAGGGGGGAGGGTCCTATATCTGCCTCTGCTTGATCTCAGTTTTAAAGTTGTTTTTGGAACCATTTCATTATCATATAAACATTTATTATTACATACTTTCACAGGTATACATTAACAAGTCAACAAGACTGGTCTAAAATAACCAAACCAATATTCCTTAGTGAGAAATCAAAGACGTTTGCAGAATGGGTCAGTACATGGACAGGATACTTGTTATCAAAGGTAAGGTTTATTTTGCATTTCTTCAGAAAACTTGATTTGTTCATATTCAATAAGTGAGTTACTTCTTATGAAGACATTTGGCATGATAACAATATTGTTATCATGAAGCAATTATAAATGAGGCATGTAATATATTTTCATAACCTAAGAGTCCCATCTCCATCAGTAGATGTCTACCTTAGAGCGTATTGGCTGTCTATTTAAAGTGCTGTTTTCGTGGTTTAGTTTTTCTATGTTTCTAAGTCTTTCAAACTTAGCTTTGAGCTTTCCTAATGAAAGTTTATTCAGAAAAGAAAACATTTAGATAGCAGCAAAAGAGATGGTACATTTTCAGCTTTATAACAATATTTAACAGTGTAATGTAACGCATTCACGAAAACAACATCCAACTCATGAAGTTATGAAATCTTTATCATAATGATCATTGCTTGTTACACTTACATTTCAGGTAAAACAAGATCATGCCAGAAGTGTGTTTGTATCATGTACAGCAGCTATAAAGAATGATGTACACATTGCTCTGTATATACTACCCTACGCAGTAACACAAGTCTTACAAGATGGATCTCCACATGATATTAAAGAGGTCAGTTACCATGGCAATATAATCTAATTCACAGATTTCTGTTTTTTTAGGAGTTTTTTGTTTGATTGATGCAAATAAAAAAATTCCTACAGTGAAGTTCACTTACAGTATTATTTTATTTTAATTATTAAATCGAGCTGATAATAAACATGTTCTGATACAATGGAAGTTTGGTCATATTATTTAAATCTAAAACCTTACAAATTTATGGAGGCCGTTTTGAATGGATTGAGAGTTCTACAGCAGATTTTTCTTAACAGATTTAGTTTCATGGAACAGATTTATATTACCAATATTTTAGGCATTTGTTTATTAGTTTAAATCCTTCTGGGAAGGAAAAAAAAACTATTTTTAAAACTTATATATATACTAGTATTGCTATCAAATTTGAAATATAAATGGACGCATGAGTGTTTTTGTACATATTATGTTTGTCTTTTCAATATACCTGTTTTGCAGAAGGGTGTGGTACATTGAATCTTGTATTTTTTTAGGTTTTTACAGAGATACTAGAAGTTATAAGTCACACTCAGAAACCCGACACTAAACATAGAGATGGGAATTTCCACCATATGAGTGCTCAGACCATCTTTTCTATAATGGATCACTTAACCAAATGGAAGAGGCAGAAAGCTCAGACCAGTGGTATCATTCCTGGTAAAGGTAATGTCTGAAATTAGAATTTATTGCAGCTTTGCAAAATGTACATATTGTATTAGTTTATTCTTTTTTCAATTACATTTTCAAAACATTGTAATTTTTTACAGTTATGATTTTTGAATCAAAGAAAGATATTTTTTGGCATTTCTATACTTGATTATCTAAAAGTCATCAAAGATACCAGGCTAAATAAAAATTACGCCAGACATGCATTTTGTCTACAAAAAAGTCATCAGTGACGCTCAAATGAAAAAGTGGTTACATGAAAAAGACTGCATCTTTCAACATAAACCTAAAAATATACTTAAAATTCTCTAAAAGAGACATCCTATAAACACAAGATATATTGTCTATCAACCCTTTTGTAGGACCTGCATATTTATCAGACTCAGGATACAGAGCTATAGATAGTTTTCTGAATAAGATTCCACAGGACCTCCTGGCTCAAGCTTGTTTTAGTTGTGGAGCTTATACCAGAGCATTGATGCACTTTGAACAGTTCCTGTCAAGTAAAAACCAAAATGTTCAAGATCATCTCGACTTTCTTCAGGTTAGAGAGTACAAATTTGTTATCTGATCAGTGGATTAACACCATAATGTCTGAAATAAAATTGTCCCTCAAAGTAGAAAGGAATCATTTAAAGAGAATGACAGTTTTAATTAAACTTTCCTACAAGTTGAATTTTTTTTTTTATTTGATTGTATTTTACATAATATCATAGATTACATATTTACTGAAGTTGCAATAGAATCTGAAACAGTCATAAAAGTTGCAATATATTAAGAATTTTTGAATCTTGGAATTCATGCCATACTAGATTAATCTGATTTTCAAGTTCTAAGTGGTCAGTGAAAGGAATACAAAAAGTATTGAAAATGGTTAACAACCTCTATTGTTTTTTTTTTTTTTTTTTAAGTTTGTGAATTCCCAATGATTTAGAATTATACAAATACCTATTTAAAGCAAAACAGAAGGTTCTGTTTAATTGAGACTAATGACTTTAAAAAAATGTGGAGCTCAATGTATTATTTTCTTTTTCATAGAGATTGTATGTAGCAATGGATGAATCTGATGGTGTTATTGGAGTAGCAGCCATCAGACAGACACAGCCAACATTGATTGAACAAATTCTGATCCATGAAAGTTTGGGTAAGTAACAACTGTCAGAAAGGCACATCAAACAATGCTTAAAATTGTATTCTTGAAAGTCAAGTTGCATAACAGCTATCATACTCAACCTCAACTAACAAATCCTTTTACACAAACTTTTGATGAATACCTGCATCAAACTGACAGCCAACACAATATATTTAAGTCCATGAAAACTGGAATGAATGATTGATTGTTGGTTGCTTAATGTCCAGTGGCAAATATTTCATGCATGTTCAGGACGAGAACAAATTAACAATCAATACAAAATGTAGGTCCTGTAATAGAGGTTGTCTGGGATGAAGGGGGAAATTTAGACTGACACTTGAAAATGAGGCGAAATTGGATAGGGACAGAATTTTGCATTGCAACAGGCCACCTACTGACCCTTCAAAGTGTTGTTGCAAGGGTTCTTAACGTGCAGAGAGCGTTGCATTTTCTCTACATAAGGCATCTGATTTAACATCCCCAGACATGGCTGCGTAATTGTACATCCCGCACAGCCAAATGGATGCCCCACTTTGGCAAGGGTTTTAATGCCGGTCCAAAATAAGACCTATAGTGACCATATTTCTATTCTTCCGTCACCCTTGGAATGAATACCTGTTGTCTGATCATGTAACAAGCGTAATGACTGATTGACTGATTGATTGATTATTGTTGTTTAATGCCACTTTCAACACTCTTGGCTATATAATGGTGCCAATTTTTATTGGTGGAGGAAGCCAGAGAGAACAAATAGCCTTTGATCCTAGTAAACTAAGATGGGAGTCTAACGAACCAGCCATGAGGGGTGATTGAACTCACAACAGTGATCACTGTAGAAAACTACTTCAACCATTTGGCCACCTAGACCCCACACGCATTTGTACAAATTAATATTCTTGAAAATTGGAAGTGGATAACTGCTTTATGATTATGTGATCTGTGTCCATTATATACCATAAGTCAACACTGATAAAGGAAATATTGATCCAAGAAAGATTATGTGATTAGTGTCCAGTCAAAACTGTCAGAATGAAATCTTAGATTGTAGGAGTACAAACAGTATGGAGTGTCTATACTTTTGTAGTCATATGAAGATGTGATGTTTGTGCATTCATATATATATGGATTTTATGTCTTTACACAAACTGTGCAGTAAATAAATTATCAACTCTAAAGACACGTGGGGAATGGAAGACCCCATTACATTCACAAATTCAAAAATCTTTGGAATTTAGAATTATCATATTTGCCATACCAGTGACTAAGACTAATTAAAGGGTGTTATATTATATTTTAAAATAATCAATAAAAGGATATTATATTTTAAATTCTAATATGACATTCTTCAAACGCTTTGAGTATGCACCCCTGGTAAAATATGAATATATTGATACGCCAACGTCATGGATTGTTTGGGCTATTTCAATCTTACTCCCACGTTGTTTGCTTTTTATGAATGAGTTACCCAAGTTCAGACGGCGTAAATGACATCATTGATTGATTGATTGTTGGTTGCTTAACGTCCAGTGGCTATGACATCATTGAACAATGACGTAAGAATATAAGCATTCTATGGGAAAATGCATGATTTTGAAACTGAAAGTCGTCAAAACATGAAAACATAAACAAATGATGATAAGAATTTGTTGAAAGCCCATTTTCTTAAATAAAAGTAAGATAATCGTGCAAACCTGTCTTAGTATGTTATTGTAAATCATTTAAGCATGTCACTTATTCAGTTTTCTACGTATTTTACGTCAATATTATTAGTGTGTTTTAATTACGGGAACAGCAAAAATTTTAGAGCGCTTCGAAACAAAAGAACTGCTGTCTTTGTCCTATTTGAATAGAAATAATTCATGGGGGCTTGAATTTACCCGTGGTAAAATCACAATAAATTCAAGCCCCTATGAATAATTTCTTAAATAATCAATAAAAGGGTATTTGAGAACGAGAAAATTACTTATTCAAAACCTAACAGTTATGTAAACTTAAGTTAAATTTATATAAGTAATTTGCTGAAAAAGGTGAAATTGGTATTGGGAAATTGTCATATGTTTGGACAAGCTGTAACCTTGATTTGCATATGTTGAACTGTTTCATGGAAAATCAATGTTGTATTTAGAATTGGTCTTCATCTTTTAGAATATGAAACAAATTTCAAGCACTGCAGTGAGGGCAGCAATGGTGTTTGATAAAAAGAGATTAACCAGTTTTAATTCTTTACAGCTAAAAAATCTATATAAATTAAGTCTTAATTTATTAACTAGGGCAACATCAGGATGCCCAGGCTTGTTATGAAAAGGCAATTGATAGTGAAGTGGATAGTGTTGAACACCATAAAGGTCTACTACAAAGTTTGATGGAGTTAGGACAACAAAACAAGGCCTTGCTGCATGCTACAGGAGCCATTGCTGAGAGGTAGGTCAAAGCACCTAAAACATCTACAAAATTTTAGGGGGTTTATAAGAACAGAGTAAGGTTCTGCTATAAGCCACAGAAATCACCATTTTAAGAAGTACTTTGAAAGTACAACTACAAATATGGTGCTGAATTTCATTTAATATTCACTAGTTCAGTGGAACAATGAAGTTGAGGTAGATTGATACTAAAATATTTTCAAAACAAAGATTTTTACTACTTTTTTGTTCCAGAAAGAAAGTTAAATGATTATCAATACAAAATTGATTCTGGCAATAATAGGTGACAAAAATGATATTTGAAAAAGACAGGATTCTTAATTCAATTTGATATGTAGATGATATTAGGGGAAATCATTCTGTATGATGACTGAAGCTTAATCTTATATATACAAAAATCTACAATTTTTTATGGAGATCAAATGATTCCAACACTTTCAGGATATATTCAGAAAATGGAGTGTTACTTCTTGTTTATTTTTTATACAATGTTGTTTAGGAAACTATTGATTTGTAAGAAAACACAATTTATCTGCCCCTGATTTTTGACTTTTTTATTATATGAATTATCTCTCCTAAAAAAAATCACAGATTCATTGATTTATGGTTAGTTTGTTGAATCTTTGAATTACTTATACAGGTCATTGCATTTACAAAAAATTGTACTTTTAGAAACTGTTAAAACAATCATTGAAGTGTAGAAATTTTCAAAACGATGATATTGGATATCTTAATGTTTCTAATCCAAAAGTAGAATTTTTTTATTGTATAGCTGAAACATAGTTTTATGTAGTAAATGAGTTGCATAGGACTAGTTTTACCTTTCTCTTCAATATTTACAGACCAGAATGGGCTCCACATATCAGATCTTACATGGTGGAGGCAGCTTGGAAGCTTGGTAACTGGGATAAACTGGAAAAATGTATCAAATCTGTGAGGATCTGTTATAGAAAAAATACGACATTAGAATCTTCTGTGTATAGAAAACTATAGGTGTCAGGATTTACATCTTTAAAAAGAAAGAAAAAACACGAAAAAAGTGAAGCTGTTTTCTAATTTCTGTCATAAAAATCATTACATTTGCAAAAATATTTTGATGAATTTTCTAAACCTCCTAACCTGGACATCCATTTTTTTTGCTTCAGTTAATTTTTTCTGAGAGGAATATAATTGGACGATAAAATTAAATATCTGAATGTCACTTGACAAACTAAAATAATAATAAAGTAACTAAAATAATGCAGCATTAGAAAAATGGAGACTGATAAAAATTATTTAAATTTATATGCACAACTATATTGTATTTAGATATGCATGTGCACATATGTAAAACATTTCTTATTTTACAGGAGAAAACAGGTAGAAACTGGGCTGTTGGTGTTGGAGAGTTACTTCTTTCAGCAAAAGCTAAGGTAAATCTGTGCAAATTATTAGCATCTTTAAAAATAGAAAAAGAATGACATTAAACTGTTATATGGATAAGTTAATATACATGGACATCAGAACAGAGTGCTACATTAATAGAAGTTATTTTTCAGTGAGTTTTAGTTCTCTGTAGATGTAATCTGAAAATTTCAACCTTTATTACAAGTGAGAAGAGCACTCATGTTTTATATCTCCTTCCTGTCAAAAGTTACATGTTACTAATCAACCTAATCAACCATAATCATAATATATAGTTCATCTTCGAAGAACCAGCCAATTCATACTAATACTACATATTGTATTCCACATGTGGATTAGTCTCATATCACTATTATACCTGAAAAATTCTCAATATGGTTCCAATTATATTTGTCTATAAATCTTATAAATGAAATGAGCTAATATCTAGACATTTAAAAAAGTGTACATAGTATAATGTTAGAAGAAAGGGTATGCTGAAAACCCATTCCTCTTGGTATGCTTTTGGTACACTTGTAAATAAGGCTGTCATTTATTGATCAGTAATCCCCCAGTTTTTGGTGGGGTTCGTGTTGCTCAGTCTTTGGTTTTCTATTATAAGTTATATGGTTCGCTACTGACACCCTACGGATCCATAGAGGGTAAGTAAAATCCATAGGGGGTGAGGCCGAAGGCCGAATCTCCTATGGATTTTATTCACCCTCTATGGTCAGTAGGGGGTCAGTAGTTAACCGTATAACGAATTTATCGCCCGCCTGACTTTTTTCCGCTGTGTTTTGTAGAGAAATAAACAATAAAACACAACAACATTAATAGATGACGTCACTATTAACAGTAGACGTGACGTCATGAACCCCCTATGAAATTTACTAACCCCCTACGGATCCATAGGGGGTCACCAAGTGACGGCGTAAAACCAATCACAACGTGATAATTTACCGGCGGTGCGATAAGTTGTGTTTTGTGTACTGTTGTTTGTTGGTCTTTTTCTTTTTTGGCCATGGCGTTGTCAGTTTATTTCGACTTATGAGTTTGAATGTCCCTTTGGTATCGTTTGCCTCTCTTTTTTTAACAGCTAATCATTATATGACTCATGTTTTAGAATGAAGAAAAGTTTATGAAACACCTTCAGATTGTACGACGTGAACAAATAGGTCCATTGTCTGCTGCCAGTATGGAGAGTGGATCATACCAGAGAGGTTACCAACATATTGTCAGGCAAGTCACTTTAGTAATCAGTTTAAATATCAAAAGTGCAATGGAGGATTGGTGTATAATGATAATATATTCTTGTCTTGAAAATGGATGTTATTTGATAAGTCATTTTCACCATGTTGATACTTTAATCATAATTAATTTTACCATGTTGATGATGTTTTAAATCATAACTGTTGTTAGGTTTCTTTTTTGTTAATTTTAAGTCCCATTTGTGATTTAACTTTTTATTCAGACTTGGTTTGAGGACATACATCTGTTTTCAGGCTACACTTACTGACAGAAATAGAGGAGTGTTTCCGAGTGTTAGCAGATCTAAAGACAGAGATGGGAGGTTCTGGTGATGGGCCCAGGATTTCTCCTCAGGAGTTATTAAAGAATTGGGATAGGAGACTACAAGTCATGCAGGTACTTGTGTATTTGGTTCATTGCATCCTGGTTAATTTATTGTCAGCTGAAAGGGTTAAGAGAATAGTGATATTTATTAGATAGTATTGTAGTGTATGCAAAATGCAGTATTCAGTCAACTTTGAATTTTTATGCAGGAGTGTTTCAGGTTAAGTTTCACTCTTATTGTCAGATCTAAACAACTAAAAGTCACAGTTTGATATTGTTTTGCAATGTAAAGATTAGATGCTGTTAGTGACTGTTTCAGCTCTTATATTTCTACTAGTTTTATTTTTAAACCAAGTGTATTGTTTGATACAGTGGTCCTTCAGAGCACAGGAACCATTACTGACTTTAAGAAGAACATTGTTTAATCTTGCACAGCAGATGACTGGACATGATGTTGATCATGAAATTGGTCACTGGTGGTTGTGGAGTGCCAAGATTGCAAGAAAGTATGTACAAATGGTTGCCAGTATATATTTTTGATTATATAATCATGATGATAGAAAAAAAAAATAGTCAGTGTTCTTACCTACAGTATTTTGAAATGTGAAGTTATTTGAACATGTCTGTAAACACCATCTTCTGTTACATTCATATCCATAAGTTCAAAATATGAATTAAGAGAGATATTGTTTATTTGTCCCTGAAATGGCTGTTGGTAAATGGCATGTCTTTGAAAAACTTGATTTAAAGGGTTTTCTAGAAAAAAGCTTTATTTTGCAGAGAAGGGTATAACCAGACAGCATACAGTTCACTGTTACAGGCAGGAGATTATAATCTACCTGAAGTATTTGTAGAGAAAGCTAAGTGGTTCTGGAGCAAGGGAGATAAGGACCAAGCCCTCACCTGTCTAGAGAGAGGGATGTCTGTACACTTCCCTGATATACAGGCTCTCAAATCTGACACTACAGACCAAGCTAAAGCCAGGCTTAAAATATATGCTCAGGTAATGATATACAGGCTCACAAATCTGACACTACAGACTAAGCTAAAGCAAGACTTAAAATATACGCTCAGGTAATGATATACAGGCTCTCAAATCTGACACTACAGAACAAGCTAAAGCAAGGCTTAAAATATACGCTCAGGTAATGATATACAGGCTCTCAAATCTGACACTACAGACCAAGCTAAAGCCAGGCTTAAAATATATGCTCAGGTAATGATATACAGGCTCTCAAATCTGACACTACTGACTAAGCTAAAGCAAGACTTAAAATATACGCTCAGGTAATGATATACAGGCTCTCAAATCTGACACTACAGAACAAGCTAAAGCAAGGCTTAAAATATACGCTCAGGTAATGATATACAGGCTCTCAAATCTGACACTACAGAACAGTAATGATGTACAGGCTCTCAAATCTGACACTACAGAACAAGCTAAAGCAAGGCTTAAAATATACGCTCAGGTAATGATATACAGGCTCTCTCATCTGACACTACAGAACAAGCTAAAGCAAGGCTTAAAATATACGCCCAGGTAATGATATACAGGCACTTAAATCTGACACTACAGAACAAGCTATAAAGAGGCTTAAAATATATGCTCTGGTAATGAAATTAAAATTTAAAGGAGATCAAAATGTATGCTGAAGTGATGAAGTTTTAATTCTCTAATTTTCATGCTTTATTACATTTTGCGATCAGTGTGAGAAAAATATTTCTCATCTCTTAGGGAAAACTTTGTTCTTGGCAAATGATTAGTCAAAATTTGATAATGACGTCAAATTTTCTTGGTTTCTTCTGAATTTCCTATTGTGACGTCATGAAAAAAGGCGAACATGCCTGATGACATCACATATAAAGAGCACAACTTTCTGCAAATCTTTGAAAAGGAAGGATAAACTATATTTAGATATCATCTAAAAATCATTAGAGAAACAGATTCCACCACTTTAACTCATGTATTACGATATTTCTCCACTTGAGACAGTTAAATTTGAATTCCCCACTCCCTTTGCCAAATTCAACAGTGTAGCAGTGCTGCGAGTTTATACTACTGATAAATACTGATACACTGACTACAATTACTGAAAGACAAATATATGGGTAAAAAACTCTGCATATATGATTATGTCATGGTTATTATATAGGGGGTAGAATAAAAGATGATAGGAAAACAACAGTCTGTTCCATATTACTTTTTCAAAGTAGCTGTCTGTTGTAACAAGTTTATAAGGATATGCTAAATAATGAGTGTGCTTTTCCTTGTTCAGTTGATAATCATGAAAAATTTGTCATGTGTATGAAATTGAATTCTTCGAATGATGCAATCTGAAAATGAAATAATTGTCCTTTCAAAGTATTTGCCATGATATTAGAATATTGCATCCTGAGTTGTTTTGTGATGTTCTTTTATATGTAAGAGCATTTGTACATGCTTGTTTATTCACATTTTAGAATCAGAATAAACATTCACTCATAAAGCATTTTGATGAATTGTTTTTATTTCTAAATCGCAGGCTTTATTGTTATTTGGAAGATACAGTGATGAAGCATCTAGTTTGGAAAGTAACTCAATTCTCAGGAAATATCGTGAGGTGATAGATATTTACAATGATTGGGAGGAAGGACATTTTTATCTGGCACAGTATTACGACAAAATTATGACCACACTGTTTGAGGAGAATGTTGCAAAAGGGTATAGTATTTGATATGCTTCCTATCATGAAATGTTTTTGTTTTCACCTACCCTTAAGGGCACCCGTCATGTTACCTTTATAAATTTTGAACAATTCATTTCTGACACAAATAGGCCACCTTGTTTCAAACACTAGTATGCATGATTTGTACCAATTTTACACATTTTTAAATCTCAATCAATCAATCCAGCTCCATTACTGTGAATAGATTTGTATTTTAATTATAGAATATATATTTTTCAAAAAGTAGAAATAGAAATTTAGAATAAAACTTTTTTTTGAGACATAATGGTTTTGTAAATGGATGTACACTACTCTCATACCAGTTAAGAGTATAATTTAAAAAGTCATATAATTGGAGACCACAAGTTGATTGATTCAGGTCCATGGTAGCCTTTAGGTTTGAGAGATTTCGAATTACAAGTGTGACCATACCTGTTAACTTTTGAAAAAAACCAACCTTTGGTATTGTAAGCTGGATATATCCAAATGTGGTGCTAATTGGTTGCATGATGCCTTAGTCTTTAATTTGCTGTCATAGTCTGTCAATAAAGTCTAAATTTTAGGTTCTTATAAGTTTTACTTCAGATTTTTTATTGTCAAGACGCAATGGATTGTGACACCAGAAGTTGAGAGTTTCTTATGATTTTTTATTGCATATGCTGTATAATCACTGGCATATCTGTATTTAGAAATGAAGTGTGTCTTTTTTTGTCAAATATGACATGCCCGTTGTTTCTCTTCAGTGTGTGATTGCATGAGCATGGATATCTCGTTGCATGAATCATATACAACTTTGACATGTACCAGTTTCATTTCTTACATATAGTAGGATGGCAAAAAGTACAGCAATCAAATTTTCTCGTCAAGAGAACATGGTATCAGAGGATTCTAACATGTTATCCATTAGTGATGATGAAGAGGATAGGTATCTCTTATACTTAAATCTCACCATTATTTTTTCAAAGTTTAAATTAACCAATATTCAGTTTTGCAACCTCTTTCATTTTTTTTGGGGGGGGGGGTCAGATTTTGATTTTTAGAGCAGGAAGCAGGAATAACGTGTTTGTGTTGAAAGCAAACTTTATATCATTGCTTACCCAATCATTTTGAATGCAACTGTTAGTCTGACAAATGGTAATTTTAGTAAAAGGTATGAGTGGCAATTTGGTCTGTGGATTAAAAACTATAGTACCTACCAAATTGTGTTGTTAGTAGTGGTTTTTTTTCTTTTTCTGGATGACCCTTCATCAGGCAATTCCCAAAAGTATGGTGAGCACTAGAAAAATAAAGATATTGGTAGCAACCAACTTAAAGAGTTAAAAAATTCTTAGATTGTTAAGAAACTACAAACCTTATATACTGATAAACTAAGTTATAGCTACACAGAATATAATGTGTATTTGGGTTTTTTTCAGTGACTTTATCTACCATGTGATCAGGAATTTTGGACAATCTCTACTTCATGGTAACCAGTATATATACCAATCAATGCCTAGACTCCTCAGTCTGTGGTTAGAGTATGGAACACAGGTGGCTGAGTATGAGAAGCAGGATAAACAAAAACCTCAAATTTCTCAAAGATTACAGAACATGAGAAACATTCTTGGAAAGTTGAATAGGGTACAAGTCTATTTACAGAATTTCTTGTTTTATAAAAAAAAAAAAAAAAAAAAAAATCTATTTCAAAGTCTTTCATTTTTCATAATTTTTCCTGATTTTCCCATATGTTTTACTCTGAATTTTATTGATTATTACTGTGGATCCATTTATTTTCATGGATATCAATTTTTGTGGATTATAGAATTTTTGTTTTTTCATGGATACTTGATTTTGTAGTAGTGCAAAAGTTTGCATACAAGCCCACAAGAAATGTGCATTTTGTGGAATACTTGAATTTGTGGTTCAACTATGTCCATGAAAGCCACATAAATTGTTACCCCATGAATAATAATAAATCCACAGTAACTGAAACCAACCAAATTTATAATTGAATACTAGACTAGATGTTGTTCAGTTCACCAGTATCTTGGTTTGTTAGTTTCTTACACACTGTTTGTTTACTCACCAACGAAAAAATTATGGAAGGGATATAGTAACATGTTAGTCCCTCTATGTCATTCTTGAAGGATATATGCAGTTACATTATTTCATCCAATCTTCAACAGTTTATTTTTAGAGTTAATGGCCTGTTACAATAAGTAGTGAATATTAATTGACACCATTAGGCACCTTATAAATGCCAAATGCTATTTGAATTCAATGTCAAGGTCACAACTTGAATTAAGAAAAATATTTAAAGCATGTAGGCACTGTTAGCTACAGTCTTTCATCCAAAAATTATACATTGTGAAGTGCTTGGTCATGAATATCGCTTATATTCCATTCAGTTTCAGCGTGATAGATCAAGTTGCAATGCTTACAAGATTAAAGCTTTAAAGCACTGTAGAGGTTCAAAAAGCATGAGATGTTATGCTCTGTACTGCCCATATGTTCATTGCATTGTAACTTTTTGGAAGATTTTTACATCACATTTTGGAAATGCTGCTGTTGATAATTTACTATTAATATGAATTAAATAAAATGTTGTCACATATTTATTTGTTTCTTTTTCCAGTTGACAAGTTGATATTTAGCTAGTACAATGTAATGTTTTACTACATTTCAGTTGATAAGTAACTTTGGGAAGGAGTTAGCACCATACCAGTTGTTTACTGCATATCCTCAATTGATATCAAGGATTTGCCATGCTCAGAGTGATGTTTTCCAGCATCTTAAAGATATTGTTGCAAGAATCTTTGTACATTTCCCTAAACAGTCCCTGTGGATGATGATGGCTGTTTCCAAGGTAACAAAGTACTGTATTAAATAGTCTTTAATTTGTAGGTAACAAAGTACTGTATTAAATAGTCTAAATTTGAATTTTATATTTTATAGATGATGTTTTTCTTATTTTCAAATTTAACATTGAAAGGTACAGAGATTTAAAGTTGATGTTTATATATATATATAGTATCAGGATTTCTCATTCCAAGTGTTCATGGTTACCTATTCAAAAAAAAGTTTTATGAAAATTTTTCTTATTTTGAATTTTGCACCAAACATCATTAAATGGCAGTAAAACTGAATTAGTACATATGTAAACTTTCCACACTTGGTTTTGACTTGCATATGTAAACCTTCTGCACTTGTTTCTGACTTACATATTTAAACCTTCTACACTTGGAATGGTTCTGACTTACATATGTAAACCTTCTGCACTTGGTTCTGAATTTCATATGTAAACCTTCTGCACTTGGTTCTGACTTACATATGTAAATCTTCTTTTTGTTTGACTTTTCTTATAAAATATATTTGACTTTATATTTTTAGTCTTCCTATTCTATGAGAGTGAAGAGATGTCAAGATATATTTGCTGAAGCTAAGTAAGATTGAATTTAATTTTTTGTGATTAAAAAGAATGCATGTATGTGAAATTCTTAATATGTCGTTTAAGATCAATTGATACTTGATATTATTTTCAAACAGCAATGCTAACTGAAATGTTTTATCTCTCTTCATGAGTTGAAAATGAGAGTTGGTGGTAAAGGCAATAACATGTATCTATTGACTTTATGATCATTAAAAAAAAAACTTGGAGGAAAGAACTCGATCAATAGAATTGTTTTTACAGCTACTAAAATGAGTTCGAGATAAAACTTTCTTTAATTGATATTGGTTAAGAAATCTGTCATTAAATTGATCTTTAAGTTAAATCTCCTCCTTCATTTGTTTATTTATTACAATATTACTTTCTTTTCAATATAATCCAATTCAGAAAAAATGCTGCTTATGAAAGAAGAAAAGTATTATCCAATGAATATTTATGAACTCAATTTATATAATCATGCAATGATGTTTTATAATTTAAAAGGTTTAAAAACAAAATAAAAATTCTTAAATAAATATGCAGTTAAATTTTAGACATATACCTTTTCATATTAAAATAGAAATTTGGCAGGTAATCTTTTCTTTTCTTTAATAGGTCCAGGAATTCTGATTTAAAGAAGTTTATAGAGGTGAGATAAATTGCAATTACAAGTCATTAAGTTTTATGTGTTTATTGTTGTGTTATAAGGATAGAGTCAGTTAAAATTAATTTTTCTTACATCTAAATTTCCAGAAGCATTTTAATACGCCCGTCAAAATTTTGACGGGACGTATTATGGTATACAAATGTCCGGCGTCTGTCCGGCTTCCACATGTCGCACCGTAACTTGAGAACGACTTATCCAAATTTCATGAAACTTAACATGGTTGTTTTTTATGATGGTCAAACGATCTGTTTACTTTTTGGTGAAAATAAGATTAAAACTTTTTGAGTTACAGGACTTTGTAACTAAAACAGGGGGGTGTTTTTTTCACATGTCGCGCTGTATCTCAAAAACGATTTATGATTATTGCTTAAAACTTTACACACTTCTTAATTATATTAATCTAAAGATCTGTATACTTTTTGGTGATGATTCAAAATTTTATTTTAGAGTTATTGAGTTTTTTGTAAAAAAAAAAGGGGGGGGGGGGGGGGGGGGGGGTGGTTCACATGTCGCGCCGTATCTCAAAAACGATTTTTGATTATTGCTGAAAACTTTACACACTTCTTAATTATATTAATCTAAAGATCTGTATACTTTTTGGTGATGATTCAAAATTTTATTTTAGACATTGATTTTTTATAAAAAAAAGGGGGGTTTTCACATGTCGCACCGTAGCTCAGTAACGATTTATGATTATTGCATAAAACCTCACACACAAGACAACGTGAGTATCATGCGCTCATGGCGCAGCTGTTTATTGGAAGTATGGTGCTTAAATCTTGCATATTCCAGTGAACATCAACAAATGCATGATTTAATGCACACATGTATTCCTAATTTTTCACTAACAAAAAGCTCACAAAGTACTACGCTACTTTCAGCAGCAGAAAATTTGTACTCGTTATGCACCCTTCATGGAAAAACTACTCCATGTTGGATGATTGATTGATTGCTGGTGTTTAACATTCAGCACTCTTGGCTATATCCTGATGGCAAGTTATTATTGGTGGAGGAAGCCAGAGTGCCAGGAGAGAACCATGACCTTCAACAGGAAAACTGCCATATCTTTGTGTTTAAAGTTTATTTTTCAAATGTTAACATAACACAACACAGAAACCCTCCTCCACAAAAAATGGAGTCAACTCAGGTGTTCAGGGAGGGTAAGCAGTTCATTCTCTTCAAGTGGCATCTGTCATGTTAAAAAGTCAACACAACACAACACAGAAACCCTCCTCCACAAAAAATGGAGTCAACTCGGGTGTCCAGGGAGGGTAAGCAGTTCATTCTCTTCAAGTGGCATCTGTCATGTTAAAAAGTCAACATAACACAACACAGAAACCCTCCTCCACAAAAAATGGAGTCCACTCAGGTGTTCAGGGAGGGTAAGCAGTTCATTCTCTTCAAGTGGCATCTGTCATGTTAAAAAGTCAACATAACACAACACAGAAACCCTCCTCTACAAAAAATGGAGTCGACTCAGGTGTTCAGGGAGGGTAAGCAGTTCATTCTCTTCAAGTGACATCTGTCATGTTAAAAAGTCAACATAACACAACACAGAAACCCTTCTCCACAAAAAATGGGAGTCCACTCAGGTGTTCAGGGAGGGTAAGCAGTTCATTCTCTTCAAGTGGCATCTGTCATGTTAAAAAGTCAACATAGCACAACACAGAAACCCTTCTCCACAAAAAATGGAGTCGACTCAGGTGTTCAGGGAGGGTAAGCAGTTCATTCTCTTTAAGTGGCATCTGTCATGTTAAAAAGAAACAGCAATATTTGTATCTGACAGTTTAATGGACGTATGAAGATGTAAAGGTGTCTGTTAGATAGATTTATGACACTTTATAACTTAGGTGCCTTATTGTACCTTCTCCTTTGAAATGATAAATACCTATGTTATAATGATTTTCACTCTGTTACAGGATGGCACTAAATTAACAGAGAGGTTATTAGAATTATGTAACAAGGATTTTAAAAATGCTTTAACAATTAGTGTAACACAACACTTCCGTCCATTGAAAAGACTATTGGAGGACAGGTAAGGTTGATTAAGTCCTGGGATTTGTGATGATCTAGCAACTTATAATCATGGTCTGGCAAAAAACTGTTTACTACATGTATATATGCTATTATCTTGTTGCCTAATTTGCATGTGTAAAATATTGTAGTTTGGAAGGTAAAAGTGTACAAAATATTTTAACAATTCTTATTATGTAGAAACTGCAATAAAAATAATTTCTTTATGTTTTATGAAAGTGATTTATGCATTCTTGAAAATATATTTGATTAGGTTTGATAAATTTTTTTGTATGTGTAAATTGAAGTGAAGGAAATTAGCAAGGTCAGTGTCATAAAGTTGTTGAACATTTTTAGGGTATTTAAAGAATGATATTCATATCTTCTTCATAGCAACTTCAGTAAGATATTGGTACCACTGCAGTCCTCCATGACAGTGACATTACCAAACACACCAGGATTACACCAGGACCATAACCCTTTCCCTTGTAATGAAGTCTTTATTAAAGGATTTGAAGACACAGTGAGTTTAATTAGAAATATGAATTAAGGAGATCTATAGAAAATATCAGTGAAACAATCCAATAATAACAAAGTTCATCATGGACATCTAGATAATAGAAAAATATTGCTTATTATATTTATAGCCTGTGTGAGTTCCAGTTGAAATAAATAAGAAGGTACCTAAAGGCAATTATAAGTCAAAGAGAGGCAGAGACAACACATTGGTCAATAGCACAAAAGGGAAGAAATGAATTGTCCACAAAACACTCGACAGAAAACTAAAGATTAAAGAGAGAGAAGTGCAAAACAATGGGGATGAACTCCAGTAACAACAAATGAATCTATTGGCAGCAATCTGTGATACAGATATTCCATATAAACAGTTAATCAAATCAAGATGGTGTTAGATTAAAAGGCAAAGATTTGATCTCTGGACTAAAACATTAGCAAGTGACTGAAAAATTATATAAATGATATTTCTTAGAGGTCATTAATTTTCTGTATTAAGATTCAAATTTTGTTTTTGGAAAATCTGTTTTATAAACCTTGGTTTTTATAGATAGAAGTGCTGCCATCCTTACAGAGACCAAAGAAGATAACTTTAACAGGGAGTGATGGTAAACTCTATATCATGATGTGTAAACCAAAGGTGGGTGAAAAATTTCAGTAATTGATATACATTTCAATTTTAGAAATTTAGTCATTAAAACTGACCTGCAAAGTCTCTCAGAAATTGTTTTCAGAATGTAAGACTTAAGACTTCTGCTAACAGTTATTTTCTTTTCAAAACTTTGAAATGAGAAAGATCCTATAGATACAAATTCATTACAGAATCTCTAAACTTTTTTTATATCTTGTTTTAGAATTGTTATTTAAAATGATATCGGCACAAAGGAAATTTTAGTAGGCAACAATTTGAATTTAACAATTAGTTTCGGTGGTACACATTTGTAAATGTTTTTAAAATGTGAATTAAAATTACAGCATGGTAGATGAGTTTGAAGTATTTTGTACATTCTAGGATGATTTAAGAAAGGATTGCAGACTGATGGAATTTAATGGAATTATCAATAAGTTTTTACACAAGGATCCGGATTCAAGAAGACGTCAACTTCATATCAGAACTTATGTATGTACTTTTACGTCAACCTACATTTGAATTGCAATATTTTTTTTCATTTTTGGCTGTAAATTAAAAAAAAAACCACATTAAATGCCTTGGTAATTCTGCATTGCATAAGCATAACTTTATGTCTCATTATAGCATTCATTTTGTTATTCCTCTGTCCAAGATGACCAATTAAGTACACAGTATATGTTATGATGTAGAGAATTTATCCACTTGAACAGTAAGTGGATTGACTTTAGATAATGCATTAATGCATTTGCAGTTTTAAGTTTTGAGCTTTTAGAAGATAACTGTTATTCCAGAATGAATAGATGAATACTTGATAGCTAATTTATAGAAAACTTTATACTATGCTTAAATAATAAAGTAGTAGCATACCTAAATTTTGTACCAAATTCAAACATAGAAGTTAGATTCTTTTTCTTGATATCTATTTATAGTCTGTGATTCCACTGAATGAAGAATGTGGACTAATAGAGTGGGTTAATAACACAAGTGGGTTGAGATATATATTACTGAAGTATTACAGAGAAAGGGGGTGTGGTATGACAGGAAAGGAATTAAAGGATGCCTGTCCCTCCAAACAATCCTCTTTGGAGTAAGTATATAATATCTAGATCATTCTGTTTAGCTCTTCAGAACTTCTTTAATAATGGCTTATGACATCAAAGAGATTTGACATAGAGTTGGTCAACAATGTCATAATTTATGTAATAATAATATTAGTTTTGAGCCAGCATTATTGTGTGCTTTCTAAACTTTGGTCAGAAAATATATGCTTGGTGCTGGAAAAAAACAGGTCAACAATATTAATATTTTAGATATATGATAACTTTCCATTCACTTAATGTTAGATATACATGTATTGTAAAACATATGCTGCTCAACATTGCTCACAATACTCACATATAAAAAAGCATTAGAACTCGCAGTATTTTTGGTAAAAAAAAAACACATTTTGACAACACTAAATCACCTGCAAATTTCATATGAATGGTACTTAATTTGACAGAATTACTTCATTATGTAACTGTGAAATCATCTCTACACAGCGGGAAATATAGTTTAATTCATAGTTTAGGAGTTTGCCTTAGCAAAACAAATTCTTTTTCATTTTTATACGACCGTTTACGGGACGAATTATGGTTTACCGTTGTCCGTCCATCCGTCCGTCGTCAACATGTCGTACAATAACTCAAAAACGCTTTAACCAATTTGCATGAAACTTTGGTGAATTGTTTCTATCTTTTGAAGTGAGCTCCCATTCAATTTTTATAAATTTTAGATTTTAAGTTTCCGAGTTATGGGGTTTTATTCATTAAAAAAGGGGGATTTTTCAGTTTTCTGACAACTCAAAAGTGCTTTGAGCAGTTTTCATGAAACTTTGGTGACTGGTTTATATCTATTAGAATAACCTCCCTTTAGTTTTTTTTATAAATTTCTGATATGACATTTAGGAGTTATGGAACATTATTCTTAAAAAAAGCTGTTCATTATACATGAGAAGTTGTAAAAGCAATACTTTGCCATTTCTATACCTGAGGAGTATTGCAAGGCTCTATCTTATCTCAATAGAAAGTGCAGATATTACTTTGGTTATGTTAGATTATGTTTCAAATGATTTTGTAATTACAGAACAAAACTGCAAGTGTTGAAGGAGAAGTTATTACCACGTCATCCACCAGTGTTTAAAGAATGGTTTCTAAGAACTTTCCAAGACCCAACATCTTGGTAAGTCTTGTTAACTATGGAATGGTAAGTATGTCTGTATATAGCTATTTTTGTCACCATTTTACACCCCATTAATCATTCAATCTATAAACATGATACAGCATACATACATGTGAGTGATTTTAGCATTCATATCTTTCATTTTTATGTTTTGACTATGAAATAAAACTTGTAAATATATTTGGTAAATAATGCTGTAATAGTATTGAAAAGTCAGCTTCAGAACATGTTTATGTGATATTTGGTCTCAAAATTAAAATAGACTACAAATGCCATTTGTATTTCAGAGTTTAAATAAATAGGAATGAAATAAATACAGCCGATTTCATTCAGTGTGTAGGAAAAGGTAATATCTTTGGTTAGCTTGCTTGCTAGCTGAACCGTGAAGTCATTATTAGATTAGGTAAACTACACTCCTTTATGAGTAGACTAGTCCGACAGACTGATAGAAGGTTATCTGTGAGACTAGTCTATTCATATAGGACGGTGGTTTACCTAATCTAATAATGACTTCACGGTTCAGCTAGCAAGCAAGCTAACCAAAGATATTACCTTTTCCTACACACTGAATGAAATTAGCTGTAATACATATACAACTTGTTGATTGATTGTTAGTTTCACCAAGAGACACATTTTGCGCACATTTTTTTAAATTAGTAGAAGTTCAGCAATAAATCAGTTATGTTTTGAAAAGTGTACTGGCCCAGAGAATGGAAAAAAAGTTTTGCAACATCAGAATCAGTGGAAAAAGGTGGATGTTCCTACACACAACAGAATACTGACTGTTGTTACATAATGAGCTGAAAGGTTATTCACCATTAAGAGATTACATCCTAAGAACAAGGTTCAGATTTCACATCCACAGCCTAAGTGTAACTGTATCTTTTTAATAGCTAAAGGTAAATAGAAGATAGTATGAGTTAATTTTCTTTTTAGGTATAATGCTCGTGTATCTTATGCCCGTACTGCTGCTGTTATGAGTATGGTTGGATATATACTAGGACTTGGAGACAGACACGGAGAAAATATACTGTTTGATTCTACAAATGGAGATTGTGTACATGTGGATTTCAATTGTCTGTTTAATAAGGTAATTGAAACAGTACATGGTCAGTTTTATAATGTTTCTGTTTTATTTATGTTTGTTAGAAGGTGAGTGGGGTATAGATTTATGTTTGTGTAAGCTTTTATATTTATTGTACATGTAACTTTATTGAATAAAATTAATATTTATCATTTTGTTAACTTGCATTTATTTAACTTGCATTTATTTCAACTTGGTACTTTATTTGGCCTTTTAACCTTTTTTGATTCATGGGTCACTGATGAGTCTTTTGTAGACGAAATGCACGTCTGGCATTCAAAGTTTTGATCCTGGTATTTATGATGAGTTTATTTATTAAGCATGCTGTAACAATAGCTTGCTATGAATAGTAGATTTTGAAAATCTTTTCTTACATTACTGTAAAATAACAGTTTTAAATAATGACACAAATTTCTTTAAGGTTTTAATTTCAAGAAACTGAAGTATTTTTGTCCCCATTTGGTGTCCATGAAAAAATGCTTTTGTCTGATTCCCCCTGAATGATTGATAAATTCTTTTTTTTTTTTTTTTTTTTTTCAAATTCAAGATCTTTATTGCACATATTGCTGTTTTAACAATAAAACTTGGTGTACAGCATTCCATCAAGTATCCCTGCTAAATTTACTACTATGAAATATCCAGGGAGAATATTCAGTAGATTGATAAATTCTAAGCGAAAGTGGACAGATTTATTTTTACAGCTGGGACAAATTTTTCTAGTTGTTTCATTGTTATGAATAACAACCAAGTGAGTGACATGGACTTAAAAAAGCTTGTTGCATGTATTCACTTGCTCATTACTATTTTATTCTAGGGTACAACCTTTGAATGGCCAGAAAGAGTGCCATTCAGATTGACACATAACATGATTGAAGCTATGGTAAGTACCTTAACATTATTTTGTGGGTCAAAACTGAAATTTTTTTATAGGTGGTAAAGTTTTCCTTCAAATGCTTTCAAACAGGACATTTTTAGCAATAAACATTCAGGTAAAACACATGTGTAGTTTGGTTATCAGAGCGTTTAAATAGCACTTTCAGTTTATTTTTTCCCCTAACACTATTAGAACAAAGGTTTTTTTTATTGAATATAATGTGAGCCAGGATTTTTTGTGGTCTTTCAAGACTTAACTGTAAAAAGTTTCAGCTTCCTTTTTTGACCATGTAACTTAAGCATTAAATTCACACATTGTTCACTTATTTGACAAATGTTAGTTTTTAAATTAAAAGCAAATTTACTGTATTTTCAAAATTCAATTTTACTTATCAGGTTTGTAAACAGCAAAGATATTTTGGTAACCGTTTCTTAAAAAAAAAGGATGCTTATTCATGACTGATCATCAAAACAAAATAAGTTTTTAAAATTTTCATCTTGATTTGTGAAGAGATTTGCTCAGCTGAACAACATTACATAAACCAAGCATTTGAGCCAATAACTTGTAAGAAAGGTGTTCAACTGTTGCTCCATTCATTTTCAAAATAAGCAAGATGATTACTTTGTTCTATTAATCACTACACATATACTGATTTACCTTCATCTGATATGCTGTCAACCAAAATTTTGAGATGTCACAAGCAGAACTCATTTTAGAGCATCCGAACAAAAAATGGACAGAGCAACTATTTGGTAAGGGTTAATTGTTTGCTTTTGAAGTTTGTTTTCCTCAGCCAGTTAAGTTGACAACCAGATATATATTTGTGTTTTAAGAATGGTTTATTAAACTAACAAAACATATCATAGCATTTATATAGTGTTAGATTCCTAACTTTCTTTTGGAATTGATGCATCGCAAATGAAATTTTATAGGTTACTAAATACAAATTATTTACAGGGACCTATGGGTTATGAAGGTATATTCAGGAAAGCCAGTGAGGTAACATTAAGGGTAATGAGGACACAGATGGATCCATTGATGAGGTATGAAGATTGAAATATATCTCTTTAAATCAAACATATACTAGTATATTTTGTGTCACACCTGCAATGCATGCTGCAGAATGTGAAACATGTAATCTTAAACATTTTTAAAGTAGTAAGTGTTTTGTTTATACATGTACATTCAAGAATAAGATTCTACTTAAAAAATTATCAATGATAAAAAGTGGAAATAAAGAGTTTTCATTATTTTTGAGTGGCCTATTGGGATAAAATTGACTGGTAATCAGATGATGGGGGACATAAAATTACTTCACTATATTCATTACAATAACATTGAACTGTCATTTGAATATACCTTGATGTGCACTAGATCGACACGCGGAATACAGATATTTAAAAAAGATTTAAGCAGACCTATCTATGCTCTTACCCCTAAATGTGATATGCTTAACGAAGGATCAGATACAGTTATGAAGTATTTGGAATGACTCAGAGGGAAATTGAACAAAAGATCTTATATTAGAGACAAGCAGGCTACCATGACACTACCACAATTGTTTGATAACAGGGTAACTAGTACTATATTGGAACCTATAATACTATGTGTAGGTTAAAATTCATAGGAATTCATCATTAAAAAATCTCCAATTATATGTTATTTACATTGCAGTGTGTTAAAGCCTTTTATCTATGATCCTTTAGTGGAGTGGAGTAAACCAGTGAAACCTCAGGGTCAGAGGTCAGCATTGGTCCCTGGTCAAAGGACAAGTGTTATTGATACTGGAGAAATCAATAATGAACAGGTATTTGGATTTGTTAAGACAGTCAATTACTGTAAATTCAGAAATTATTGCGTGCATTTATTATTGCGATTTTGTCATTTAAGACTAAAATGCGATTTTAATTTTTGCGATATTGAGAAAAATCCTGTTTAATTCAGATAAAAAATTTCAAAATGCGAGTTTAAATTATTGCGCTTATAACTCTGTCGCATTTTTTGCAACAATAAAAACATCGCAATAATTTCTGAATTTACAGTATAAGAAATCAATAATCTTAGAACTATTTTCCTAATGCTTGTAGTTTAAAGGTTTGGTTGGTTTGCTTGCTTTGTTTGTATAAATGTTTGCTCAAGCATTGTAATTAAGACTGACATCTGCAATCAATAGATATGTGGGGCTTCAGCTTGTATACATTATACTTTTAAATGTTATTGGATGTCAAGTATAATGCAGAGTATAATGTATACAAGCTAAAGCCCCGCCAATCTATTGATTGCAGATGTCAATCTTAATTACAATGCTTGAGCAAACATTTATGCAAACAAAGCAAGCAAGCCAACCAAACCTTTAAACTACAAGCATTAGGAAAATAGCACTAAGAATGGTCAATATAACAATTCATGGACTTGCAAACCAAGTTGGCTTGATAATGGTACAAATTTGTCTAAACTATTGGGTTAAATAATATTATTATTACATAGTAAGTAACTGGTGTATTGATATTAGTATCAAACTGTGAATTACCAGTCCTTTGAAATAGAAGTTCTTGAATGTTGATGAAAAAAAGGAAGAAAAAAATATTAACTTCTGTGTGGCATAGGTTTTTGTCTCGCCTTGACGGAGTCATAAAGCGAGACATGGGTATGCTTCAACAATGGATTAGTTTGTGATTAGGTCTAGTTCATGGTGAACCACTAGTGGTAGGTCAATGATATTTGGTATGCAGTTGTATTAGCATTGGCATATCTCATTACTATGGAGATTATGTGGCCCCACCCCCTCAGTCAAGGTCTATTGACTTTGAAACTTTGCTTAGTTTACATGTATTAGTTTGTGATTGCATCAGTTTATGGGGAAACACTAGTGGTAGGTCAATGATATTTGTTATGCAGTTGTATAAGCATTGGCATATCTCATTTTCATGGAGATTAGCTGGCCCCGCCCCCTCATTCATGGTCTATTGACTTTGAAACTTTGCTTAGTTTTCATGTATTAGTTTGTGATTAGGTCAGTTTATGGGGAACCACTAGTGGTAGGTCAATGATATTTGATATGCAGTTGTATAAGCATTGGCATATCTCATTTCCATGGAGATTATTTGGCCCCCTATTCATGGTCTATTGACTTTGAAACTTTTGCTTAGTTTTCATGTATTTTGTGATTAGGTCAGTTTAAGGGGAACCACTAGTGGTAGGTCAATGATATTTGGTATGCAGTTGTATAAGCATTGGCATATCTCATTTCCATAGATTTTATTTGGCCCCGCCCCCTCATTCATGGTCTATTGACTTTGAAACTTTGCTTCGTTTACATGTATTAGTTTGTGATTAGGTCAGTGTATGGGGAACCACTAGTGGTAGGTCAATGATATTTCGTATGCAGTTGTATAAGCATTAGCATATCTCATTTCCATGGAGATTATTTGGCCCCGCCCCCTCATTCATGGTCTATTGACTTTGAAACTTTGCTTTGTTGACATGTATTAGTTTGTGATTAGGTCAGTTCAGTTTAAGGGGAACCACTAGTGGTAGGTCAATGATATTTGGTATGCAGTTGTATAAGCATTGGCATATCTCATTTCCATGGAGATTATTTGCCCCCCCCCCCCCCCCCCCTTTTCCCACCTCATTCATGGTCTATTGACTTTGAAACTTTTGCTTAGTTTTCATATACAGTCGAACCTCATTGTGTCGAAGTCAAAGGGACCGGACCAAAGTATTCGACTCATCCGAGGTTCGACTCATCCGAGGTCGAGTGTGTCGTCATAAATTTGGAATGCATGAACTACGGTATGAGATTTGTGTAAACTAGATACAATGAACAGTGTGCCTTTTTTCGATATGACACTTTATGATTGTGTATTCAATCTCCATTTTTGGTCCTTCGTAATAATTAAACACACAAGTACAGATACAAATCATGCACAAATAAAATCAATAGTCTACACAAATATTTACAAATGTCAGTCACTATAAATTATGAAATCCCTTGCGGCACGAAATAAGTTCTGAACGATCTCTGATGAGGTCGTCTGCTTTACATTAAATTATCATGAATTTATTAAAACTGTCCTAATCCTTTTATTTATTGTAATTAATGAGTTTTAAATCTAACGTTTCATTTAATCTCGGCTTGGGTCATTTAAATTCGTTTCGTTTTTATCTCAGGTGAAAAATGTTCAACAACACTAACATTCCGCTTGAACGATCAACAAAGGTGTTAATAAGCGGTCTTCATAAACATGTCATTTTAACTGTTATACAAACAAGTATGTTTACTCAGCTTTAATCTCTTTTGAAAATGATTAGGTGACATAAGAAATACATCCGATTTGATTTTTTATCATTAGCCCTGCATCTTTCGAAAATTCTTACTTTCGAACTTCGAGACATCGGGGTCATTTACATTAATTTTACTTCGACGGGACTATAAAATTTACTCGACTTAACCGAGTATTCGAATCAACAGAGTTCGACTCATTACTCATTTTACATGCCTATGGCCCATAAGGTATCGCCCCCTGGTGTCAGCTGCCTTTAGGAAACCATAATGCTTTCCTATTTGCTGCTGACACAGGATGAGTCATGGACATGTTTAATTTCTACTTTCTTTTTGGCTAATTATTATATATTTAATTGATCCAACTTTTTGTGTACTATACATATGTGGATATCTATTTTTCTTTTTTTTTCTTTTTGGGCTGCTTGTTTGTTATCTATATCAACCACACTTGCAATAAAATGCATTAGTATTAAAAAAAAACAACATACTATAGATTCTTTATCTACGTATTCTTTAAGAACTTAAATAGTTCTCGTTTAACTTTTTTTTTTTTTTTATCTCATTGTTTGTATTGTATTATGAAAAATTATTGATGTTGTAATGTTTATGCCCTTTGGGGCCCATAATTGGAAATAAAATATCTTATCTTATCTTATCATTAGAGGTAATTATGCATTAATCAAACAGGAATTTTACCGGGACCGAGAAATTACTTCGACTCATCCGAGTTTTCGACACAACCGAGTTCGACACAACGAGGTTCGACTGTATTAGTTTGTGATTAGGTCAGTTTAAGGGGAACTGTTAGTGGTAGGTCAATGATAATTGGTTTGAATGTGTATAATCATTAGCACATCTCATTTCTGTGGAGAATATTTGGTCCTTACCCCTCAGTCATGGTCTATTGACTTTGAAAATTTTGCTTAGTTTACATGTATTAGTTTGTGATTAGGTCAGATTAAGATGAACCACTAATGTTAAGTCAATGATATTTCGTATGCAAATGTATTGGCATTTGCAAGTTTCATTTCCATGGAGATTATATAACCCCACCCCCTAATTATGGTTCATTGACATTGAAACTTTTACATAGTTTACAAGTTAATGTTTGTGTTTAGGTTTGTTTAAAGGGAACGACTTTATACATGTTAAAGTATTGCTATTTTAATTTCAACATTTGCATTATCAAAATAACAAATAGGCGAGACATATCTCTGTGTTAACAGTTTATTGATATCTATTTTCTTATACAATATAAGTTGTGTCTTCAATATGGGATACAGACATTGTAACAAGCATTTGTCATTTAACTTGCTGTAAATGTCATTATTAAACAACTATTGACTTTTGATTTTTGTTGATACAATGATTTATCAACCCAAGAGATATGATATATACCGAGGCCAACAGCCGAGTGTGAATGTCATATCGCTGGGGTTGATAAATCGTTGTATCAACAAAAATCAAAAGTCAACAATTGTTTTATTATATGACTTTTTACCCTTCTCAAATTTTCTACTATTTGCTCAAGATACTTTTCAAACTGCTCCTTGTTTTTATACTAAATATATTATCTGCTTTTGCAGTTGCTAACTTTCATAAGTTCAAATATTCAGTAATGTTTACTAAAAAATATACACCAGAAAACAAGAAGAGAAAAAAAAAAAAAAAAAAACGAAAACAAGAAGAAAAAGAAAAAATGAGAATTTGTGTGACGTGATAATTCGACGTCATTGACGTTGCCTTGGAATATCTATATTAAGGAACACGTTAGCTATTCCAAATCTTATATTAACCTCATGATTTTTCCCGCAATGAATATAATGTTTTATCAAAGAAGACTTTGTATGCTTTTAGCCAATGAGAAAAGACATATTAAATGATTTTTACATAATCTACATGTTGTCTTTTTGAAACATAAATTTCAGGCCATGAAACATGTACAAGACATTGAAGACAGGTTGAAAGGAATACTGAAAAATGAACCTAAGCAAGGAGGACAAGCTAAACCAAAAAGTGTTGCTCTATCTATAGAGGGCCATGTCAATCATCTAATAAATGTAGGTAGATCTAAAATCAAATGTAGATATTAAGATATTAAATATGTTGAGTCATTTGGTTCTAAAGATGTAGCAGTATTTTGTGATGAATAGTTGTGTTTTAACTTCCAGTAGAGTAGCAAATAATATTTACATGCAAATCAGGACGAGAACCAGCCAGGGCTTCCAAAATTATTTTTAGCCAGCCGGACATTTTATATATTATCCCGATTTTAATCCCTTAAGAAAAAATAAACAAAAGGCAATTATGGTAATCAGTTGCCGAGTTGGCCATCCCAATGATTGACATTAAAAAAAACCGATATTAAACTTTCTTTGATTCAAATTCGAAGTTCTGACGTAAACTGTTAAATTGGCAGTGCATCATTCGAAGTGTGCAGATCAGCGTACTTATATCTGCCTTAGACTCTTTTTTGTGCAAAATAACGTTGTCAAAAACTTTACTTTCGTTTTTAAATCTAATACCGGATGTTATCTTCACAATGGTAAAACATGGATCAGAGACTGATATGTAAATTCCGTGTATGTTTGCAAAGCATGAATGAGTGTAAGTAGCTCTTTCTACGTTATTTCTTCAAGAAAATATTCAAAATAAACGTGAGATAAATGTATCAATGACAATTTAAGCATTTTTTGAAGAAATTAGGATGCATAATTAAATTTCACACCTGCGCACATGTGCACACGTGTACTAGTTCAAACGGAGACATGTCTCTGGTTCAATCAACGTGGTTATGACGATTTTTTCATTTTCACCTTTTTAATTTTTTCATCAAATCATATTTGTAAACGTATTTCTGATAATTTAAATCTTTTTAACTAAATTAATTAGATGCAAACCGCTGAAATGTAAGAAAATAACTTTGAATAGACTGATCAATGTCCGGTTCAAAATAGTTTACCTGTCACCTGAACAGGTAAATTTCAGCTGTTAGACAACTAATTAGCCTTGATTAAAATGAGAAGGTATTAAAGTAGGGGTTGTTTTGATAGTACTTAATGATCATGTCACTTTTATGACCGGAAATATGTGGCTGTTTAAGGTAAAAGGTTGGGTCAAAAAGATCGCGAATTATGTTAAAATGACTGTCTCTTAAGAAAGCCTTGATAACTAAAAAGTAGATGACCGTTTCATGCTTTGCCCATGGTTGCCCAGCCGGACTTTTACCGGACATTATACAAATGTCCGAAATATATGACCATTTTGGAAGCCTTAACGAGAACATGATAATATGATATGAAAATGAACCCTACTTTGTATTATACTGACATCCAGAGCTTGTTTTTTAACATGTTAGTAATTGAGCATATGTGTCCATGGACACATTATTCTGACTCTTTGAGTTGACAAATCTTTGCTCTTACTCCTAAATGATGAATGATTAGCAATTTTCTAGTCTAAGGTTTAACCAGCTGGGGATTAAAACAACATTACTTAAAGATAAGATAAGGGAATAGCTTAACCACACAGCATGGTCACAGGGAAGGTGTATCTATGCAGGTACCCGGTAACCTTAAAGTATGGTTTGGTCTGTACATTATTTTCCACATTTCAAATTACATTATGTAATTATGGTTTTAAAATGTAATACCTGTGTAAGTTAATTTCATGCACAAGGTATTTTTGAGATGGTACTTGAATTAGACCATTAATTTCTTTTATTGTCGAGCCTGCGACTTTTGTCGCAAAAGTGAGACATAGCGATCCTACATTCCGTCGGCTGCGACATCCACAAATATTCACTCTGTGGTTAAGGTTTTTCAAATTTTAATAACTTTCTTAAACTATCCTGGATTTCTACCAAACTTGGACAGAAGCTTGTTTATGATCATAAGATAGTATCCAGAAGTAAATTTTGAAAAAAAAAAAAATCCTGTTCATCCGTATTTTACTCATAAATGGACTTAGTTTTTCTGCCAGTTAACATTACATTCACTCTGTGGTTAAAGTTTTCAAAATTTTAATAACTGTCTTAAACTATCCTGGATTTGTACCATACTAAGGACAGAAGCTTGTTTATGATCATAAGATAGTATTCAAAAGTAAATTTTGTAAAAAAAAAAATCCTGTTTATCCGTATTTTACTTATAAATGGACTTAGTTTTTCTGCCAGTTAACATTACATTCACTCTGTGGTTAAAGTTTTCAAAATTTTAATAACTGTCTTAAACTATCCTGGATTTGTACTAAATTTGGACAGACGCTTGTTTATGATCAGAAGCTAGTATCTAGAAGGAAATTTTGTAAAAAAAAATTTCCTGTTTTTCCGTATATTACTTATAAATGGACTTAGTTTTTCTTCCAGTTAACATTACAGTCTGCAGTTAAAGTTTTTAAAACATTTATTAGATTCATAAACCATCCTGGATTCTTACCAAACTTGAACAGAAGCTTCTTACATTCAAAAGATAGTATCTAGAGGAAAATTTTAATAATTATGTCCCCATTTTTGTTGAGCCTGCGACTAACAGCAAAAGTAGGCGAGACACTGGGTTCCGCGGAACCCTTACGAATTTAAATTTTTTTTATTTGAATGTTGAGGTTCAGTTTAGAAATGGATTATGGGTAGTACATAGAAATAGCTGTGTATGATAGGATATATGTTCAAATGGTTTCATATTTCACATTTTCATATTTATTTGAACTATTGCAGGAAGCAACAGATGAGAAGAATCAATGTCAGATGTATATTGGATGGGCAGCATATCTGTAATCAACAGGAAGTCTCCTAAATGGCAGCATGCATATTCATAAAACCAACAGCTTGGTTGTTAAACAAAATTGGCAGCAATTAGTGGAAATATGTTTTAATCATGAAACCTGCCTTGGAAACATCATGCAGCACAACTTTTTTTCTTCTTTAGATTCCAAGCATAAAAACTTTGAGCATTAGAGTGTAATTGGACATCCATCATTATATCTGCTTACTTATGTTTATTTATCAAGAACGTAATTCAATTAAATTTGAAGGTTGATATTTCTAATATGGTGCTACTGAAAATGATCATCTAATGATTATTTTTGTGGAATAGGACAGTTCTCCATTTCCTACAGAATTAAAATGAAGTAAAAAGGATAAGCCATCATAAGGGCCAAGATCTGTCCTAAAATATTGTGATTTTTTTTTTAAATCTAAAAACAACTAGATAAAGGCATGCATTTTTGTTAAAAAGAAGAAGGTGATCTGTGGGCCCTACTTGGCCTAAAATGTGAAGTATTACAAAACCAGGTGATTTATGCATATATATTTGTTAAAAGTTTCTTTAAAATATTATGAATAATAATTCATTTCTTGTCAGATAATTTTACTCTTATTATCAAAGAAGGTTGGAGGGAAGGAATCTGTTTTTCTCGTTATAACCCAGCTATAAAGGAGGTATAACCATGTATTCCTGAAGCTAAGTATCAAGCTTTGTGTGAGCATGCATTTTCACATATTTTCAATATAGTAGACGATTGATATTAGGATCATCATCTTTGTCCATAAAAAGAAATAGGAGAAACACAACCATGGTGAAATGTTATTAAGTGCTTAAAGTACTGTATAATCAACACCTCTGCCTGGCAATTTCATCAATAACCTTTTCATAAATCATGGTTAAATCCCTGTAATAAATAGACCACTATCCTGCATCTATCCAATAACAACTTGTAAACAGTCCAGTAGCGTTACAGGTTTAATACAGTTTATACCAATACCTTGTTATGTTCTGTTTCAATCATAAACAATGTTAAAGTAATTAACATTAGTATTTTTTGTTGTTACAATCTCTCTTGTTTAATTATTCAGAGGTAGACTGTTACTATTTTTTCTGTTAATAAATAAAAGTACCACATGACATGTGTTGTTCATTATTGTAGAGAGGGAGACTTTCTGTTATAGCATTGAAACATTCAAGTGTCATTATAAAGTTGTTACTGTTAGTCTGTTAATGAATGATTATCTTGGTGTTCTGGTCCTTGCAGCTTGTGTGTGAGGTCATAGGGTCAAGGCTAAAAGGGTTTTCATATTGGTATGTGCTGCTTTTCAACTTAACATAGCATTTAGTTTTGAGACTGATTAGCTCTTATAAATAAGAAGATGTGGTATGAGTGCCAATGGGACAACTCTCCATCCAAGTCACAAGGTGTAAAAAGTAAACAATTATAGGCCAAAGTACTGTTGATGCTATGAGTCAGAATATCAGTCTAGTACAAAGGATATGTTGTCCTGAGAATGCATGCAATATTTACTGCTTGATTTTATGATTATCTTAAAACGTGGATCAATTGTTTTTTGGAACATATACTGCATAAAATCCATGTTATAAGATTGGCCACTGTTTTTTTATAATATACTGTATAAGTACATCATTTGTAAAAAGTCAAATTTTAGAAAATGTTTTTGTAAGGTTACAATGACAAATATCATGCCCACTAGCTCAATAAGCCTCAAGAGTCTGTTGAGTTCAAAAGGAATGTAATTCTTGACTTTGCACAAAGGTTGGAGCTTTTCAGTTCATTGATGAAGACTTTTGAGAAACTATCAAGATGGAGAAATGAAGACTGAGTTAATTTGAGGTATTGGTTAGTTTCTAGTATATCATAGGATATTTGTCTGCAGTTTTCATCAAATATTCTTTCTTTCCCTAAACAAGATTATATGAGTCAATATGAATATTTTGTACAGGAAAAGGCAAAACTGACAACACAAAAATGTGGGGATTGAAAAAATAAATCATGAGAATCATGAGATGAGATTTAATTACATTTCTGTGAAATCAAGGTACATATGAAAATAAAGAGATGCATTATGATTGCCATTGTGACAACTTTCCATCAGAGTCCAATTGATGTGGATATATAATAAACAATAGGTCATAATATGGCGTTTCGTACTATGAACATCAAAATTATTTATTTTGTAAAAATATTTCCTTTCTCTATGGGAACTGTACACGTATATCTAACAACACAATTATTTTCATTTACCTGTGTTTAAAGTTATTGCAAATGGCTGATATTTTTGTTCGAGCATATTGTTTTTCTTAAATTGTTTAACATTTCATACCGATATAACAGGTTACTTTTATTATTCTTCCCTTAGTTTATTTATTTTGTATTTGCATTGTATCATAGGTCAAATTTATTTGTTCAGTGTATGTTCACTCGTGTTAATATGTCCTTTGATTGAGTTAAGCTATTTCAGTTGATATTTTATTGTGTGTCTTTCTATGTTGTGATGTTACACTATTGTTTCAGAAAAAGGGTGAAGGTTTGGTACCATTAAAACGTTTAAACCCGCTGCATTTGTTTGCACCTGTCCTAAGTCAGGAATCTGATGTTCAGTAGTTGTCGTTTGTTGATGTGGTTCATAAGTGTTTCTCGTTTCTCGGTTTTTATATAGATTAGACCGTTGGTTTTCCCGTTTGAATGGTTTTACACTAGTAATTTTTGGGGCCCTTTATAGCTTACTGTTCAGTGTGAGCCAAGGCTCCGTGTTGAAGACCGTACTTTGACCTATAATGGTTTAATTTTATAAATTTTGACTTGGATGGAGAGTTGTCTCATTGGCACTCATACCACATCTTCTTATATCTATTTAAAACATTGTTTTTCTGTCAGTTTTTCTTAATTGAATTATAAACAGTTGACACTGTGTTATGTCTCCCCTGTTTATAATTTTGCTAGTATACAGCAAATATTGAAATTTATTCCCTCAGTAGACCATGACTGAGAAGGCTGAGTTAAATAATCTTTATGGAAATGATGTGCCAATGCTAATACAACTGCATACCTATTATCATCAACTATCTGTTTGTAATTCCCCATAAACTAACCTGATCGCAAACTTTTACATAGTTGATGATGCCATAAAATTCACATCTAAGTCCTTGCCTACATAATTTTGTCAAGAAGATACAATCACAAGGGTGTCCATCTGCCTCTCATCAAGGTTCAGATTGTGTGATGTGAAGTAGATACATAGAAACATGAAACATCAGTTAATACATGGAGATGCAGACTATTCAAAATTTATGTCTCAAACATTCATATTTTTGTTTAAAAGAACAATGTAGTTGTAACTAAGAACTATGGTCAATGTTTCCAAGCAGGTATCTAATATTCTAGGTTTACTATATACATTTGATACAAGATGTATTATGTAAAGAGGGTGGTTTGTTCTCAATTTCACAATTAAATGATGGTTATGTAGGAGTGGGATAAGACTGGTGTAAACATTTAAGATTGGTACCCCTGATGTGATATGATATATGAAACCTCACATGAGAAAAAAAAAATCAAATCTTTCAAAATTGTGTCAAAAGGATAATGAACATCATTTCCATACTTGAATGATTTCAATTTAGCTGTTACCTTTGATTCAGAATTAAGATAGTCTGAGGAATAGCTTGATGAATTTCAAGTGAATACACTTATTGTCCCCTGCACATGTTGGATAGGACAGTATCGCCACATTTTGATGGTCATGCTTTGGCCAATAGACCTATCTTTCAGGATGACAATGCTCGACCCCATTGTGCTTGGATTGTGAGACAAAATTTGGAATCTGAGGCAATTGACACCAAACCATTTCAAGCAATGTCACATGTGGGATATTATCATGCAAAACATTAATCAGAAAGTACCTTGATTTATAACAGTTGCTGAACTAAGAAAAGACTTGGTACAGGAATGGCAGAGGTTCCCTTAATTTTAACCCCAAACGTATTTCAAAGGGAATGAGAAAACCTTTTTTAAATTAATCTGTACAGGAAATGCTGATGATAAACCTGATTTTGATTATTTGATTATCAGAGTTTGAAGTGACAGTACATGTGTGAATATTTAGCTTCAGGAACGATAGAATTTTGTTTCTGCATTTACAAATCATGAAACATGTTGTGGACTTAAAAATAATTTCACTGGGCATTTTAATGTAATTTTTCTCCTATAATAAGAGTGCACACCACTGAAATGTCTCGCCTGCTTTACTTAAAATTGAATTTATGTTGAAAGCCTGAAATATAAAGGCTTTACTACAAGTATCATATCACATAAACTTAACATTATCAATGTTCTATGAAATGGGGTCACAGTCAGATAAACCATGCAAGACCGACATGTTCACCTTACAAGTCATTAAATTCACCAAATATAGTGATCCCGTCACTTATAGTACCTGAGAAACAGATCAAACAACAAAATCTTTAAATTGATAATGAACAATGAAAATGAGGTCAAGGTAATATAAACCCTGCCCGACAGACATGTACACCTTACTATCATTCCATACACCAAATGTAGAGGCCCTATTGCTTAAAGTGTCTTGAGAAATAGATCAAAACACAAAAAACTAAACATTGTCCAATGAACCATGAAATTGAGGTCAATGTCAGATGAAACCTGCCAGTCAGATATGTACACGTTACAATCATTCCATACACCGAATTTAGTTGACCTTTTGCATATACTGTAATATTGGAGATATAGACTTGACCATGTAACTTAAACCTTGATCACTGATCCACGACATGAGGTAGAGGTCAGGTGAAACCTACCTGACAGACATATAGACCTTGCAAGGAAACCATATACCAAATATAGTTAAGTAAATTCAGAAATTATTGCGAGGTTTTATTAATGCGATTAATGCGACTGGGTGAGTATTGCAATAATAAGAACTTGCATTCTGATATCGGATACATATGGCTGTATTCAGATTCTCCTAAAATCGCAATAATCAATTTCGCATTTTTGCCCATTCTTCAAAAATCGCAATAATAAATGCATACAATAATTTCTGAATTGACAGTATCCTATTACTCATAATAAGTGAGTATTTCAGTTTAAGAAAAAAATGCATTTTTTTTTAAGCTGTCATTGAACCAAGAAAATGAGGTCAAGGACAATGGAAATATGACAGATGGAAAAATTGTAACAAAGTATCTGCATACAAGTCGTGAAGGTATAATGCATCCAGGTATTCTATATTCTGAAATATAAAGCTTTATACAAATAGTTGATGCCGTCACAGGCAAGGCAAAAATGATCATAAAATTTACCAAACATATGGTTCAGTTGTGTACCTTGGTATTAATACCATTCATGATCTAGGTTTCAAACAAATATCAAAAAATAAATTCATGTTGTTAAATACCAACTTTTTTAATTCTAAAATAATACATCACTGGAAAAACTTTTGTCTGTGGTATTTCCATTCTCAATTTTATATATTATTTGTAAAGCTAACCAGGTTAGAAGCTAGTTTTCATTAACTGAGTATTCATATAGGTACCACCTTCCGTTTTTTGTTCTTTTGTTAGTTTTTTATTTGTGCTTCACACTTCAAGTCCTTTTCCAACTGATATTTAGTTTGTACTTATATTTTGCTGTTACACCACTCTAAAATTGTCTAAAACAATTTATTTTTTCATCTAAAGCTTACATTTCCATCATTTTTAGCTTTCATCATAAGTAACTTCTTTTTCAATAATTACTTCTTCCACATATTTAGGAATTTCTGGTTGCATTCTGTCTGGTGAATCTTGTGGAATTGTTGGTCTCAGTTCACATCCACGATCTACTGGCTTTAACGCGAAACATCTCATTAAGGCTTTAAAGGTATCGTCATTAAAACCTTTTAACTGTCCGTTTTCAATGACATCATACAGAGGTAGACTGTCCTGTAAGAAGCATATGTTCCTTAAGGGATTCGCATCATCACCTTTCCACAAATGAAGTGTATTTAATTGATAAGAATAGATAGAAAACAGTCTACCATCTGTCATTATTGTCTGTGTTGTAAATGGGTAAGTTATATCCACAAAGGTGCTGAATCCTGCAAAATGAAATATAT